CCATCACTAGCCTCTACCAACATTTATAATCTGCTTTTTTATCTTTATAATTTTATTATTTCAATATTACAAAAACAGAACCTTTTGAAATTGGCTTTTGTTCACGCAGCTTAATGCCCTTCGGGTCTATGTGAATTGTGTGTGGTAATATTCTTTTCCTTTTTATCACTGAGTTGCACTCTGTGGTATGGATGTATTTATTGAAAGATTTTATTTTTCCAGTTTATTTTTTAATTTATAAATAAAGCTGTTCTGTGAGCAGTTCTTCACAGAGTTTTGTGTAGTCACAGGTTTTTATTTCTCTGCAACAAAGATAGAGGAGATTGGTAAATGCTTATTTAATTTTCAGAAACTTGACTTTTTGAGTGGTGCTGTGTAATTTACATTCCTATATGAACAATCCAGTTTCTCTCATTCTTACTATTCAGAGGGGTATATAATGACACCTTTTTATGTTTTTAATTTACATTTCTTTAATAGGTAATGATAATGAACATATTTTATGTGCTTATTTGCCATTGGTATATCTTTTTCGGTGAAGTGTCTATATTTTGGATCATTTTCTAGTAGGATTATTTTAGCAGTAGAGTTTTCTAATATATTTCAGATCTGAGTCCTTTGTCACATAATATGTGTCTTTGATTGACTCAATCCTGTTTTACTTAATTCAGTTCCCACTTCCTGGAATGTTCAAGGCACTTAGAATACTTCAGACCCATTAATAGCAGTACTCTCGCCTTTTGTGAAACTATTACTCTATTTCCATGTATATTTAAAACTGTGCAGTTGAGACTATCTACTGTTTTAAGCAAGTCCTGCTGATTCACCCACACTGTAAACCCTTTTTGTACTTACAGTCTTTGCTTGCTTTGGGATCTCCTGAGATAATTTTCTTTCTGTATAAGAATTTACATTGCTGTTTTGTGTAGATGTGAAGCAGCAGAGTACGTTTGTGTGTGTTGGTAGCTAGATGTTTCATCCATAAGTTTTTTTTTTTAATTCATTGTCTTAGCTTCTGGCTTTTGTGGTCCTGCTTGAGAAGTCAGCTGCCGTATCTTCTTTGAAGACAAGGTGCTTTTTTGTCCTTGTGTTTTTAAGATTTTTCTTTTTGTCTTGACCTTCAGCTGTTTAGCTATATGTTACGCTGTGGTAGTAGCCTCTAAAATGGACCTCAGTAATCCCTGACTCCTGATGCTCTTGTATAATCCTTCTTTACTTACTGCTTTGCTTTGTATCAATATAGTAGGGCAGGACTGTTGCATCTTTTTGATATCTTTAACTTTTTAAAAAAATGGCACATAATTATATATAGAACTAAAGAGAATTTCTGTTTTCTTAGGATATATTACAGAAGCAGCACATTAGCACAGCGCCAAGTAATTTGCTAGGTGAAAAAATACCATCCATCTCCCCTGTGAGGCGTATTGACCAATGCCTAGGACACTAAAAATCTGTCCGTTTAGGTACCGTACCCTTGTTTGTATGTCTTCCTCTCTGATTGTAGGTACATTTGTAATGAATTGCTTTTGAAGTTCTTTATGCTCTTTGTACTTACTTTATAATTTTATGAAGATATACAAATGTATGGATTTTTCTGTGAAAACACAATTTTTTTGAAAACTATCTGGCAATTATAGGTGAATTAAATTTTGCTTGACCAAACTGTAAAATATTGAGGATAGGTCTCATAAAAATATAGAATATTTCTTCGATAAAATTGCTTTTTGAATTGTTTAAATTGGTGCTTCGCCTTAAAGAGCTAAAATTAAAAATAAAACAATATGCCATGAGTGTGATTTTTTCAACCCAGCTGTTTTTCTTCTTGGTGTATTCTGAAAAGAACGAAAGGCATCATAATGTGGAGATGTATGTACACTCATGTTTATAGTGGCACAGCTTGTAATAGTTAAATCTTGGAAGTAGCCCAAATGCTCATCAACTGATGAATGGATAAAGAAAAAATTTTTTTATGTAGTGGAGTACTCCTGAGCCATAAAGAAGGACAAGCTGGAGACATTGCTTGCTGAATGGATGCCTCTTGAGGCCATACTCAAGTGAAATAAGTCAGACACGTGTAAATACCACCTTATTTCTTTGGTGTGAGAAGCTGAAAGTATAAATAAAGACCAAAATGTATAATATATATTGTGAAATAGGAAGAAAATGTCCAAATGGGAAGGGATACTGGGGTGCAGGAAGGAAAGGAAAACAAAAAAAAAAAACGATGAGAAAAGATGGGAAAAATGGAAACAAAGCTTTTGTAAATAGAAGGGGGAAGAGGGTTTGAAGGGAGAGTAGGAGAATGGGGAAAAAAAAGAAGCAAGTTATATCATGTACAAGTACAGATGTCCTATAATGAGTGTGATCATTGTGTATTCGTAAAATGTATCAATAAACTTAATTAATAAAAAGAAATAAATATACTTTACAACATATAAAAAAAGGATGGTAAAGACCTCCCATTTTGGGAGGTATATTAAAGAAGATCTCATCCATATATCAAGATATTTATGAATTACATAGATATTTTTAAATTTAAAAGCTGTTAAATTATATATTTATTATGTAGCATGCTTTCTGCTTTATGTGACCTTTTAAAATTACTCCTTTAGTAGTTCTGGTTGCATTTAGTAAGAGAGTCTTAGCTGTACATCTGAATTCTGAGATAATATTATATCCTGTCCTTCTATAAACTTTTAAAATGATGCTGTACATGATCTGCATTCAGATTCTGTTCTGGGTAATAGCTCTAATCAAAATCTATAAATTAAGTAATACCTGTTTGTTTATTATGTAAAAGTTCTTTCTAGAAGTAAGTGCTCCGACAGAAGTTAGAACTGGTAATTATTTGGGGACTCTGCCCATTTACTAGCAACTCCCGTAAATCATACAGATTGTTTATATGTATGCAAAAATCACTAACTATTTGTGTTTTCTTCTGTTTATTTTATATTCTATAAACCAAGGATGAGAGTCAAGTTCTTTATACTAAACATTTATAGTCATCTGCTATGAACAGATCTTTCAAAGCAAATGAAATTTACTTGTGTTTCTGAGAGAATGTAGTTCAGAAAAGCATAATAGTAAACAGTTGCTACAGAAATCAAAATGTATTTTGGTGGTTTTTCTTATGAGTATAAATTTTTGAATTTATCAACAAAACTTTTGATAGTATAAATTAGTTTTCAATACATGGTCCAGTTTGAATATGTAAGAGTTGCTTTTGCATTTATATACACTCAAGGAACAGAAAAAACAGGTGAAATCATTGGCATTCTTCAAACTTTTAATAAATTGAGAAAAGACAGTTGATACTATATATGAGTTTTGATATTGTAATCTTGTTTTTATTCTGCTCCTATTAACTTTATTCTTGGAATGCCTTCACACCTAATCTTCCATAGTATCAGAATTTCTAGTTTAGCAGTTAATTTCTTATAGACTATCTATTCTTGGAATGTGACTTATTCATTCTGGCTTACCACAGTAGAAGTCCAAATATTTTTTCCTATGCAAACATACCACAGGCATTAGGTCTTGGTGTGTGGGATCTTCAGCCTGTCACAAATTTCATTTTGCCATCTGCTTCAACCTGCGCTGTGTATCTTCTGCTGGCAGACTTTGCTGGAGTTGCCATGGCTCAGGATAAAAAAAAATTAATCTTGGCATGAGAAGCTTACTTTAGAAAAAAATAATAATTGATCATGCCTGCTGTAGATTTTAAAATAAGCATTTGAAAGGATTCCCAAAATGTCTCCTTAACACGTTGATCTTTTTTATTGTAATTACAGTATCCAATATAATTATTGAATTATGAAGTTTATTAACTTAATTAATTTTCTCTTTTATTTTTAAGGATAGGTAACAAATGCATATATATGGATTAATGACATATTTTAAAATATTGTGATACTTCTGTCAGTGAAATTCTTTACTTCATATCTTACCTCCAGAAGTGACATTTGAAATGACTCTATGCTTTGTATGTAATACACAGATGAAAGAAACACCATGAAAAATCTAGGTCACAGAGTCCTTAGGTGTACACTTTCATCATCTATAAAGCAGAGATGATAATATTTTTAAGAGTTGTTTGGGAGATTGAATCAGAATAGGTCCTTAAAAATGGATAAATAAATGTTTATTCTGCAAAATGCCAACTCTGAAAGGCATTTTCCTAGATAATGATCTTATAAATTGTCCAGTTCTTCTACTAGAGAATATTGCATTCTAGTTTGTCTGCCTAACTGAGGTAGCCACTCCGTGACAGCAGGGTCCAGAGGGGTGATGAGCGCCATTAAAGGGGACGGTCAGCTTTTAGAGCACGGCGGTGGGTGTGGTGTTGGGCAGGGTTGTCAGGGAGGGCTTTCTGAGGCAAGAGTTTGCATACCTGAATAAAACCACGTAGTGCACAGGGGATATTTGGGAAAGGCTGTGTCTGGCTGGTGGAGTGAGAAGCTTAGGGGGGTTAAAGAACAGCGAGGAGGTCATCGTAGCTGGAGCTAAGCAGGTGAGGGTTGGAGTGCTAGGAAACGACGTCAGAGTGATCCTATAACCGCACTGATTTCATCTTTATGATTCATAATTGTAGATGAAATGTCATTCCTGCCACCCTTCAGAAATAAGAAACTGGGGCAGATTTAGTATTGTATTAATTGCAAGTCAAACTTTAACGTGGGCTCTTTGTAACAAGCACACAGAAAGTTACATTGTCTGCGTTGCCAGTGAGACCCTTCTTTGTGGTTCCTGCGTAAGTCTCTGCTCAGAGCTGGCCAGTCTGCGAAGCGCACAGCTGTTCAGCCTGCCGGCTCCACCCACACTTTTGACAGTTACCGCGTGGAGTTAAGGTCCAGCGACCAATTGAAAGGGCAAAGTAGCTACAAGACCATCCTCACTTTTAACACCAGTTGCAAGTTTGGGGGGTTCCTGAACCCACCTCTGAAAGTTTGTTAATTCACTGGAAGAAATATTATTACTATTAATTTCTGCATTATTCTTAGGTAAACATTGCACCTTCGGCAGCTTCCAGTGTTGAGTGTGCCCACAGTCCTCATCTCAGCTCCTCCGTAATTCCTGCTCCGCAAAATGAATCATTATTATCCTCAAATGATGGGAATCAAGAGGCACTCACAGGCCCTGGTACTCCACATAGCAGTGGGAAACCTGTGTGTGATGAGTTTGATCAGTTAATCAAAACTATGGCTCAGGTAAAAACATTTTTTTTGTTAGTTATGATAAAATATTACACAAGACTGTGGTCAGTCCTGGATAATATAGTATTTGTAATATCTGAAGTATTTGAAATGATAAAGAAGTTGTTTTGTCAGAGATTGGTCGTTCAGAGGTTTTTTTAAATTACACTTTTCTTTTCTAATTATCATATTTTAAATTCACTATTACATGTTGTGTTCCAGAAATATTACACAGGCAAAGTAAAATGACCTAGGTGATAAGTAAAGATTATCTTGGGGGGCTGGGGATTTAGCTCAGCGGCAGCAAGCGCAAGGTCGTGAGTTCAGTTCCTGGTACCGGAGAAAAACCAAAAAAAAAAAAAAAAAAAAAAGATTATCTTGGAATCTTTTTCTTGCTTCCGTTACCGTAAACAAAGTAGTGCCACTAGTAAGAGGACTGTTAACTGCAGTAATCAGCCCTTACTTTTATTTTTGCTTCTTTCCTGAGCAGGGTCGCCATGTAGAAGCTTTTGAGCTCCTCAGACCTTCCTGTGGAGGCCTTGGCTTCAGCGTGGTGGGGCTCAGCAGTGAAAACCGGGGCGAGCTGGGAATATTCGTGCAGGAGATACAGGAGGGCAGCGTGGCGCACAGGTGAGAGGGTCGCGGCGCCTGCCCTGTTGCTGATGTCACACTCAGGAGACTTTGGTCCCGTTCGGGAAGTTTAGGAAAACAAAGACGAATAGAAAGAAATGAACATCTGCTGTTAACCAGTTTTTAGAAGTTACTAACATTGCTGTGATAAAAAGCAAGTTCTTTGAAATGAAAGTAGCTCTTAATGAGTGTAAGTGCTTTTTAGTAAGGAAAGAAAAGAATGATTAGAAAAGTGTTTTGCTTGCTATAAAATGACCTCTTTTTATTCAGTTTTAAAGAGTATTAGAAGTGATCCGTGGTAATTCAAGCTGTACTTTATTAATATAATCAAAGCAATAATGCATTGATACTTTCATTTTTAAAAAATAAGAGTAAAATATATTGACTAAATTGAGTAGTTGCAATGAAAAAATAAACCTTCTAAATGGAAGATTGATTAGGGATAGCAGTTGAATTACCTTAGGATATATCTTTAAAAGCAGAACTGCAGGAAAAAACCTTAAAAAATGAAGACATTTAAAAATAGTATTAAAAATGACCTGGATGTCTGTGCCGGCGAAGCTGTCATGCTTTTGAGAGCAGCCGCGTATCCTTTTTCACCCTGTTTTGCATCCTTGGTAGAGATGGAAGGCTGAAGGAAACTGATCAGATCCTCGCTATCAATGGGCAGGCACTTGACCAGACCATCACACATCAGCAGGCCATCAGCATCCTGCAGAAGGCCAAGGATACTGTCCAGCTCATCATCGCCAGGGGCCCCTTGTCCCAGGTCTCCAGCCCCCGGGTGTCCCGTTCCCCGTCTGCAGCCAGCACAGTCTCAGCTCATTCTAACCCGGTGAGTGCCTCAGGCTTTGAGAAGGGACAGAACACATGTTTTGTAGTTCCTGTAGTTTCTTTATACTTCTTGAACTTTTGTCTTCTTAGTTTATCAGTCCTTAAACTGGAATATTTGGTGTTTAATTATGATTCCATTTCTAGCTTCTAAAACAGCCTTTACTTTCTTTGTCTCATTTTTTTGACAACATTTCTCAAAAGAAAACAGATCTTTAACAAAATTAAAATTTATCTGTAGACAGACACAGTCTTGACGTTGCTTTGTAAACGATACAGTCATATTGTTGCAGTTAGCTTCCAGTGACTTTGAAGTCACTTAATTTAGAATCCTTCCTTGAGGGAGGATTAGGCAGAAGACATTTTGGACACGTGACAGTTTTTTTCCCTTGATCTCTTTCTTTTCTTTTTTACCAGTTGTATAAAAGATCTTGCAGATCTATAAAAGTGGTGTATTGATGATTTTAAGAGGGATTACATCAATAGGCACGATCATCTGTGGAAAGAAATGCGTGAAATGCAGGGGACTCTTTGGTGCTTATTAGCATGTCTCACTTCAGTTACTTAGTACCGGTAACATCATGACCATGCTGTCTGCCATGATATAAAATTGTAGTGTTTTATGGAATTGTACAGCAGCATACGGGAGCTTTGCTTTTAGGTTCACTGGCAGCATGTAGAAACCATTGAGTTGGTGAACGACGGGTCTGGTCTGGGATTTGGCATCATAGGAGGAAAGGCGACTGGTGTGATTGTCAAAACCATTCTACCGGGAGGAGTAGCCGACCAGGTGAGCTGCGCTGTAAGTCTTGAGTGCTGTTTTACCCTGCAGAATGGCTCTACCTTTATATTTTCCGTTAGCAAAGAGAAACCTCGCACTTAGGTAATGTCAGCGAGAGTGAGGTAGGATCTTCTGTCTTATTGCACTGTTCTTGAAGTATTCTTGTAGAACTGGGAGGGAAATATTTTTGAAAAAGGATGTTCATCTTAAGTTACAGTTATAGACAAAGAATTTAGCACTCTATAGAACCACAGACTAAGCCAACACCAAGGTTATAGCTTTGATTGCTGTAGAGGTAACTACCCTTTGTTTTATGATCCTATGTTTGAAACCTGCTCAGCTGTTTTATAGTCACAAGATACTATGGACAGATTGGTAAAGGGAAAGAGCAAAGTTCATCTTGTCCTCCTAGAGAAGGGTCACAGGTATCAACTTTGGATGTGAACTGTAGCCTATTTTTATCACTTAGAATACTTCACTGAAGAATTGTTATTTAAGATACGTATAAGATATGTGTGAAAATATTTCGCAAATTAATTAGTTACAAGAAGTTCTACTGGTTTAACTGTTGTCTTCATTATAACATTTGATTTATGAAACTTGTTTTTAGATGTGTATTTGAACTTCAATTTCAAAGCCAGCCTCACCAAACATTTGTCTTGTTCATGAATGAAGGGCTTATTAATGACAGCCTCTTCAATAGAGGTATTAACAGTAACAAAACTTGGCAAAATTTTCTCCTTTAAAGTATTTGGCATCATGTAGCAGTATCAAATGAAATTGATAAGCTTGAGAAAGAGCTTTGTGTATGCTTTATCTTATATAGAAAGCTAAATTTAATTTTAATAAATTAAAATGAAATGAAATTAAGAATTTAGTTCCTCATTTGAACTAGCCACATTTCATGTGTCTCATAGCCATATGTCACTAGTAATTGCTGTGTTGGACAGTGTAAAACAACTCCATTACTGCAGAAAGTTTTGTTAGACAGCACTTGTGTAGGCTTATAAGACTTCTGCATAGCTCTTGTCTTTCAGAATTTTTACCTCCCTAGAATTTCATCTGCTAATGCAGTCTTTTGGAATATTTATAATTGAAATAGCCAGGTAGAAGTTACGGAATTAAAGCAGTATTATTTTGTAGATAGCAACACATTTTAACTACTATATATTTTATTTGCATCATAACTTCATAGTTTATCTTTGCTTAATAGCATTTCTGCTTTCTGGCCCTCAAAAATAGTCATAACATTTTTTCCTGCATTTAGTGTATATAAATCAAAATTAAAGTTTCTGTCAGCTATTAATTTAAGGAGTGTTTGTGAATTTCATTTTTTTATATCACCTTGGATAATGCCAGATTGGTTTAGAAGGCAGCTAGTATTGCAATTACGTGTTTAATGTCTCAGGATTGCCATAGTAGCATATCACTGTCATCTTTTACAGTTTTCTTTCCTTCATTTAGGATTTCTCTGACAGAGTTACAAGAATAATAAGCTAATTATTTATCTTCTTTTTGTGAAGCACGGACGATTATGTAGTGGAGACCATATTCTAAAGATTGGTGACACCGATTTGGCAGGCATGAGCAGTGAGCAAGTAGCACAGGTCCTGAGGCAGTGTGGAAATAGGGTTAAACTGATGATTGCAAGAGGCGCCATTGAGGAAACGACAGCACCCGCCTCTTTGGGCATCACCCTCTCCTCCTCCTCTTCTGCACCGGAGATGCGGGTACGTAGGTAAAGGCATTATTCTGAAAGTCACAGTAAACAGCACTGAGATGCTGGTGACATTTCCTTAAAACCTAGATTTATTGATGTTCATATCTTAGTGTTAATGAGCGGAATCGAATGTAGGGATGCGTCAGCACTAATAATGTCTTACTAATTACGAATATATAAAACATGAAATATAGTTTGCTTCAAGTGCTGGATAATTTTACATTTTTCTCTAAGCAGCTCATTTATGAGGTTAAGCTTTTAAAATATGGACAGAATGTCACAAGTAATTATTTGCTACTCACACCTAAACTGCTGAATTGTATTTTTTATCTTACTTACACAGCTTTCCATAGTCATAGCTCTAACCATTCCCTTTAGCAACTATCTTGCTAGTCTTTTTGCTGTTGTTTCAATGTGTGAAGGTTGCAGAGGGGCAGCAGGCTTGGTAGGAACGGATGCGGCTTCAGAACCTTTCAGTGTCACTATTTTAAGGAATATCTCAGAGCTATGACTGGATTCATAATGTGTCATCAACAGTCTTCACACAGTTACATACTTTTTTAAAGCAAAAGCTGGGGCTTAGGTATTGTAATAAAAGTTTTATTTATATGTATAGTATTCTATCTTTGTTCTTGATATGAATGAACAAAGCTGAAAAATTTAAAAATTATTGGAAATTAATAGCTATCTCAACTGGTTTATAGATCACAAGGCTAATGTGCTTATTATCAGCAAATTAATTATATCCAGAAACCTCTAAACTATTTAAGAAGAGCATTTTACCCAATTTCTTGATAAACTTCACACAAATACAAGTCCTGTGTACTGCTTCCATAGATGCAAAAATGTGGTTTTCTCTATTAAAGTTTGTTTTAGCCAGTTGCTAAATTTTTTTTAAATCCTAACCTCCTCCACTAGCCCTTTAAAACTTTATTAAAACACTTGAAATTTCCATGATTCTGTTATTTTTGGAATTGAGTTTGCTTGCTATTCTTTGCAAAGAGAAAGAAGAAAGAAATCTTGTTTATGAAAGTGTTTAAATGGCATTCTTTTGTGATAAACAAAACATTTTATTCAGCAATATATAAATGAATGCAATACCGAAAACCACTTGATGTAATTGAAAGCTTAGAAAAATATCTATTCTGTGCATATCATCATTTCTGAAGCTTGTGCCCCTTTTAAAACCATTCGATAGTCAAATTGCCACCCTCTAAAATAGCACTCGCATAAGTCTTATTAAAAATAGAAAACACATTTGTTTCAATTGAAGCAGATTTCATCCTGTCATTTTCTTGTAATTATCTAAACTTTAAACTTTTGCTAAGTTTGCACAGATAATTATGTGCAATGAGAAATAAATCAAACTTTACTGTAAAATTGTAACTCGTTTAGGTGGACCATCCGTTACATATACTGTTTGTTGAAAGAAAATCAGAAAATATTACCACCTAACCCCAACCTTCATGTCCTTTAGAACTCATTAGCTTTAATTTTTCCACGTTCTTCTTAGGGTCCTCTGCAGATGTCACATTAACGATTAGTACCGGTAGCTTAGTGGTAATATCTTGTGCCAGTTCACAGATGTGAAATTTAGGGACCTTTGCTCGTGAGTCCATACAGTTAACAACACTACATGTTAGAAAAAACTGACAGTTGAGAAACTCCCTTCCAGCTGTTATTCCAGAAAGATACTAATGAAGAAAGACATACTTTTCTTATTAATAGCTTTTCATAGTCTGAATTCTCAATAGAAATAAAGGGCAGTTTAAAATATTGCCTTGATGCATTTTGCTCCTTTTCAAAATAATACATCAATCAGCCTATTTATAATATAGCTGCAGGGTAGATCAGTTCATGTTCATGGTGCTGCAATTACCTGTAAATTCAAGCTATAATATCAACTAACATGTAGATACTGGGATCCCTGTATTCTAATAGAGGCTTTACATACTGTATGTCATTTAAGAGAAGGAAGCCTCCAACCAGACTATTTAAATTTCATTTCTACCACTATGATATTTTTAGCTGTTTGTCCTTAGAAAAGCTTATGTAAGTCATTCTCCCAAGATAATAATTGATATAAATTGCTTCCTAGCCATTTTACTTAGATCGAGTGTAGTATATGTCGTTATCGGTGTAATATCTGATATGTTCTCTATCCAAGGACAATATACTGAATGGACTTTCGGAGCTGGGAGATGGAATAGGGGCTTGCTCTGTCCACTGCACTCACTGAGTTGGTGTTGCATCGCCTCCAGGAATGATGCATTCCCTCAGGGGAACAGTGAAAAAGTTGGTAAAATAACCGTACCTATCTCCATGGCTTGTAAGGAATCTGAAGAATATTACGTTGTTCTAAGGAGTAAGAGATTAAGACATGTCACGTGCCTTTCACATAGGAACTACTCAATAAGTGGTAGCTGGACTGGTTGTTTTGTTCTTTTCCTGGTAGACAGTTGTGCAGAGATGCTTAGAATGAGTAATTGGCAAAGCTAGATTTTGAACTTGATTTGAATTCAAAATGTGAATTCTTTCAAGGGCAACATCCTGAATCCTTTAGAAATTAAAATAAACCACCTCTGAACACAGAATTTAAGGAAGCATTTAATGTTTAAAAGGTTGAGTATACAAACAATAACGTACCCCTCCTGTAAAGGGAAATCCAGCCTCGCACTTGACGCTGCTGTCTGAGGAAAAGTGTGCGGCATCCATGGTGTTAGCATTGAAGAAGCAACCTCGAGTGTAGCTCTGAAGTTCTCCGACCCCTCGTTAGTCACGTGATTCTGAATAAAAGCGATGGCTTTTAAAATTTATCTTGTTTTTTACAAGTTTATTTCTTTCTTCATATATATATTTTAAATTTCAGGTTGATGCTTCTACTCAGAAAAGTGAAGAAAGTGAGACATTTGATGTGGAGCTCACTAAAAATGTTCAAGGATTAGGAATTACTATTGCTGGTTATATTGGAGATAAGAAATTAGGTAAATTAAACCTTAAAGTTTTTTGAACATAACAGTTGCTTCTAATATCTCTATCTTATGAAATAAAATCAAGTTTTTATATTAGCTAGCTGAAAACTTCCTTAGAAATAGTATAAGTGACTCTAATATGACAGGTAAAATATTTGCCTTTTGCTACAATTCCTGTTTGTGTGGCTTATTGATATATATTTATTCTCTACTAGGACTTTTTCTTTGGAGAATGGGAGATGAATACTCTTTAAGTGTGTTTTGTAACTAGTGAACATAATCTGTTTCTACTCTTAGAACCATCAGGAATTTTTGTAAAGAGCATTACAAAAAGCAGTGCTGTTGAACATGATGGAAGAATCCAAATTGGAGACCAAATTATAGCAGTAAGTTACATATTTAGTAATAGTATTGTAAGTTTTCATGTTTGAGAATTTTATTCATCTAGTTTACTTCGTTTTGAGAAGTACAGTTAGCTGTGGTAATTTTGCTTTGGACTTGAGGCTATCAAAACAACACTTTTTATTATTCCATGGAAGCAAAATAAAGCATTGGATGGAAACTTTACTAATCAATTCTAAAGAAGAAAGTTTTTTACCAAATAATATCTGATATAATAGATTTCTGGATGTAATAATTTTTTGTATTAATATTAATATTATAGCAATCCTTGTAGATCCTCTAAAGGTAAAGACCAGATTCTCATGACTTTTGGTGTACCTGAATCTGGATTTGTGTTTTTTTTTTCTTTTTTTGTCTTTTTTGAGACAGGGTCTGCAGTGCAGTTCAGGCTGGCCTTGAGCTCACTTTGTAGCCCAGGTTGGTCTCAAACTCGCAATGATCCTCCTGCCTCAGCCTCCGGAGTGCTTGGATTACAGGCGTGCGCCACCGTGCCAGGCTCTGAATCTCAATTTGTAATGTGTACATTTTCTTTGTCCAAATATTATAACTAATGACTCCATGCACAGAGCACCTTTCAGCTGTAGAAATACAAAAAAAATAAAAGAAATAGATACAGCTTTTCTTTTGGGAGGTGGAGACTAGAACTCAAGACCTTGCCCTTGCCAGGCAGGTACTTACGCCGCTGAGCTGTGTCCCTGGCTCTACCCAGCTTTGCTTATAAGATTTACTCATCATGTTATGGCAGCCCCTTCAGTGTGTTTCTAAGCACATGGCTATTTAAGGCAGAGCGTGACAGAACCCAACTTTCAGTTCAGTGTTCCGTAGGAACTGGGTTGTCCTAACTACTCCCTAAAACTCAAGTTCACGAGATCCTCACCAAGCGCTGTGGCCAGGGAGAACTGCATGTAGTATGGTTTCTGAGGACCTCACTGTGCATATTGAAAAACTGAAGACCCTTGAGAAGTCCTACAGTAATGTGTTTACTTCTTTTACCTCAGTGTTTCCTAAGCTTTTGTAATTGTGAGATCTTCTCTTCCCAAATATATATTAATCTTCTTTGAAGATATCTTTGGGAATGGTTAATAGGTATTTGTTATTGTCTCTGCTGTTCCTCTGGAATCTTAATAGAAGTAAGAAGACAGACTGTTAAGATAGTCCTCAATCACAGCAATATTATGCACAGTAATCAACTCACAGAAGCAGCCCAAATGTTTATTGATAGCTGAATGGACTGATGAAATGTGGTTTATGTGCACATAGTGCAGTGCTCTTGAGTCTTTTGAAAGAGTGCAATAATATCGTGTGCTACTGTGTGGGTGAACGTTGAGGCCGTTATGCCTAGTGAAGTAAGCTTGTCATAGAAAGACAAATACTGTATAATTCTACTTAGGTGAGGTGTCTAAACTCGTCATACGTGAGAGAAGCAGAGGTAGAATACTGGTTACCAGGGGCAGGGGAGAGGTAGATGTGAAGTTATTCAGTGCAATAGTGATAGAGCTCGCAAGATGAGAAAGTTCTACACGGCGGTGTAAATGTACTTACCTGAATTTTACATTTAAAATTGTTAATACAGTGAATTTTCTGTTATGAATTATTTTTACCACAGTTTTTTTAAAAAACGTAGCAGAGTTCCTTATTTCTACCTCTTAAGGTACATTGGATCTCCTTGAGCCTTCCTGGGTTTGGTGCTGTGAAACTCCTTCTACTTGTCTCTTGAAGTCTTCTCAGAGTATCAAACTGATCTTGCAGCCCAGGCTGATTTTCTGCTAGAACGAGCTTCCTCGGTGTACTTGTATTTGTCATGCAGTGAGCGTCAGCCGCTGTATGTTTCTGTATTTTCAGGAAAAGGGAAGGAGAGAATGAAAGCTGTACAACTGGGATGTATGTGTGGTGCTGAATTAAAGATTAAAAACGTAGCTAATTTGTTTTTCTTTCTTGAACTATGTTCATCGGAAAACTGTAGGGTTAGCGTTAATGAGATATTATGCACATATCATAAAATTTACCCATTTAAAGCTTGAATTCAGTGACCTTTAGTGTATTCACAGTATAAGACATTCAATACCATAATTAATTTTAGGACATTTTCATTATTCTAAAAGAAACCTCATCTCCATCAGCAGTCAGCTCCTGGCTCTCCCATCCTCCCATTCCTCGGCATTCATCATGCTACTTTCGGACTCCATACTTTTGCCTGTTCTGGGATGTTTCCTATAAATGAAGTCATTGAAAATTTGGTCCTTGATAATGTACTTCTTTTACTTAGCATGTTCAAGGTTCATTTGTGTTGTAGCTTGTATTTATTCTTCATTTCCTTTTATTGCTGAGTAATATTCTACTTATATGAAAATACCATATTTACCCAGGCATCAGTTGATGAACACTATATTTGCATTGTTTTTACTTTTTATCTATCATGGCCAGTACTACTATAAACATTCCTGTCAAAGGTTTTATGTGAGTTTATGTTTTCATTTCTTTGTTATGTTCTGAACAGTGGAAGTTCTAGATCTTATGATAATTTTATATTTAACTCTTCGGCAAACGTCTGAAATTTCTTTACCACCAAATTACCACCAATAGGAAAGGCTCTTTCATATGAGTTTTAGGAAGATCAAATCAGATCTTTATTTAAAATATCTGGTATAAGTACATAAATACAGTCTAATTAATTTAGGAGATGTTTATCGAGGGCCTAAAGTGGTTATGTAATTGAAAAAGACTCAAAACACTTCCCCCTAAACTTACCATCATCGTCATTTTATGTAAGTGGAATCTCAAGCATAATTCCTCTTAAGCAGTTTGATGATAAAAGAAATTTTTAACAAAATGTAGAAGTAAACTTCTTGCTTTCAGTAAAATCATTTTTCTTCACTGTTATCATTGTTTTGATTTTGATGTTTGATTTTTAGCAGTATCCTTTTACCTCAAACTGCCGGGGAACAGTATTGCTCCTCCATTAATTTTGTGCAAAATATCAGCATCTGTGGACTTCTGGGTTAGTGGTGGTAAGGTCCTCCACATCCAGTTGCATTTTCACAACTGTAGTCTTTTTGTCTGTTTTTCTTTTGACAACAGCTTTTGAAGCTATAGTCTTTTGTTGTTGCAGTGTGGTGTGCTGAGAACATTAAGAAATCATTTCTTACCGTTTTGAAGAAATGTTGCTTTGCAATTTAAAACCATTTGGTACAGTGTTTTTTTACAAATTGTGTTGTGTGAGTCCTAGGGTTTCATTCTAGGCATTACGGGAGCAGGAAACAGAAAAAATGGCTCCGTTCCCCACCAACCCTACCTGCCTTTTCATGTGTTGGGTTCTGTGCAACAAGTATTTGATGGACACCATTTTAAAAAATCGTCAACCAAACTTGTTGACAAATTATGCACTTATTCTTTTTAGTTGAGTAGTCCATGTTTCATGCTAAAAGCAGTGTAGAATCATGATTGATAAAAAGTTGCTCAGTGAGCATATAAATAAAGTGTCAGATGTTGTCTTTGCTATTCTGACTTTGTTAATAGGTTCAGATTCTCTGTTAATAGGTATCAGCCATGTTGGAGGAAGCTCGCTGTGTGCTGAGAAGCCAGGTGTTTGAGTTGTGCCAAGTAGCATTTCTTCTCTCTGATTGCTCCTGTTAATTGTGGTATTGGCTGTGCCCTTTATGGAAGTGCTGATTGTCTTCTGTTTGTGAGTCTGCCGCCAGTGTAGTGCTGTTGCAGCCTTGTCTGTAGTGTCGGTGCGCCTGAACTGACCTCGTCAGTGTTCTTGAGGTCGAGGGCATGCAGAGCTAACTGAGGCTCCTGGTGGAGGTTTTGGTGACTATGGCTCATACGCAGCATGGCGTGTAAATGCACTGAACAGAGGCTGTTCCGGTGAAGCCTTGGGGTTTTCGTGTTTATTACTTTTCCTTCTGTTGCTAGTCAACCCAGCTCCTGAGTATCCCAGTACAAAGTGCCATGCGCTGTAATTCCGGTAAGTGGCTAATATTTCCATATTATAGATGAAGATACTGTGAAATGTGAACTGAAGTCTAGTTTAAAATAGTTCGTGACTGTTTCATTGTGGGAATTTTTTCAGTGCTAGTACCATCTTCTGACATTTGGGTAAGGAATGTATTTTGAAATCTGTGTTACTAAGTTTTGAAAATAAAATGTGTTTTTTACTTACTGGAATTTTATTGCTAATAGACAAAAACATACACATTGTATTTTTCTTAAAACTTTAACACAAATAATGAAAACCTATTGCAAATAAAATCTTTGCAGCCTAAAGCTCTATGCATTTTAAGAATTTTCATAGATCCAAAATGTAGAGATTTTTGCCTTTTTATTCTTTACTTTATTAGCATGAGAGTAAATACTATGTTCGTTTATTTTAGGTTTTGTCTTTGAGCTTTCAAGAATGTAAAATGTGAAAATGTTGGAATCACATTCAGAAATTTTCCATGTCTTTATATGTAAATAGTGTTATGTTTGTTGGTTTCACTGAAAAATATACCTGGAGGTACAGGCATATAAGCAAATGTGAATCTACTGTGATACATTTAAGCAAGCTTATTCGAAGACAGTTACATTGCTTACAGTTGTTTTTTGTTTTAAACAAATTATTACATACCATTTTATATACCTTCTCTTTTAAGGACTATGATTTGAAATATTTGAATTCAACTTTTTGTAATAGTATTATGTAGCTTTGAATTTTACTTACATTTTGCTTCGTAGTGGGGCCCTTCTATGTCACAGTTTCTTACTTGAATTTAAGTTGGATTAATACTCCTTTAGCTAGTGTTGTAAACTTCACGGGGAAAGACTGGCTTCCTGACCTTTCCATATCTGAGAACCTCTTCCTTTGAGGAATGACGGGACATTTTAGCTTTGACTGGTACTGTGGCAAGATGGTTTTGCGCTGAGTGAGCTGGAGGTTGATTAAGCTGTTCTCTGAGTTCCTTGTGGGGTTGCTGGAAGACCCCAGTGAGTTATGTGGCTTAACATCTGCACCCACTCTGCTGACTTGCGCCCCGCTTAGCAGGCTGCTCCACAGATTGTCTCTTTGGGGTCCCATCACCCCCGGGAACGGGGCAGCTGGGTGGGTTCGGGCGACTTGAACCTGGCTTTCTCATGCGTGGCCTTCCTGCGGTCTCTTCACACACAGGGCCTTGAGAGGATCCCAGCCCAGCAGCTGTGCTCTTACTGCACTCTCAAAGCAGCTCAATAAGCCTATTCTTGTCCTCCTGAAGGAGTTCAACACCGTCCCTCTCTACTGCGGCTGACACGGCCTTTCTGACTTGGAAGCAAGGGGAAACAGTTGCCAGTGAGACAGGAACCTGCAGGGCTGTTTCTGTCCTGCCTTGCCCTTCCGCCTCCCTTCCTTCCTCTCCTCTCCCCTGTGCTTCTCCTCAGCTTCTCTCCCCTCTTCTTCCTCCCCTTCTCTTCCGCATTCTCCTCTTCATAAATTTCCTAACCTCTAACAACCCAGTCTTTTCTGTGCTCTAAATGTGTGAGTTATAGTCCCTTCCCACCTGGTTAAAGTGTCTGTGTGATTGGCAACCTTTTACAGAGCATTTTGGTGCATGATCTCAATAGTCTTAGCATTTCAACCAGTTTCCATTTTCTCATGCATTACACTGAGTATAAAACCCTAGATGCATAATTTCTTTACCAGTTCTATTCTCTGCCCTCTCTGCTGTGTAGAGGCTAATAATTTTTTTTATATATTTGAAATAGAAGAATTTTACCAGGATACATCTAGGTGTTCATTTTTTTCCCACTTATTTTCTGGCTTTTCATGTCTTGGACTTAAAGACTTGGCTAAGTTTTCTTCTCCCTGGTTATTTCTATTTTTCCCTCATTTTTTCTCTTGTAGTAATTCCTTTTGTAAGTATATTGGACTTCCAAGGTCAACCTGTGTGTTGTCAGTCTTATTTTACTGAGAAGTTTTCTTCTGAGCTGTGGGAAAATCATATATTACTGTCTTCCATTTCCTGACTTCATTTTCATAGTATTTAAAACCTTGTGGGTTTGTTCCCTGCCCTGTCCCTGCTTTCTGATAGATACCTGTTTCTTTGTAACTGTAAGCTCTGCTTCTGTAAGTACAGTGAAACCTGAATCATTTTGGAGAAAAGCTTCAGGAAGTAACTTTTTTGTCTGTTCACTGAGATAGTGTTTCTAAGTTACCTACACTGATGCTTCCGTGGTATTTTATTCCATATCTTGTGACCGTTCTTCATTCTCAGAAACATCTGTACGTGTACAACTTGGATTTGAGATGTGTTTTACTAGAGAGTGTGTTTCGTTTAGACGACTGAGGAACTATAAGAACGATACAAGCTACTGAATGTTCCTCAGTAGGTGTGCTTGGTGTATTTCTTAGGGTCACTGTTCACAAGCAACATGTATCATCTGACCTCATCATTTTAGTGTTATTTGGGATTTACTGGAGTTTATTCTCAAAGCGTAGACAAGCTACTCCTATATATAGAGAGATTTAGCTGGCCTGCCTTTAATCTAGTCGTTCCCATGCCATTTCTAATAGAAATTTCTCCAGTTATTGGTATAGGAACTTTTTGTTCTTCATTTCCAAAGATTTTTTTTGTAGTATTTTCTCCACTATTGTAATTTGTTAGTCTCTCCGGTAGGGAACTAACAGGGTGAATATAGGGAGAAAGAAGGAAGACACCTCTGTTCAAGCTTCTTTCTAGCTCATAAGAATCATGTAAGATTTAAAGGACCCACAGAGTGTCAGATCATTATCTAGATCCAACTTTCTACATTATTGCTTTACTATCCCATTAATCAAAATAATGAACTACTCATGTTTGGCATTTTCTCCCTTCTACGTATTAAAATATATTATTATACATTACAGATTGATATATTGTTAACACAGATATTATATATCTATCTATATATATACATACACACACATACATGTGTATTCACATATAAAACAAATGCATTTTTAAATATTTAATTAGAAGTTTTCTTCTTCGAGAAACGTCTAAAGTTACCTCTTTGTCTTCTTCAAAAACACTTATCTAGCGCTTATACTTTTCACTCATTTAGTAAACATTTGAGTACCCAGTGTGGCTAGCCTTGTGTTTCTAAAAGCTATGACACAGCCATTTCAGATTCCATTTCATATTCAAGGTTATCACTGACTGTGAATTTCAGCTTCAAATTTATCATTCTACTTTTCTAAACCTTTCATTGTGACTGAGGAATTTTTTTAAATGATGTGATAGTCAGTGGTTTTTAATCTACCCTAAAGGTGACTTTCTTTCCAAGTAAATCTTCGACATACCGTCCAAAGCTCTATACTCCCATTCGGGGTGAATATCTACTGTGTGGCTCATACCATATTTTAGTGACCCTATTGTAAACAAAAATAACGTAGAACCCATTGTTGGAGCATACAGTTATAAACCAATCACGACAGGAAATATAAACTTAAAATTCTGAGAAGTGTTACGAGGAAAAAGGATGGAAGGGATCTTTGTGACCAGAGATAGTGAGGTAATTAGGAAAATAACGTTGGAACTGAGGTCTAGAGCAATTGCAGGTGTTTTCTTGGTGAGGTGAGGAGACAAAGCATGGGCTAGCATGCACTGCAGGGGACTTCCCATCAGATGATGGGAGAGGAGCTGCCTTGGCTGCAGGCAGCATCTTCCAGGAAGAGGGAAGTGGTGGAGGGTGCTGCCGGTTTCGGGAGGTGAGGACAGCTGGCCAGGCCATTGTAAGCATTCTGGGGTTGAACGTTATCTTAAGCAGTATTGTATAGAATAAACGATTGGAATGATGTGATACCATACTGATGTTTTGGAAAGACCATAGAGGCATTTTCAAATACGTTTCTATTTGTGAACTGGAAAAGGAGGAATGTTAACAAGGAAGCTACTTGCATCATCTTTTTTACGGTAGGATAAGCAAGCATGTTTTGGGCTGTTCTGCACCTTCAGTGAGTGCTCCCTCACTGCCCTCCATACATTCATGTCCTGCATAGACGGGTTTCCTAACTTGATTGTGCCTCAGGGTCACTCAGTGAATGTAAAAGAAGACTATAAAAGTTGTAGAAGCCCAAGTCTATAAAACGATTAGCTCATCATTTTTATTTTTATTTTACAGAGAAGAAAAGAAAAAACAACACAGAATTTCATACCACCCTGAACACACCCAATCTCGTCCAAACTCATAATTTTTAAGTGTTACCTCTAAACCCATGTTAGAACAAACAAAGCCCTCTCAGGAGATTCTAATGCATCTAAATTAATACTGGCTCCCTAAGCAACTGTTAGGGTAGTATCATCTATCCCCCAAGTAGAGATTTCCAAGTAAATCTTTCCCAGTTTTTTCCTGATAATAATCAGTAAATATGCACTTTGTGAGTTTGCAGTACAAATACCCATTTATTCTTTAACTTGTCTTCATCACAGGTAGATGGCACCAACCTTCAAGGTTTTACCAATCAACAAGCAGTCGAGGTATTGCGACACACAGGACAAACTGTGCGCCTGACGCTAGTGCGGAGGGGAATGAAGCAGGAGACGGAGCTCCTGGCAAGGGAGGGTGTCGCAGAGGATGTGGGTGAGTCTCTAGTCAATGGCAGCACAAGCCAAGGTAATGCCAGGGTAGTCTGATGTTTGGTCAGACCTTTGCGCTGTGTACACTTTTTTCTAATTCTAAAATAATTTGAAGAATGGTTTTTATCCTGAACTATTTATAATGAACCAAGTAAAAACAGGAGGTTTAATCAAGTTGAAATGAACTAGAACTACCAACCAGTCCACGAACTATATAATGGGTTTTTGACTGTGGCGTATTTTTTGCTATTGTATCCACCCAGTCTCCATTTCTCCATTATAAACGTGCAGTTATCTCCCTTCTCTCCCTGCATCATCTACCTGCTGTCCAGGCCTTCCCCTTGCATGTCATCACAGGGTTATGTGGGCCCGGTGCCGACTCTACATAACCCTCTGTGCATGAAGAAACCAACTTGAACTCTTCCTTTAGAAGTGCTGTGCCATTCATAACCTGTTGCCAGCTGAATATCTCCGCAAACCACTGGAGCCCCGTGCAGCTCACTGACGGAAGAGTTCATTGTTAGATTCAGGCTACTGTCTGGAAAGTGCTGCTTTGTTTGTAAAACCGTTAACTCTTCTGGTGTTTCCGCTGTGCAGTACTTACTGCAGTCCTAGAAGATGGGAGCAGATCGCAGAAGAGTACTTGTCCGTTTGTAGGAGGACTTTCCTTCACACAGGGCTACTATGGAATTTATCTCAGAAAAAAAAAAGACTTGTTCTTAGGGGTTCAAATAAATGTGGTGGCTTAGAAAATTCAAGTCCTTGATGATATTACTGAAATAACTATTAAATGTTTTTATCTTTAGAAAATTGTGAAAAAGATGAAGACTCTTTGTCTTTGAGGAGAAATGTCAGCATATTACCAATTGAAGAAGAAGGTAAACATGTAGAGACAGGCTGTGATGTTCTTTATTATGCTTCTAAAGAAATGATTTTTACAAGTGAAATTGAACCTTTATGGATAATACTGTAAGTTACTCAGAGTCTTTTAAAAAGTGAAGATTATAAATCCCTATTTATATAAGTAGGTATAAATAATTGCTCTCATATATTAAAATAGTTCATTTACACCTGTTATATTTTCTTGTTGAATTGGCCTGTTTTTTCTTTTACTTTTTTTAAACCAGGATCCTTAAGGAATCAATTGGTTATATATATGTGTGTATGTGTGTGTATATATATATATATATATATATATATATTAGTTTAAACTTAATCCTATTTCTACACAACTGACATGTCTCTGCTTACAAACAGTAATGATAATAAAATGATATAGTATTTAAAGATAAGCACATGTAAATCTTTGTAAGTTCATAAAATTGAAACTGTCCAATTTTGGAAGGCTGTTTCTCACTTTTCAAATTTCTTAAAGGTTCTAAATTTTAACACTGAGAAAGTGGTTTGGAAAATAATTGTACTGAGATCTTATCAAACTCTTTTCTGAGACTTCTTTCATCAAGCCGTTTAAACTTTTTTGTGGCAGCACCGTTCAGTGGGGCATTGTGCTAGAATGAAGCCGCCATCCCTTTATGCCATGTGTCACATTCTTCCCTGTGCCTGCCTCACGCTGTATGTGCTTTGGTGACTTAAATCCACTAACAGAGTCCAAGACGGAGCCCCTTCCCTTCGTGTGAACTGTGTTCATCATTAAAATTTAGCTCTTTAACATACCTGCCCCTTCAGTGGACCTTGCTGCTGCAAGTCTTGATTTCTTTTTATTATTTTAGATGGATACTTGTTTGTAAAGAGTATCACATACGGGAGATGTGTAGGGTTCACACATACTGATTGTATCTGCCATTCTTACAGTAATAGGTAAAGGAATTATTTAGACTGAAGTGAATATCAAGAATGGAAGGAAAGCATAAAGAGATTAAGAGCATGAAAGTTGAGAGAGTGAGTGGAAGTGGGTGTGGTGGGGTTAGCTGGAGGGCTCAGGACCATCTGCTTTGCTCTAGAGATGACAGCTAATGAGAAGTTTGTGTGCTTGAGGAGGGGTACGTTATACCTATAATCAGGAGTCCTGGCATCAAGAAATCATTTTATTAACGTAGGATATAACAAATCTGCAGAATATGCCTGGAGTGAGAGCTCTTCAATTTCCACCAGAAGGAGGCAGATCATGAGACATCTGAATTTTGGAGCACTCTTTAAATTTGGAATTTGAGCACTAAAATTAGAGAATACTGCTTAGTAGAGATTTTTAAAAAGGCAACCATTATGAATAAGAACTGTGGTTCTTATAGGAATAATTGAATATGAATATAGAAATAAATATGAATTTATAATCCTTCTAAGCAGTTTCTTGCTTTAGATAAGCATTTTAAATTCAACATTGTTTATGCAGTTTGATGATGATTTTTCTTCTTTATTTTGATTTCCCTTTTTGCCAATTAGGTTTTATTGATAGTTTTTTATTCTGAGTTTAATCTCAGTGTTTCTTTTAATTTATATTTTCTTGGTGTATGTAAATTTGTGTATGTTATTTGTTAATTTCCTTTTGCTCAGCAGTAGCAGAGCCTTTTTTCCTCCTAAAATACTACATGGAAATTAAAATGAGAGGTGACATAGTTTTTTGCCAGAGCCTCTAAAGGACTCCCAACTGAATCCTAGGTCTACCTAGAGTTCTCATTCTTTTAAATAAAAGTTAGATAACTTTAATGGAAATGTAGTTAAGATTTGGAAAAGATCCATCAAAAGAGAATATAGTTCTAAATAAAACTGCTACAGTAAGTGTAGACGTAAGAGTAACACGGATCGGGTGAAGAGTGACTTGGCGCAGCAGACAGGCCCTCGCCAGCCTGCCCGGTTCAGAAGGCTGTGCTGAGAGTCTGAGTCCTCACGTACCTGTCTCGGCTGCTTCAGGCTTCCCCCTGCTCTCCGATGAGGTGGAGGAGACGGAAGACGCACAGCAACGAGAAGCTGCCCTGCTGACAAAGTGGCAGAGGGTGATGGGAGTGAACTATGAAGTGGTGGTAGGTTGGCTTCCCCTCCCCGATGTTCTAACTCACACCTGAGAAAAATACAATCTGAAACGGTCCAGAGAATTAGCACATATCTAGTTTTTTTAGAGAAGACCTCAATTGCTAATCTAGGTCCTGAAATCTCAAGATGAAGAATGTTACCCAGTAACCAAGGAGCTGAAATAAGTAGAATGGAAGTTTTAGAACTCATATTTCATCAATATTTTAATATTTCTGCCAGTATAAGTAAAATAGAGACAAAGTATTTTTCTAGTTCTTAAACTTAAGACTTATAGAAAGAATCCAAATGGAGTGAGAGTGTTGAAAAGAGGACGAAGCCTGTCGTGGCCTGTGCACAGAACTGCAGAACGTCTTTCCTTCCCTCCTCCTTTCTCACTCTCATGTACAAGAAATGGTTTCAGAGTCCCTGTCCCATGCCCCCTATAGCATGGTGAGTATTTTGTAGCATAAAACAGTTTGCATATCTAGTCAAACTATCACAACCTGCTATTTTAAAGAGAGGTTTAACAAAGTGAACACAATTATTAACCTCTAGATATATACCAAAATATTTTAGGGATTTCAAAAGGAAAAATAAAACAATTCTGCTGTGCAGATTTTTCATACTACTTATATTTATCTGTGTCAGAACAGATAAAGAACAACAGATACTAACATATATTATCAATAATTAACACTTACAAAGCCCTTCTTTACTATGCAATATTCTTTTAATTTTCCTAGCAGTAATCTTTTAAACATTTATGATGATTAACTTTCAAAGGAGAATTGAGTAAGTAGATCTGTTATTACCATTTTCAGTTGAGTTGTGGAAAAATGCCCTACCTAATTCCAGCTCAGAAATGATTAATTTAGCGTGTTCTCCTATGGGGTAGAGTTAAGATGGCTGGCATGTATAACTGAGACTAGTTTTTTAGGTGGTAACTGAATAATGAAGGGAACTCTTTTTTTTTAGCCATTTTGTCACAGACTTCAGAGCTAACATTGAACTTCTCTGTCCCATGTGCACATAATTCTCTTGCTGGTACTCCTAGTAATCTGCCCAGGGCAGAAATGTTCCCTGAGAAAAAGAGTAAGTTATTTATGGATCTTCATCAGACAAAGATAGACGAGATGGAGATCTAACTTTACATCATATGATATCAGTTATGCGGCATAAATGTAATACAGCAGAGAGAAGCACTGATAAACATTATCAGTGGGGCCCTGGAAAGCTTTGCGGAGGAATGATGTCTCAGTTGGGTTTCAGTGGTGAGAATTCATTCAGCATTACATTTCAAAGTCTGATAGTGACTTTACATAAGTTACTATTAAGATGTGAAAGAACTCTTTAAAGAAATAGCATTTTCTCAGTTTTTTACCCATTTCATTAAATTTGAAATAAAAAGTCAAAGTTGGTCATTTTTAGCATACATACTGACTTTAATACAAGTATTGGACTCTGTGCAAAAATAGGTAATTTCCTGGCATAATTCATTAGTGAGTATAAGAAGCTTTTATTCACTTTTAATGTTCTGAATGATCGTTGTTTTCCCTCAGTACAATTTAAGGTCACGAGGGTTGTAGGAGCAGGTTGCCTAATAGCCCTTTTCTCCCTGGACAGCTCTAGTTAAATTAACCCCTGTGAATCTCATTTAACTTTTTTAATACAAAGAGAGAAATTATACCTGTACATGAAAAGCAAATGAGAAAACTAATGAAGTGAGGTCAGCACAGTCCCTGGCACATAGTAGCAAGTGCTAAGTATGTGTCTTTTCTGTACTCTTGTTTGGGCTAAGGCCTTAAAGAAGTTCTGATGTCCTGCAATCTATTACGAGCATCTACACACACTGAGAAACACCTTGGGTGGTTGCAGATGGCTGCTTCTCTTCGTTATTTTTGGTTCAAGAAACCAGTAGCTATCAGTATTCTTTCAAAGGCAAAGCTTTGAAGCTTTGCAGGATTACAGTAAGGTTTTTGACATTCTTACTAGAAAATTAAAAATTTTGAAATGAACATAAAATACATGCATGAGTAGGAAAGAAGAAAGAATATATGAAAATTGTGATGATTTTTTCTCTTTCAGGTGGCTCATGTGAACAAGTTCAGTGAGAACAGTGGATTGGGGATAAGTCTGGAAGCAACAGTGGGGCATCATTTTATCCGATCTGTTCTACCAGAAGGTCCTGTTGGACACAGTGGGAAACTCTTCAGTGGAGATGAGCTTTTGGAAGTATGGAGCTATGCTTTTCTTCTTCTTCCATAAATAAAACTAAAAAGCCTACAAGGCGGCTTACTGTGGTCAGTTTATAAGGTCTCATTTTAAATTTCTCCTGCAGAGAATAATTGAGATCTACTAAAATGCGCCCAAAGCAGAAATTTTAAATCTGTGTGCACATGGAGCTTCAGAAGTTATTTTATGTTGGTTTTTATTTTGCTTTAGGTCCCAAGAATTTACAAAACTTTTATTGAAAAGTTTTAAAAATATATTTAATTTTTAGAATAAGTAATCCAATTTTCAACAGAATGACTTTCTTCCTTCATCCTTTGTGGATATTTTCATTAGTTTACCTTTTCTAGACTCCTGCACTGGCAGATCAAATGTGAATGAGACCTAATAGTTTTTCACAGAGTTTTTTAAAAGCTCCAGTTATAGCAAAACTCCAAACTTGTTCATAAATTGCTTTGGATAGTACTTTCGTATGTCTAACTACAGTTCTGGGCATTGCATAACTATGGTCATCACCACAATATAATTTGTTTTTAATAAAGTATCTTCTGAAGAATATTTATATTATTAAGTGTTTTTCTTATTTGGGTAATGTATCTCTTTTTATAGGTGAATGGCATAACTTTGCTTGGGGAAAATCATCAAGAGGTGGTCAATATTTTGAAAGAACTGCCTATAGAGGTGACGATGGTGTGCTGTCGTCGAACTGTGCCTCCCACCACCCAGTCAGAATTGGATAGCCTGGACCTGAGTGATATTGAGCTGACAGAAAAGGTATAAAACTTAGAGATGAGGCTAATCTGAATATATAATGGAAAGGATATATGGCGCTAAAACTATAAGCCATTTTTGTTTTCATCGGTATTTGATTTCCTCACATACCTCATAATTAGAGGGATGATCTTGCAGTCAGACAGATCTGGGTTTGAATCACGCTTGACACTAGCTGTGTGACCTTGGGCAAAAATCACTTCATCTTCTTGTATTTTGTTTTTCTGTAAAATTCGCCATGACACCTGCCTCAAAGAGTTGCTCTGGATGCTAATACAAGTAATGATATTAGATATTATCACATACAGGCATTCGTATAATTTATTTGCAATATTTCTATGAAATAGATGCTCATATATCCCCACTTACAGAAGAAAAAAGTACGTGAATATTATAAATGTAGTACACATATGGAGAAAGATGCTTTTCTGTCAGTTCTGTGCCTGGCACAGAAGGAATAGCTAAAATAGGCGTGGACAGACCATTTCAGTGTATAGAGGTCTTACTTGCACGCTCTGGTTTTAAAGTAAGAAATTTGAGCTCATAATATATGTCAAATAATTTTCTGTGACATCCAGACACACTCATTTTCTTGTCTGCTTTTCTTTTCCATTCAGATCAAAATGTCAAGTGTTGTTGCTAATCAGCTTTTCAGAGGATGCACAATAAATTTCTAAAGTTAAAATTTGGGTTATGCATAATTTATAGCTGTTTTGGTTACTTTTTTCTCATTGCTGAGACAAAAATACCTGACACTCAAAATTAAGGAAGGAAAGGTTTATTTAGCTCACAGTTTGTGGAAGTTTCAGTCCATACTCAGCTGGCTCCAAGGCGGGGGGTCACGTCACAGGGGCAACAGTATAAGGCTGCAGCAAGAGCAGGAGGGAGGAAAGTAAGCCTCTTTTCCTCCCTGACATTGTGTGCCCTCCTCTTCCTTACAAAGTAAGGACCCTGGCCCCCAGCTGAGTTACACTTCTAAACTTCTCAAGTTGATACAGTGTATCAACCATTGCAATAGCCTAGCCAGATCTCATTTAAAATATTAGAGGTGTTGTTGGGATTTGATTTACACTATACTGAAGGAATAATGGAATACTTTTGAAAACTTTAAGGAGTAAAGTTAACACTTTACAATATATACATTCTACCATGCTTTGGTTGGGTTTCCACACCGTTTTTATGGGTCTATTTTTAAAGACAATCATTAAAAGAACATTAAAAGCATAGTAGCTACTGGAGTTTCAAAAATGGATTTCTACTCTACACAGCCAACACAATGAAGGATTTCTGCAGTTTACCTGCTGACCAAAAGCACAAATACAAATTTATATTTTAGTAATTTCACTTTCACTGAAAGTTTAATTAAAGGTAAGCTCACCGCCCAGCAGGTTAACACGTGTATGGAGGCACACAGATTCAAATATTCTGTTTACATGCTTTTGGCAGACTGAGATGTTACATTAAATTCAGAGTTATGCAGTAAGCTGAAAACATGTTTTGGCATGTATTCAGCCAAGTTTAAGTGACTTTCCTGTAATTATAAGATAGAAACTTCACATGGGACCTAAAGCAGTGATGTAAAAAGATTGGTTTGGGGAATTTAGGCCAGTTTATCTAGAAGTTAACTGCTAAGTTGGTTTTTCAGGGTTTTTTTAATCATCTAGAAGATAATAGATGCAGAAATGAATCATATGAACGGTAGTTTGCTTGTGAATCTTATGAACAGTAGTTCTAATCAATTTTTATTTAAAATTCAATAAAAGTTAGTAATTTAATGGATGATAAGATTATAGTAGAATAGAAAACCTAACTCCAAATCTTGTACAGCTCAAAGGCAAGAATCATACATATCCATGCACATTTTAAGGTGGTATAAGTGAGATAATTACAATAAAACAGGTGGATATATTTGTATCCATGATCCTATGTTTTCCATAATTAATTAAAGCAAAAGTAGTATACAAATTAGAATTTCTTCCTAATCAGCACATTTTTCTTAAATTTGATATATTTATACATGCACATGAAGTTGAATTAACCTATGTTCACTTTATTTTTACTGCAAGAAGATAACATTTTGAATCCTAATTTCTGTGTTTACATGTTTGTAAATGTTACTTCATTTAATCCCCCAAAATTTCTATGAGATGAGTAACTTTGAAGCCCATGTTAAGAATGTGGTTCAAGGCAACAGGTGAGAAATCACGAAGTCAAGCTTCAAACCCAAGAAAAACTGATTTCGTATCTAATGGCTTGGGACTGTTTAATTTATTAATGAAACAAGCTTGTGCCTAAGTCACAGCACTTTAGAACCCTTGTTTGCAAAAGTGTAATATATATATTTTTTCTCTTGAATTGTTATATATATAAGGATTTTATTTAAAATTTTATTTACTTTTTTTCCTGACACAGAGGTAATGAAAAAAGTGAAGAACACCCATAATTGTGCCCCTGCAGTATGACTACTATATAATCCTATAAGAAATCTTCAAATATTACATTTTTAATACTGGTTACAGCTTATTATTTTTCTTCTTTAGTAAGTTATACCTTAATTCTTAAAGGAATCTTTCCTTGGCCATGTTGACATCTGTGTCTGCTACTCTGCTCCTGTGAAGTAAGAGCTATCTGATCTGTTATCTAGCCCCACCTAGATCTGGGTGAGCTCATTGGGTCGTCGGAGACAGAAGACCCACTGCTGGCGGTGACTGGCGTGAGCCAGAGCACGGAGGAGGCTCAGGCACCTTTGGCCATGTGGGAGGCCGGCATTCAGCACATAGAGCTGGAGAAAGGGAGCAGAGGCCTTGGATTTAGCATTTTAGACTATCAGGTGAGTGTACACTTACTTGTAATAATTTTTCTAAAAAAGATGCCATATACTAAAATATATAATATTGACAGCAAAGTGTTACAGTCATGAAAGATATTTTCTTGCTGTCAGTGACTTTCAACATAGTAATTTATATGATTCAGTGGTCCTCATAAAGGATTTCTTTTAACAGTGAATTCATTGAGCTATTTTATATTTGAACTCTTAGAAATTTGGGAACACAGAATACATTTTAGGAATATCATAGAAATATAGTGTTTTTGTTATTTGAGAGGTCTGTTTTATATCCCTGTTCTTGATTGGTGGATCATATTTAATTATAATTCATAAAATACTAGATATGCATTTCTTTTGTCTTATGTACATGATAGGTGTATAATATGATGTATGGTAGGTTCTAGTGTGCCGGTTACGTCACTAAATGTTTGAACATGTCTAAAGTGGTCAGGTGCGGCCTGTGTCCTCCCCGGCACTGGGTTCTGTGGTGAGGAAATGAGGAAGTGCTGTCTGATAGGGCACAGTGTTGCCCCTTACCAACCCCAGGCAGAAAGCTGTCTCAGTTAACTCTAGGGAGTTGTGTTCCTAGTCTTGATTCTGCCATCATGTTCTAATGTTGAGGTTGCTGTGGGAATGGAAAACTGCATCACCAAATACCCTCTGACCTTTTTGTTCTGTATTTCATTTCAAAAGAATGGGTGCTACCTTTAGTACGCTCACATCTAGTAACGCCTGTTAACAAATGCTGATGTTAATAATAGTACACCTGGCATTGAGCCTCCAGTGGGCTATAAAATTTGACGGCTCAAAATTACCATCTCGAAGTTGTCTGTACAGTATAAGAGCTCTGCTCAAGAACATTAGCAAATGAGAGTGGTACTGTTTCTGGCAAGCTCTTCATAAACTCTCTAACCTGAAATAGAGACAACTGTTGCCCAAATAATTTATTGGAAATTTCATACAGAATTTTTTTGTATACAATTTTTAAGGTATCTGAAGCAATTAACCATTCAATACAATTCAAACAGGATGACCTAGAAAAGTTTTCCAGTGTAAAAAAGAAATGAGTTCCCATTGCTGTTCATTCTGTTAGGACCCGGTTGACCCAGCAAGCACTGTGATTGTGATTCGTTCCCTGGTGCCTGGCGGCATTGCTGAAAAGGACGGACGACTTCTTCCTGGAGATCGCCTCATGTTTGTCAATGACATTAACCTCGAACACAGCAGTCTGGAAGAGGCGGTGGGAGCCCTGAAGGGAGCTTCGCTGGGGACTGTGAGGATCGGGGTGGCCAAGCCTTTACCTGTAAGAGTTTAGATGCTGGCGCTTTCTTCTATCTTTATAAGAAAAATGGTTCGTAGGCTTCTTTTTTAGCTTCAGATGTTCTTGTGATAGAATCATCACTGTAGGTGCTTTCTACCAACACGGTTGTTAGCCACGTAAGTATACAAATTTGACTTTGAGTGATATTTTTAAGAGGATCAAGGAAAGCAAATAGCCAGGATATTCACAGATAAATTTGTAACATTGCTTTATGTTTTTTTTAACCTTATTGAAATTCAGTAATAAAGTCATGATGAAGGCAAAATCAGATGTTTCAAGAAATATGGATTCAAATATTAAAATACCAAGGTATTGGGGGTATTGAAACTGAATGCCATTTACAACTCATCGTAGACTCTTTAATCACAGTGAGGCAGAGTAGAACTTCCAGCAGAGTAGCTTGAGTTCTTCAATTATTTTGATCTCAACATGTTTGTTGTCTACTTATTGTAGAGCAGGACATTGAACTTTGCAAAACGGGTTCATTGGTTTGTGGCTACCTCATGCGCGGGCGTAGTTCCCGTAGTGTATACTGCAGTGTTGGGAGCAGCAAGCGAATTTCTGCCCTCTAAAACAGTGTGCTTTCTTGGTGTGCTGTAACACGGTACTTACTAATGGCCACTGTAGTGCAATTCAATATTAGACACATTGTGAATTTTTAAAATTTTTCCCGGTATATAATTGAGTTTTAAATGAAAGGGTGAATATATTTTCTCTTCAGAAAATACAAACACTTAAGATACATTTGCATAAATTACAATAAAGATTTATTGATTTTTTTGTGAAAGGATTTAAGTAATAAGCTTTGTTAATATATTTTAAAGTTAAATTATTCCATGTACCAGTTGTATTCCATGCAGAATTTCAATAACCTATAAAACTGTACTTATGAAAAAGTAAAGAGAGAAAGGGAAGAATGAAGAATACGCTAAACCACCCTAAAATTAAACCAAGATTATAGAAATCATGAAGAAGATCCGAATAAAGGGCAATGCACGAATGAGCTAGGCCATTATGAGACTGCAGCTTCATTACGGTTGGATCATAAATTTGGTTCTGCTCTTTCTGTTAGGCAAAAAGAAATGGCAAACAGGTTCAGTACACATTTCTTACTGCCCTGAAGGAGAAACTGTGCCGTTTATTTTGAAGCACGGTCTTCTTTTTCTTGCTAGTTCCAAAATAAATTTCTTACAATACAAAGTCTGCTATTTGAAATTTAGTGTGCATTGTAACACAGGATGAATATATCTATTACTTTGAGTGAAGCTGAATAAAATTAAACTCACGTTTGGAAACAAATGGAAACCAGATTTTTCCTGTGATATTTATGCATGTATATACCTATTGCTGATGCCGAGGATGTATCTAAATGTTTTAACCCATTTTGTTGGAGATCGGAATAAACTGTCAGATTTTTTCAGTCGGTGTGCTCAGGATTACAGTGTAATAGCTCAGGGCTATAATTTAAGCAGACAGTGTACTTGTTTTTGTTCTATTTCTTATAAGCCATACTAAATTATTCAGCTTCACTGTAGGTTCAGTAACATTCCTTGTCAAATCAATCATATTCTTTAAAGTAATATCCTAAAAAGGGGTGAGAGAGATGATTTTTTCTTTTCAGTGTTTCCTCTCTCTACACCTGTTTTTAAGTCTTAATAACTTAGGATTTGCCTGTCATTCTTTGGCCAGAATATTTCAGAGTTAAAATGACCTGAAGATTACTATGATTTTGCTTTTCTTTTTGTTTTGGGGGACTGGTTATTGAACTCAGGACCCTGCGCTTGCCAGGCAGGCACTTGTGCTGCTGAACTATATCCCCGGCCTGATTATTATAATGTAGAAAGTTGTTGATTTTGATAATCTTTTATAAGAAGAGTAAAATAAGTAGAAAGATTCTCATCTAACGTATGATGTTTATACTACAATGAGTATCCTCTGTATCTTTTCAAGTAAAGTGTTGAACATGGGAGTTTGTCAAATTTATACTTATCATTCTGTGTTCAAGTCATTTGGTATCATTTGAAAACCTCCCATTTTTTACTTCTCTCCCTTCATTTTTCTTCCCCTTGTCTGCTTCCCTCCTTTCCGTTCTTCTTCACTGCTCTCTCTTTCCTGGGAACTGGTACTTAAACATCATTCTGCAGCTGTCACCAGAAGAAGGTTATGTTTCTGCTAAGGAGGATCCCTTTCTCTACCCACCACTGTCCTGCAAGGAGCAAGGTCTGCGTGCCAAAGCCCTCTGCGGGGCTGACTTGGCTCTGGTTAGTGGCCCAAGTTATCCAGCGTTCTTTTCGAATTTTTATATGTCTTACTTTGCCTTTCCAAATATTCTGAATAAAACTTACCATACTCTTTGCTCAGTATATTTTAGAAATTTATTGTGTACATCTTACTTTCAACCAGATTGTGACCTATTTGTTCTCCTGTATATATTTTGGTAAGCCAAATTTTGAAGGAGTTCTTTTTGTTAATCTTTTTAAATTAAAAGCTCTTGAAGTAGCTCTCTGGGAAGTTATATATCCTGTACAACGTACTATTATCTTAAATAGTACCCAGTCATAGCAAATTATTATTGAAATGTCACAGGACACAATTATATCAGTCTTTAAAGTATCCCAAGAAACAGTATTCTCTGTACAGTTTGAATGGCTTCTTTACATTTCTTTAAGTGAATGTCAATCAAAGAGATTAGTCCCACTTTTATGAATGCTTAGCATTTTATGATAAGAATAGACAACCTGGGATCTTGTCCCTAACCAGCTATATAATGTTGGGCTGCTCAACTACTTAGTTGAGCTACTGGATCCTAGTATTTTTATCTCTACAGTAATTAAGCAAACTAACTTTTAGAATTTCCCCTAAGATTCTAAGGCAATAGGTATACAAATTATATTGAGATATTCTTTCTTAAATACTATTGAAAATATGTTTTATCTGTTACAACCATGTTGCAAGACAGTTAATACCATCTATCTCAATAGTAAACACTAAGTATTTATTATCTAATTTGTTGTACATAACGTACATTAATAAAAGGTGAACCTCTACGTAGTGACTCACTAGTGAGTTTGAATCTGTACTTAAACTATGCTATCAAGCCCATGAAACACACTTCAAGTGAAAGTCACCTTGAAGTAGCCTGAGTGTGTTTTAGGAGCTTTTTCAGTGGTACCTGAGCAGGGCGGTAGTGCATCTAACTTCTTCTGAACACCTGAGCTGAAATCAGCTAAGTAGAATATGTGGAATTCACCATGAAGATAACCAGAAGACACTGACAAATCCTAAAGTGTGAGCATGAGTAAATCGCAGGTGTCGAACTCAGTGTGACTTTTTCACTTGGGTCTGCCACAGAAGATAGTAATAGAATTTTTAGATAATATATGGTGAAATTACCTATCTCATTCTGTATGAGTTTCCTAATAGAACTTTGTAACCTAAAGCTTCGTCATAACCAGATGATAATTAGGTCCCTTATTAGAATAATTTTAGCATGAAATCAGATTTTTGTCTTTGGTTTCTATAACTTCAAATGGTTTCAAACTCTAGTTAAAGGTGAACTAGATAAAACACGTCGTGAGGTTTCAAAAATGTAATTGCTGTGTTTTTGAATAAGTTTATTTTAGTTGAATAGAAGAGAGAACCTTGTTCATTTTATGAAGTGTAAGAGCTGGTCCTTTGAACTTGAAAACAATAAATATTTTCTTTAACTTTTGAAAATGTTAATACTTCACATTGATCCTGGCCTTCTGTTGTTACTTGTAGCCTTTTACTGATAGGATAAAATAGCCTTCGATGCCAGCACTGTCCTCGAGGGGCAGTTTGGCCTTGTTCTGCCTCACAGTCGGTCAGATGTGCCCAGGAGGGTGGAAAGAACATGTAGCAAACAGGGTAGAGGCAAGAATGATGCCGCTGCGCCTTGTAGCGTCCGCTGGAGGCTGTGGTGTTTGTGGTGAAGCAGAACCCCTACTGACACCGTCTCATTCCTAGGTGGAGTCGCGCGATGCCGGAGTGCTGGATGAGTCCCCATTGGAGTCGCAGTGCTCTCCTGGTACTGACAGCGTCTACTCTACCCAAGCCTCTGTCTTATCTTTCCACGGCAGTGCTTGCAGTGATGGCCTCAGCCGTGGTCCCTCCCTTCCATCATCCCCTACCAAGGTACAGATCAAAAGCCGTCTTGCTTACGAGAAGGCGTTGTGTGTCATTTTCCAGAGCTTATTATTTAGGGGCCAGTTGTAGTAGTAGCATACTGGAGACATACATTTCCCCAGCTGTGGATTCGCTATCAGATTAAAGTACAAGTTCGTTTAGCTAGTGTTGATGGGCTATCTTTCAGACTAGTGTGACTGTTTAATTTTAATACCTGTCGGGTAGAGCGATAGATACAAGGGTTCAAAGTTTTGATTAGAATTTTCATGTCAGAAAAAAACCTAATGAAATGCATTTTCCAAGTTGTGGGTTTTAACATTATTTATTTTGGAAAAATTATAAGAATAACATTGCTTTCTTAATGTTTTTAGAACTAACCCATGCATACTTGCATATTAAAATGTTTTCTGTAATTTAAAATGTATTAGCTAAGGCAAATTTAATGCTGTATTCTTATATAAAATGATGCCAAAGAGTAATTTATATAAAAGTCACGGAACATACTTTGGTATGTTTCCATCACTGGATGTAAATGAAGAGTTTGTTTATTGTTTGACATAGCATCTACATTTTAGAAATATATTATTGGCATAGATACCCCAGTGCTATCCATTTTTTGGTGACATAGTCTATAATGTTTAGTAAGTAATAGTTTAAACCTACCTAATCTTTTAAGTGCAGAATAGTATGGTATTTCTTTCTTTAATTTGTATTTACTGATTACTAGTGAGATTTAATACTTTTCCACATACTGGCCATTTGTTTTTCATATTTTATCAACAATATTTCATATATTTTGACCACTTTTATATTAGTTGCTTATCTTTCAGATGATTTGAGTAGTTTATATATCTGGAAATTAATGCATAAAGTGATTTGATAATTATTTTTACATGTATATCTGCATATAGTGAAAATCTAAATATATGTAGGCATGATATTTCTCAACTTCAGGAAAGAAATTTTCCTCATTGAAAAAAAGGAAACATGGGAACTGAGCTGTATATATCATATTGTTTTAAGAAAAAATGATTGAAGAAAATATGGAAAATGTTCATATCTGTTAAATATAGGCAAAGTGTTCATAAGTAGATACATTTTCTTTACTTTTCTGTGTTGGAAATATACCGTAAATATGCTTTAAAATAAAAAGACTGGACAGTCATTTCTTTCTTAAATATGTAATACTTTTTCTGCATAGAGTGAGTTTATGGGAGTCTTGTTCATGAAGACATTAGAAAGTTGTATTTTCATAGTTGTAGCACATTTTCTCCCTTTCCTAAATAACAAGTACTTTTTGGGCCAGAGCCTGTTGAAAGCATTTTGTTTTTATGTTCAAGGTGCACCTGTTTTCCTTGCAAATGATGCTGGGCGATCTCCTTGAATTGGTTTGCAGGTATAATCTTGCGTGGAGCAGCTGTTCTCTCCTAGCACACCCGAGACTGTCTGTCTGGCTGTGTTCTATCTGGAATATGTTCAGCCTGTACCGGCCTCAGGGCTAGAAGCTGAGTTCGTCTCCTAATGGGATCTCTTAATCCATAGCATAGCATAGCATACTTCTTGCCAGTGGGACAGATTGCGTTGTTTAACTTAGTAATTGTTACTTAAAGGGATTACACAGTCTGCATACTGAGAAGCATATATTTTACAGGGCAAATGCTGGTTGTATGCAACACAACATACTGGCTTACTGAACTGTATTTGCCTCTTATTTTGTTTTTTTCCCCCTAAGGAGTTTACTCTTTCGTTGAAGCAAATTTGGCAAGCTGGTCTAAAACTGAAATATTGAAACTATAAAACAACAAAGTATTAATGAGGGTGTTCTAAAAACACATTGTAAAACTCCAGGTGCTTTCTGTTTCTTAGGAAGTACAAGTAATCCTGCATCATGGTATGTCTCTGCAAATCTAGGGTCTGGTTCTTATTTTGACTACGCCTTTTTAAGTACTTGTATATTTACTGCACAGTTTATCCAAATAAAAAGTATATAAAATACTGTTCTTGTTCTTTTGCACTATATTCATCTTAAAAGACAGAATGGTGATTTATGACGGAATTTAGAGTTGACTTTTTTCTTCACAAATGAGTCCACATTAAGACTTTTAAATTGATAAAACTATATCATATATATATAATTCTTTAAATATATGGTATATGTGGGTATTTAAGAAAAAGAAGATGTCCCCATACTTATTTGAAAGGATAAAATAGAGTGTGAGGTCCCCCAGTGATGCCTTAGATTTTGACTTTGTTAAACATAATCATGTGGCCCTGAATGGAGACATAGTTTGAGCCATGTCTTCTCCTTGATGAGAGGGGCTCCCCGGGGAGCATGGACACAGAGCAAAGCCTTTGCCTTGTTTGTTTGGTTGGTTTACTGATTACTGATTGATCGATCCATCGATTGATTGATTGTAATACTGGGGTTTGAACCTGGGACCTTTGCACTGCACTGTACTAAGCTACATCCCCAATCCGTACTTGCTTGCTTATTCATATTTTATGTTGAGAGAAGGTCTTGCGGAGTTGCTAAGGGTGGACTTGATTTTGCCTTGGCCTCCCAGAGTGCTCAGATTACAGGCATAAGCCACCACGTCCAGCTGCAGCCTTGTTCTTCAGTGAAGAGTTTAGGACTAAGGAGTTTAAAGAACAAAGAATAGTAGCTGTTCATTTTTGCTCCTGTTCAAACAAGTCTCCCATTTCGGGCCCGCTCTGCATCTTGGAAACAATTTTTTATTAGTACGTTTGCAGTAAGTGTTGCTTACAGTCCTTGTGTGGAGTTGGTACGTGTACATAACACATCCTGATTCTTTCATCATCCTCTTTCCGTCCTCTCCTGCCACCATCTCTTGATCCCCTTCCTATTTGAGAAAGATCTATTTTTTAAAAGAAATATGTTTGCTTAATGTGATTGATTGTCAGTTTAGGATTTAAGTATGTTCACTTTCATGTCATTTGAATTAATCAGAGGCAGATTGTTGCAGTGTCCATTTGAAAGGCACATGGCCATGCCAGTGAGTCTTTCCTTTCTTACTATTCTGTGCTTTAATTTTTTATTAATATTACTCTGTTCTTTTCCTTGTTTCCTCCCAAGACATGACAAAATGCAGAAATAATTGTTTTCCAAACCTAACTGTTTGCAGAGTTTCGTTTAGAAGCTCAATCCGCTGTCTGAGAAGGTGCCTGCCCTAGCTCTCCCTGTTTTGACATGAAAATGTAACCACTGCACTGAAGCGCCGTCCACTGAGGCCCCCTTCCTTGCCCCACCGTGGGCCCGCGCCCTCAGTCTCTAACCAGGGGTGAAGTTGCTGCCAGGGCTGTGCGCGGCCTTCACTCCTGAGCGGGCTCCCCTGAAAATGATGTGGACGCTCCTGTTCGTCAGGGTGGCTACCTTGCTGCTTGTGCCTCACGTACCAGCACAACGAATGGGTTCTATTCTGCTTATGCGTCTGTCCTGTCTGTTCCTATAAATCCTTGTTTGGTGTTAGTCTCTAACAAAATGTTACTGCTTTTACATCCACATTTAGAAGTTGATGATGTCTTGGTGTTTTTTAGAAAAGTTAGGATCCAAAAGCTAGTTAAATCATTCCAATTAAAATGAGGACTGCTTGTGAAGGTCTTACTGACAGAGTTGGAGACTGTCAAAGGTATACAAGATGTTGCCTGCTCCTGCCATGGAGACAGTGCATACTGATAAAGGAAGGCACCGTATCTCCGAATGAGCAGAGAAGTTCAGTAAGTGGGGGCAGTGGTGCCTGCAGTCATTTTTTCCTGAAGTGTAACAAAAAATTCATCTGTTGCGCATTGGAAAAAAGTGGGTTGTAGTATTTAGCTATTCTATATAAATTTATTATCTTGATGAATATGGTGTTCAAGTATAACCTTAAGCATTTCACTTAAGAAATAGAGCTTTTATATAAGTACATATGATATTTTAATGTAATCTCTCCCCTATCTATGCCTGAGAACAAAAATACAAGGTGCGATTGAAATATACAGTATGACGAATGCTTAAAGTTAAAACAATAATTACAGTAAGAGCACATTGCCGTCAGCCCCCCTCAGAATACTTCCACGTACTCCAGACATTTATCTCATTCTTGCCACGAGAGCTAGGTCTGGAAGTTCTCTTCTGTGAGTATCTTCAGGAGGTGTAGTTAAGAAGTACGGTGAGGGGCTGGGGATTTAGCTCAGCGGCAAAAGCGCCTGCCTGGCAAGTGCAAGGTCGTGAGTTCAGTTCCTGGTACCGGGGAAAAAAAAAAAAAAAAAAAAGAAGTACGGTGAATGTCGGTACAGAGTGCCATCTAATGAAAAGGCGGACTGATAAAAACATTCCGCTGCATCCGCATTCACCTCATCCACGGGAACTGGCACCATGTAACTTCCGGCTCTCCCTTTACTTCAAAAAGACTATGAAAAGTAAATGTTTTACATTGATTCAGGACAACAAAGCAGCCGTGACAGCAGGACACTTACCGAGAGGTCCTGCACAACTGCTTTAGAAAGCAGCAAGAAAGAGAGGTGTGCAAAGTCAGGGGGCATACTTTGAGGGAGATTACTACAACTTATCTTTTATTGTAATAATTTTTTTAAATGTAAATGTTAACTATGTTTTTCGGTCACACTTTGTATATCAAGTGGAGGCAGAGATTAACATGGGCTTTTGGAAACCTTCAATTTAGGTATTATGATGCGCTGCAAAATTTAAGTTATTATTTTGCATTTTATGTGGAAGAACTTGTTTTTCTTTTAGATCATAAGAGTTAAAAATAAAACTCAGTTGTTCAGCAACCAAAAATGTTTCTATAGTGGGAGTATGTTGTCTGCTGTGTTATTAGCTATTTCTTTTCTATGGGTCTGTGTTAAGTCCTTCATGAATAATACATGAAAATCTCTGTTATACCATTTTCAGCAAACACCAGCTAACAAGGCTGGCTTGACCTCTTTTACTTTGAAAAGCAGTTTTGCTTGTGATCTTCATTTGAGGCATGGGTGAGATGATTTATGGCTAATTATTATAATTAATTTAGTAATACTGAAGCTAACCAGTTCTTTAGTAAGTACATTGTTATTTTTCTTAAGAATAAAATAATCAGAGCTAGGTGAATGAGACAACATGTTATTTGGACTCTGAGAATGTAGAACCTATTCCTTTGCTATTATTTGTTCCTGAAAAGTCTAAAGATATTAATTGCTCAAATGATAGACCAGCTATGTCCATTTCTTTGTTCCAGGTATATTTGATAATTTCAGAGATGATAACTTGCATTTAAGAAAAGAAGTGTAGTAAACTACGTTGCAGCAGTTAAATTCCTCATTTATAAAAAATACAGACATCTCATACTACATGTGAAATAAATTCTAGAAGACAAATCTGAAAAACATATATAAAGTGTAACAAAAATGTTAGCTCTTCATTTACTTTATATAAAGGAACAATTTTTTAATCAATATGTATAACCCAGAAGCCACAAAAATGAATAAAAGAAAAATAAAATTTACACATTTGATTATATAAGGAGTTTAATTTTTGTGTGACTAAAATGTTATGAATACAAACTGAAAAGACAACAGACGGAGAATATTTGCAGTGAATGTAAGAAAACGCTATATTCAGAATAGGTCACTGACTAGAACAAGTAAAAATCCTGATAATTGTTCCAAAAGTATTTTAATGCATGTGCTAATTTATTTCACTCATGCTACTAGTTTCTCCTAGTTCACTGGAAAGACAGTTTAGTGCTATTATCTGTTTCTTTTTTGGAAGAATCTTTGGATCTATGCCTTGTAGTCCGAGTAACTACTTTGAAGGTCATGATGCACAGTATATTGACTATTGTTATTCTCTTACTTTGTTAAGAAATTTTGTTTTATTTTCACATAAAATTAAAGAAAAGTGGATGAAGTATATGAAGAGAGTGTTCATGAAATATACACAAATGGACCAATTGTAAGGAATGTCACAGTAAAACATTGCTGAGTATTATTTGTTACAGACCAGATTACCAAACTAATCTCTAGTTGGTGAGGTTAGTAAATAGGTGTTCCCATATTCTCTTTCTGTGATAGAAAATTGGAAGATATTTTGGCAATACATACCAACATTGTAAGTTTGAATACCATTGGACCTCCCGCTGCAATCCTAGTGGTTTATAGCAAATACATTCTCACACATGTGTATGAAGTTGTATAATATAAATAATTGTAAAAGCTGACAACTTTTAGACATTTTCTTTCTAGTGAGGCCTTTTTTTAGTGGGTTTTAGCTTTGTCTTCCAAACACTCCTATATTAAGTCCTCTTATTTTCCCACATTAATAGGTTAAAAAAAAACAAGGTAAAACCACAGGTGTTTGACTAGCCAAAGTTCAGCTAACTACCTGTGAACCAGAAAGTGTACTCCCATACCACCCCTACTTAGGAATAACTTCAGCCATAAAATTAGGCTTTTTTTTTTTTTAACTCACAGGGTAATTTCTCATATCAGGGTGTAAGGATATTGGGAAAAAAGAACAAGTAAAATGTACTGCTTAATGTTGGTTCTGTTTAGGTTTCAAAAATGTATTATATTTCAGCTTGTGCGTGTGAGTTGTGTACTTATGTGCACATATTGTGCAAACTCATAAACTGGAAGAGGTAAATAGCTAATTGGTGCCCCCACTTACACGCATGGAGCAGTGGAAGTGACAGCTGTGAGAGAAGACCTTCGTGTTGTACTCTGTGGGCATCCGCAGTGCATATCTGTACGGCTTGAATCTTGCTCAGGGTAATGTGTTTATAGGCTACTTTTGCAATTTAAAAACATCAATTAAAAGTTGAAGGGAAATCTGATAGGTTTCTTCAACAACAGTTCATAAAACAACTTTTGCTCAAAGCATATAAGTAATACAACATGTCTGCTGTAAGTACGGATACATGTATTCATTTCTATAAAACTGTAAAACTTTACAGTTTCAGGGAATCACAGGAAGTGTCTAAGGCATGGCCAAGGAGAGGTTCTGTGATCCTCAGATCTCTGCTAACAGTCTGGGTTAGAACGTGACAGCCCAGTTTAGTGTTGTATTATATCTCATAAAACATTGATGAAAACTTCCCCTGTAATAATCTGAGTTGCAAGGCTTTCTTTTCATCTCCATAAATACCTATAAATGCTTATCGAAGTTTTCTCTCAGAGGCTCTTTTAAATCCAATTCAATTAATAGCATGATTTGAATACTCCGACCTCATAGTAAAGAGGAATTTCAGACTGACTGGAAATGAACTATACTTTAAAATAGTTTAAGTAAGATTTGGAAATGTAAATTATTTGTAATCTTTATGTAGTTTAAACCAAACAGCTATATTTGTGGATACAGGTGTGATCAAAAGATGTTAAATGTTCAGATTTTAAAAACGTCTCCCTGTAAAAGAGACATTGCCATTAATGCCCCCCAGAATGCCGCACCCCGTTTCAGACACATTTATCGCACCATCCTTGCTTCTCCCTGGAACAGTTCTGGAAGCCCTTTTGTATGAGTGGCTTTCGTTGTGCCATCATGGTTGCCTGGATGTCCTGCTGAATTGACTACTAACAGTTTACTTTTCATAGTTGTGTTGACTTTAGTGAAGAGCAAGAAGTTTCAGGGTGACAGGTGTGGTGAATAAGGTGGATGAAGACACAACATACTATTTTTACTTGACAGAAATTGCCATAAGCATTTTGAATCAATTCGGGATATTGAGGCAGCTATGAGAAGACATTCACAAAAGAGGATTTCTGGAACTGCTTTAGAGTGTGGCAAGCATGATGAATAAGTGTGTGGGATGTTTAGAAGGTGTAAAAAGGTATATACTGAGGGGCAATTAATGGCACTGTGTTTTTTACTGTAATAGAATTTAAAAAATTATTTTTAAACTTACACCATAGTTTCTGCTTATACTCAAGATTGTACCCGAATGTTATTTATGTATGGTATGTTGTATACGTATATGCATGTTGTATACATATAAACCAATAGAATATGAGATTTTCAGGAACTGTATTTAAAAAATTTATGAAAATAAATATGAGAAAATCTGCTAAGTGACTAATTCATGTTTGTGCTTTTTAGATAAATAATTGTGTTTTATTTTTCACTAAATAGCTGTTAATTAAGTAGCCATAAAATAAATTGATATAGGTCAGCTTATAATTTTTAAAATTCTTTTACTCATCAGGATGTTGATGAAAATTCCTCTGATCTAGTACATGATCTGCACATGTCCTTGGAAGAACTGTATGCCCAGAGTCTCCTGCAAAGGCAGAATGAGAATCCATCTTTAGCAGACATGAGCATGGGATCTGCTTCTGCGTTTGCCATAAATGACTATACACCTGCAAACCCTATTGAACAGTATGGATGTGAAAACACAGTGCCTTGGACTGAATCTCAGTTCCCGAGTGAAGTTACCTCGAGCGCAGAGCTTCCTTTTCCTGTGGCCCCCGACTCAGCCGGAAAGGTGACACTGTGAAGACATGGCTTATGTGTGATGAGACAGTGAAATTGGAGTGTTCTGGCTAGTCTGGGTATTTGAATGAGTACTTGTCTGACCCTGGAACACTGAAGCAACTTTTGAACTTGTTTTGGGTACAGGTTCTTGCTGAATAAAGCATTACTAGGTAGAGCACATGTGTAATGTTGAAATGTATTCCAAAGTCTAGTTTTCCTTTCTACGTAACTTGTTTTTTCTTGCTTTCAGGGCTCTGAGTGCTTAATTGAACGGAGCTCTCTATCCTCTAATGACCAGTCTGTCATGCTAGAAAATATGTCCAAAGAATCTTTTGAGAGGACTATTACTATAGCAAAAGGCAATTCTAGCTTAGGTAAGTTCCCCATTCCTGCATCTCCCCACTTCACCAAACCACTGGACGAGGGGAGGTATTGAGCATGATAGGTTTCAACGTGGTTTTTGCTGTATATGAGAAAATATAGTTTAGAAATTTTCTTGTAGTTTTTATGGGTTTTCTTTTTATGTTCTCATTATTTTTCCTGAAATGGTGAAGAGGGTTATTTACTTCATAGTCGCTTAAATCCCTCATTCTCAATTATTTCAGAGTAATCAGAAGCTTCAGTTACATTCAAGTAAAAGATACATGACTTGTTTGTGTATGAAACAGCAAATCAGAAAAGGAATTCTTAGAAAATTAAAAGTCATCAATTTGGAATTCCATAGTCTTTGGAAAAGTAAATTATTAGTTTCTTTGAATGAAACCAGTTATGCAGAAGTCAGTTTGTATTGAATCTGTTTCATTCACTGAAATAAAGACTAGAAACAGCCAGGTGTGCCACCACCAAAATGCGGGTGGAAGTTAGTGAGTAATTCTCCCCAGGCGGCGGGAATTCGAGGTCCTCCGTGATCCCTGAGTTGTTTCAGATGGCTGATCGTCACAAAACCCTCAGAACTGGGCAAGGAAGACTTCCTGTGGAAAGGAAATCCTAATTATCACAGCCCGAACTGCAGGGGCAGGGCACATTGTCCCATCACGGAGTGAGCAGTCGTGTGACTCAGTCCCGTCCCTCCTGCTCCTTGCTGATAACAGGAAGATAGATCAGTTACTCTGAGTGGCCAGATACAGCCCAAGGCTCTAGTTGGCTCTACATCACGGCTCCTTCCTTCTGTGAAGTCACTTTTTAAGTAATACCTTATGGTGGGCAGGCTTTGTTTTCCTGCTGAATTTGAGGCTTTGCAAAGGAGTCTCAACAGTATTTAGTTGGTAAGACTCCAGCATCTGTCTCCTGGATTTTGTTCTGTTTGGTGGTTGCTGGGTACTATCAATAGCAGCTAACTACAGACCTATAGCAGAGGATTTCTAACTTGTTGCCTATTTCATGCATGCTGTGTAAATATAGACACACCGCTATTAATCTCCCTCGAAGTATCCCCCACCCTTGCCTCACACACGCATCCCGTTACTCTCACCACTTGCTGAATCAGTCTGGGGGTCCTCCTTAGTGAGTACCACTGTGGGGAGCGCTGCTAGCCAGCGCCATCCAGTGGAAGGGTAGGTTGTAAAAACAGTAGTGTGTGTGCGTTCACCTTATTCACCAGCTCTGGCACCAAGTGACTTCGGACTCTTCCCCGAGGTCAAAATGACCGTGAAAGGGAGGCAGTTAGAATGGGTTCAGTACGTTGAGACAGCCGTACCGTACAACTGAAGTCACTCATGTAAAAGGACTTGCATGACCGCTTTAAAAAGCAGCAGGAAGGACTTGGAACATGAGGGGGAGTATTTTGAGAGGATTATTGGCAATGTGTCTTTTTCTGTAATAGATTTTTAAAAATTTAAATATTTCCCATAGTATTTGCTCATAACTCATACATTATATTTAATAGGATGATATAAAATTTAGTCTCCAGAAATTTCCATAACTCTTTTAATTATGAAACAAATATTACAGATGTCTAATGCATGCCAGATTTACTTCATCTAGTTCTGTTGTATTTTTGAAATATTACTCATAATACATACGCCATAGGATATTGACCGGAATTGTATGTGGGTTTAAAAGTTTGGATGTGGTAAATTTAAAATGTCTTTCTGGTATTATTTCTCAGTATATTTGATACTCTAGTATATATCCTGTATCACTGAGAAGAGATTATTGAATATAATGTTTCTAACATTTAAATGGCCATGGAACGTTTTAATTTTTTCTGTGCAACTCATAAAATAGAAAATTCCTATTTGAGAAGCCTTATTCTACTTGATTACTGAAGTATCATTTATTGTTTTTTATATTCTGACCACTGTACATAGGCACCATAATGTCATCCCTCTTAATAAGGAACAGAAGTTTAGAGAGAAAGCTAATTAACAAAATCCTAAAGGCACTAAAGTATTATACATCCTACAGTACACATTCATATAGAGACCATTGAAGACTTACAGGAGAGAAAATAGCTAACTCCTAGTTTCTTACATATAAAGGAATTCAGAAAGTTTTTAAAGAGGAGGAGATACTTAGGTGCTGAAGAGTAGATTCTCTAAAACATTAAAATAATTCAGTTATAGCATTCAGTTAAACTTTACTGTAGGAAGGTGTTGTTTTTACAAGTTGAAGTAACAAAAGGTGTGATAAATAGTATTTTTAAAACTGTAAGTAGTGTCTGGCTTTGTGTTGAGATGAGAGCATGTTGTGAAGAGATCTGTGAGTGAGCTCATTTTCTGAGACTCCTAGCCTCCCTTTAATTAGCTGTGTAAGGTTTGCAGTTTAGGTCTGTGGATAGTTTTTTGTTTTCTCTAGATGACCAGAAGAAATTATTAAGAAACGGTAGGTTTCTGTAAAATCTTCCATAATCTCTTTGTTTCAGTTTCATGAGTCGCTTGAGCTTTTCTTTAAGCATGTCACATTTAGGATGGGGAGGTTATATACAAGTAAACACGGTAGTGACTTCCAAAAATATATAATCTTCATTTTTATAGGTCTGTAGTTTATTGGTCAGTTATGTTTTTTGAGAGCTTGAAGTTAAAAAGCAAGGTTTTTAAGGGGGAAAGAAAAGGAACATGCTGCATTCCCCTCAGTGGCCAGGTACGGAAGTGTGTGCAGACTCCGGGATTTCTCTGAAAGCGCTCAGCCCTTAACAGGTAGGGTCAGGATTCAGTCTGACTGCGTCTGATTCTAACCTGTCACAGTGCATTTCATGCAGAGCCTGAGTTACTCAAGAGCACACTGTGATTACTGTAACAAGCAGCTTCATTTTGAAGCTGGATTAAGATTTCCAGTTAGCCTTTAGAAAACGATGTACTTTATTTGGGGATAGAGGTACACTTATTTTTGGTTTTTCAGCTCGGATTTATTAAACACTTTGTGCCAAGTACTGGAAAGGTACTCCTCATGTGTTCCTTAATCCCTTAAACACTATTAATAGTAGATATTGATTCCTTGAACACTAATAGTAGAAGTCATGACTGCACTTCACAGAGCAGTGAACAGTTGGGAGTAGTGAATTTAGATTTGGAACCAGCTCTGTGGTTCCACCGTGCACGACTTGGACTGTTCTCCTGCACTTACCCTCTTCTGCCCCACAATTCGAGATATCGCACTACTTAGTACCAAAATCTAGTTAGTGGATATCACCTTCCAGTTATTTACTACAAGGCATTGTCATTTAGTGAGAAGGAAAATATTACCTGAACTAACCTCACCTCTTGGTTTATGTGGTCAATATGACCTTCCACACATTAGTAGTATGAGTGGCCAATGAAGTCATAACTTAAATGTCCTCTATAAAGTGAATTGAAAGGTCATGGTGACCAGAGCGCATGATGACTTGTTGGATGCTTGTGACCTGCTTTAATATAGATTGTGTGACAATAGTGAGAACAAGTTATAGGTTCGATTCTCAGTAGGGAACACTGGATTAAATTGTGTTTTGTGGTCACATGTTTTGATTTTAACGTGGTACAGTTGTTTGGTGAATCCTGTCAGGGCAAACTTGAGTACCTGTTGTAACATTTCAGGGCCATCCTGTTTGGTGATAAGAAACTCACTAGAGATAAAATAGTATCTATACTTGTTTGCATTTTTAGTGGAAAACAGAAGTATCTTCTTAATAGCAATACATTTAAAAATCATTAAAGTGAGTCTTAACTGAATATTTTAAATATATTTGATAATGCTTCATTTCTATCAGAAAATAATAACTTAAAGTCTGGATATCCATGAATGAGATACTCGGGTAAAATCATAAGATCAATTCTTAAAAATGTTAGAGAGAGGATATCTAATTTTAAATAATTAGTATTAATATTTGGAAAGTATTATTTAAATACATAAGGACCTAAAAAGGAATCTGTGATTTTTGTCAAAGTTTTAAAAAATGTGACAGCTTAAATCTCTTACCTTGCTTAATTATGTAATCTTGTTTTAGAACATTTTACCACTTCATATTAAGTGAAATAATTTCAAAAGTTTTATATCTTGAAGGAGTAGGGTGAGATTAGGTATTAAATATTAATTCAGTGTTTTCTGAGCAGGTCTTTTAAAGGAAGCTATAGTTTAAATTAAGAGGGAGTTGTACCAGAACTGTAAAAAGAGGACAGAGGCAAGGACTCCAAAATAAGAAGAGATGAGATGAGATGAGATGAGATGAGATATATATTTGAAAGAAGGCTTTCGTTTCTGGAATTCAAGGAGCCAAGGACTGTGTGACACAGCAAGAGTGCATGTTGGGAAGTCCATGTCAACAGTGCCCTATAAATTGTGCCAGGCTGTCACATTGTATGTTAGCATAACAAGAAACTCTTGAAGGGTTTCAAACGAAGGACTGATGAATGGGATTGTTCTATTTTGAATGGCCTATCTATCTATGATGAGAAAAATGCATTGGCAAGGATAATTTTGGAGGTCCAGGTAATCATTTAAGAGGCTGTTGCAACACTTAGATAAGAGTGTAATGACTTGGTCTAGGGTTAGTGTGGAAATGGGGAAAAGTAAATGGATTCATCATAAAATATGGAGAGAGGAATGACAGCTGCTAGTTAGGCATTAAATGTAGGGGATTAAAGGAGAACGGGAATCAAGAGTGATTCTGGTGTTTTTGCTTTGAGTAATGGAGGGAATAGAATGGTAGTGCCATTTACCAAAAAGGTGAAGACAAATGGAGAAATAAGAGGAGGTGAAAAACGGGCAGGTCATCTTTGTATTCATTAAGGTTGCATTTCCTCTGAGACATCCAGTGGATATATCAAGAAGTCCATTGCTTTGGGAAACAGTGAATGTAGAGATAAAAATGAGAATAGACTAAAATTGAGTTCATGTTAGTTCAGATCAATAGAACACTACGTATTCAAGCATTCTAGTAGCCCTGAAGTGTAAGAATGTAAGCCTCAGGACGTTAGGAATTCTGCAGCGTGCACTTTTTTGTACTTTCTGTCTTGAGCTACTTACGTAGTACTTGGTAAATACCAACTGTATAGATTATGAATGAACAAATGATTTGAAATAAGGTAATAACAAACAGTTTCTTAATTTACAGAACTAATATTCCATTTGTAGTTGTGTTTTTATTCTGTTATGTACAAGACATAAATTGCTATTGTAAAATTATCTGGTGCTGTTGCAGTGTTCTGCCTAAGAAAGCTTTCTATTTTAGAAGACATCACATCAAATGTTCTAAATCACATTCATTATATAGCATAGAATGCTTCCTCTCTAACATATTAAACATGGAATATTTTTATCTACAATTTCACAGATGTATTAAAATTAGTTAAAATATTTTGTGTTAGAACACTTTTCTTTATTTTCTGTTGTTTTCATTGTCAAAAATGTTAATCATATTCTTTAATCTACAAATCCTTGGTGATTATTAAGTGAAATGAATTTGGAAATCCTATGTTTAGTCCATACCTGCATTCCTCTTTTCCTGTAGGGATGACTGTTAGTGCGAACAAAGATGGCTTGGGAATGACTGTCCGAAGCATTATCCATGGAGGTGCCATTAGTCGGGATGGCCGGATTGCCGTTGGCGACTGCATTTTGTCCATTAATGAGGAGTCTACCATCAGTTTAACCAGTGCCCAGGCACGAGCCATGTTAAGAAGACATTCTCTCATTGGGCCTGACATTAAGTATGTATCATTTGGACCTTAATGAGTTGATCAAAATACCATTTTCAGTGTATATTTCTGTTTTATGTACAAAAGTTATTACATATGTATTTCATACAAATCACTCCAGAATTAACTATTTTTGGATAGTATTTGATTGTAAATATGTTCTAAGACTATCATTATGTTGAAAATTTGATAACAGCATGGCTTTGTGATTTTAATTTTACTTCTCCATTGCTTTGTCTGACAACTGTACATGTGAGATACGTGAGACATCTTTCACAGAGCAGTGACACTCATTCTTCAGTTCTTAGAAGTTTGGGTTGGGTTTAGTGTAAAGAATTGTGCACTACCTGATTGGCCTGTATGAATTTGAAAACCAAGCCAGTCCTATAAGGGCCAACTGTGAAAAAGTCTATGTAGGACAGTGCCTTTCTGACCCATAGTTTACCCTTTTTTGAACTATTCCGTGACATAAAAGGATCCTCCACTATGTTTCGTGAGGTCTAATTATAGGTCGTGTAGGATATTTTGTCAGAAAGTTCTTAAAATTTCCCATGATCCCCTAATCCCATAATGTTCTAAAAGCATGTTAAAATGTGATTTTAAGTCATGAACATTACTTGAGCCATCATAAAATGAGTTTATGACTTATACTTCATCCGTGTCTTTGTAGCATTAATCATTAAATGTATAAGGGAAAATTTATGAAATAAGAGCTCAGGGAAAGGTTGTTTACCTTAAGCTGTACAGGAGACTTTTTGTATTAGTGTTATTTTACTGACAGCATTCCATAATATCGATTCTTTCACAAAGTGTGTTTTGCTAGAGCTTAGTGAGGAAAACTACGTTTACAACCTGTTTTTCATTCTGCCATTAGTAAAAAGCAAAAACGTATATACCATTTCAAGTGGGGTTTGCTCTCTTATGTGAGATACTGTTTTAGGCAGACTCTTCACTGGTGGTCTTTTATATTTTTGCATTCTTGTTTGACTTTTACAGTTGAGCAAATCATCTGATCATGTTACTATTCCTTAATTATTTTACAGTGATAAGGTACAGGTGAACATTATTAAAAATTTCAGCTCCTCTATGAAAATTAAATGCTTCCTCACCACTTACAGCCAGTGTTCCTTTTGCTTACAAGATAAATCCTACAGATCCATGTGGAGGTTTCTATTGCAAAGACTTCAGCTGACACAGATTAGATACAGTATGAAATCCGAATACCCTTGTAACTGTGGTTTGACTTGTTGTGCTACAATGTGTGTGTAGTGCTCTGTGTACTGATTCAGGTCCCTTCACCCCGTTTTTGGCACTCTGAGCACGAGATCCAGTGCACGGTGCTAGCCTTACTCCTCAGTTCTAATGTCCTGCATAAATTAAAAAGTGGGCGAAAACTAAGACCATGTTGACATCCTTTTGATACATCATGCATCTAGTCAATTTTATGGAAGTTTTTGAGGTGCAGTTTCAGGCTCAGGTCTTTTCCTCCCTTTTCTTTTCTCATCTTGTGTGTGTGTGTATGTGCGTGCACATGCACATGTGTGTGTTTTCCTCCAAGTTTTGACCCAGCAGAATTACCCATTTATGCAGGGAGTGGCTTTATTATGACCTTGAATTATATCAAAAAATAGCTTCGTAAGTAATGGCTCTAATATCTCTGGAGTCAAAATGTACCGTAGAATTTTATACTACAAAATGGAGATTACCACAACTTTCCTGATTCTGGAAGTCAACCAGTCAATCCCTTTTTCACTTCACTAGTGAGCCCCTGACTCAGATGGTCATAGCTTGACTCATTGAATAAGTGAGGAAATTAAAATTAAAACCCTTACACATACCTGTTTTAGAGGAAAATATTAGATGATGAAACAATACAGCCATGTAGCTTGACCAAGGTTAGTAGCAGGTTCCCTGCCATTTGCACATACTGATCTTCACCCCATTCATTTCTGTCACTTGGCTTTAATGAAGCGAAGGTTTAGATTACCTAGAAGCTATGTGAGCAGTCCTCCCAAAGGAGAGTCTAGTTGTTCCATTATTCTGAATGAAACCGTGACACTTTCTCTAGCCAATTAAGCTTTGTACTCATTGCTTGGAACGAGGTTCCGTCGAGCTCACATTCTCTTCATTTCTTGGTATACACCTAGCTTAATCTGGAGTGCTGCTAGAGAGGTGGCTTGTGGGGACATAACAAAGGCTGTGGTTCAGTTACGTAACCGGTTGCTTATAGGGAAAGCATTGCTTATACAGACGATGCACTGGATTTCTTTGTTGTCATAGATAGCTGGGAACCTGTGTGTGTGTGTGTGTGTGTGTGTGTGTGCGCGCGCAAATTCATGCTTGCCTGGATAGATAATTTGAGTTTCAGGAGTTCAAGAGCAGCCAATTTAAGTTCCAGGTTTTATTATTTTCTATGGAAAGCAGATGTGAAGCTGCACCAGAATGCATTCTGTTTCACTTCTCACTCCACCTTGCCAGGAGCTCTTAGGGTTTTGTAATAATAGCCAGTGTTTTGTGCTTAGAAGCAGCTGCTTATAACATCTGCCAGATAATTGCTGAGCTCAATCGGAATTCACCTGCCTTAACCTAAAGTGTGGGATGAATTCCTGATCAAGGAATTAAAGATTGATTGCAGTTACATTTTTTCCATGCTTGTTAATAATCGTTGCTATAGACAGCAGTAAAGAGCAGATGCTTTTCTGGGGGAGGTGTAGATGAGAGGGAGGTGGAAATGGAAAAAAACCAGGAGCACCCACTTTTAACTACATATGTATGCATCTCACATTCTGCACAAGACATTGACATTTGTTAACACCATTGTAAAAAGATGCCACGGCGTATGCTTCACATTCTAGATTTTCTGCAGCACCTGCTGACGATCGAGCCCCCTTGTATGTGTGAGTATCGGTGATTCAAAAGCTCATTATGGCTGTGTGTTACAACTTGTCTGTGAAAACCGTTTCATGCTTTTGTAACATCCCAACGTAGGGATAGATCCAGATATAGATTTAGTGTACACAGTTTGGCTTTTGTCCCTCATTTATACAAGAACATAAATTCCAGCAGAACTACAAGATTGTTACATTTCACATTGCACTGGTGACCGGGAGTGCATTTGAAATTCGGGCTTCTTTGTAAGGCAGTGATCCTGTCTGCATGTGCAGGCACGGTCCCTGGATGAATAGCTGTGTCACACTTCAGCATCACCAATGGTGTTCCTTTTGCTTCTCCTGCATGTGTAACCAAAAGTTAGTTTATATTTCAGAATCTTAATACAACTCTCCAGCTGGTTCAGGGTGTGTATGAAGTGTGCCATTCAGCGTTCGTTCTCGGTGGCGGTGATTCAGGGTTCTGTGCGGTCCTGTGACGAGGCGTGTCTTGGGGTGCGGCATGTGATGTTGCACTGTGGGATCCCCTTGACGGCCTCCCTGATACACTGTGCTGAATGTTGGTATCAACTGCCTTTTTGCTCCTTCCCAGTGCAGCCAAAATTATCAGGAAAAATACTTGTAAAACCCCTTCCTCCCTACCCATTGATAAAAGAAAAAGAGCTTAAGCAAACGTAGAGGAAAACTCATTTTCAGCAGTGGGATAGAAACATCTTTACTTTCTCAAACCAGTTTCTAAACTAAATAGTTTGTGCTTACTGTAGTTTTGCTTTTGTGTCCTGTCGTTATCTCCTCACCTTTCCTGACTTTAACTTCTTATTTGTATAAGTTTCCCTAAATTTTCAGAAATAATATGACTTCTGAAATAGTCTGTTCAGGTTTTAGGCTTCTCATTATTTTTTATGCAAATTATAATCCTCTTTCCTGATAATGTATTGCACACATTTGACTCATTGATTTTGAAAAGATAACAACAAATTTACTATTAAGTATTTTTTGTGATAACTTAGGGAAGACGTTTTTATAGGTGAAGAAGTTATGGAGGGCAGAATGAGAATGTGACTCTCCTAGCCAGCTTGGCCGTAAATTCACTGATCTGTGCTTTCTGCCCCATTTCTGGCCCTTTAATAAGTGTCATGGAAAGATCTGAAAGGGTCTCTATGCTGCGCAGACCGATGGGTGTAATCCGGAGAGCCTTTCTCCTGCTGGAGCGCTGCCTTACATTTCATAGTGCTTTTCAGCTCACAGCGCCCTCAGGAAGGTGGCGCTGTGCTGTGGGTCAGGCTGTGGAGGGTCAGCGGTGGTAGTCTGTGTCCTTCCACGCTCCCAGTGACAGGAGAGCTCAAATCCCAGCAGCCCCACACTTTAGAGACCTGAAAGACTGAATGTTTTCTATGGAATCACAGGTATACCTGAAATTATGTGTCTTTCTCACTCCGGAAATTATCTCACTGGCGTAATTGTTACTTTCTTTCATAAAAGACACATTTTTATATCTTGGCCTTTTAATGCTAAGGTTTGATGGAATTATCATCTTAGTGAATAAATTATGGATAGTTTAATAGTATTTATGATTTCCTTATTGTGCTGTTATATACTACATACTGTTTTCTCAGCTGAGAAAAGACAAACGGACATCTAGTATAGTATTTCCCTAACTTTTGTCTTCATCAAATAATGTATCTGCAGTAGCCAACTTAAAAAATGCAACAATGTAAATAGGCTTATGTGACAGTAGTAATTTGCACACATCATGTCATAAGTGTGACTTATTCAGTATTAGCACAGTGCCTTTCACTTAATAGACGTTAGACTTTCAGTCGGTACTTTCAAATGTGAACAGCATGTCTTTCTTTGAAACAGAAATAAACAAGCAGTTGTAACCAATTAGTAATTATTTCCTTAAATGTATGTTGTTCAACTTCAAACTTGAGAGTTCATAGTTTAATAGAGCTAACAAAGTTACTGATAATGCTTATTAATGCTCATGCATTATGTGCTGTGGAAAAAGTAAGGTAATTCAGGATACACAATATTGTAATAGAGTATACCTAATTTGTTTCACCTAGGGAATTCAAATATTTTTAGGCAACATTAATATAATTACTGACAATTTGTTAATATGTGGGGCATAACACCAGTATTGTCGTAAGGGTGCTTTATTGTGGGGGTATAATAACCACTTATATTCTTTAGAATATTTCTACTGATGAGTTAATAATTTTAATTGTATGATTTTTATATACTAAACAATGAATACTTAATAAGGAAAATATAAAAATAAAGTGTTTAATTTTTAATATTTTTGAGTTTTTATAAAAAAGCATAAAGATTGTCAACATCAACGGTTTTTTAGTGTACAAAGTCTAAAAAAATAAGAGAAATAGATTCCTATATGAATTTCAATGAAAATACTGGTAGAACTCTACAAAAAAACCTTCATTTATCACACCTGTGGCAGTCTTCACACATGACAATATCACATTCTGTACACATGCATCGCTTACGTTGATTGCGCATGTGTTTTGCCTTCCTTGCTTTTTTGTTGAAATAGACATCTTACTGGTTTTGCTATTTTGTTAGGAGGTTTGTATTGTATTACACAGTATGTAGCTAACAGGAACATAAATTATCAGTAAAATAAAGTATTAAATTCTTAACATGTATTGTGTGTTTAGAATAAACATCAACATTTTCACATAAGCTGTGTACTTGATTACAAAACCTAAAACATAACATCAGAAATAAATTTCTGTATGAACTACAATGAAAATACCAATAGAGGGGCTGGGGATTTAGCTCAGTGGCACAGTGCCTGCCTGGCAAGCTCAAGGTCATGAGTTTGATTCCCGGTACTGGAAAAAAACCAAAAAAAAAAAAAAAAAAAAGAATTAAAAAAAAATAGAAAATACCAGTAGAACTCTACCACAAAAATAAGCTTTGCTTCAGTTGTCACAGCAAGGCAGTCTTCATTCATGGCAGCTGCAGGCTCCATGCGCACCTCTCACACTGACAGCATGTGTGCTTAACTTTCCTTTCCTATGTGGCAGGTCATTCCTGTCATCTCTCTTGTCTGTTTTTTCAGGTGCTTCCTACTGTATTGTATATTGTATACTTAGTAGGAAAATAAAATATCAATAAAATGTCAAATATGTAATGAGTACTTAGACTAGACATTAACATTTTCATATCAGCTGTTTACTTGTTTAAAAAAACTAAAAAGATAACATCAGCAATAAAAATGTATGTGAACTACACTGTAAATGCAAACAAAAGTCTACCACAGAAATACTTTTTTGCCTCAGTTGTCACACCCAAGGCAGTCTTCACCATGAAATATCACTTACACTGATAGCATGTATGTTTTCTTTTCCTGTCCTTTCCTGTAGGACATAGTTGACATCTTTTTGGTCTTCCTGTTGTCATAGGAGGTCTTTTGATGCTGCACCTGCCTGTTCATCTGTTAGCTCACGAGTGCGCTCCAAGAGCTTTTTGCGTGTTTCCCTGGGCAGAAACATTTTGTTTTTGATCTGCTGTAATTGGTCTCTTATGAGTCCTAGTCCCAGTCCTCTAAGAAAATTTCTCTGTGATATTTTACACTTGTTACTGTCTTTGGAAACTATCAAACTGTTTATGCCACGCATGTTTAGGATCGAGTAAAACACAACCATTGGCCAACACTTAGTGTTTCCAGCGACTTCATAGTTTCTGCATAACTCATCAACAACATCTCCTCCACTTTTGGTTTTGTGGTAGACAGTGAACTTCTCAGCCTTCCATTTTGTTGAGCTTTCCCTATCAATATTAGCATCGTAGTGCAATGTTGACATCAGCAATACCAGTTTGTTCTTCTTTGCCGTATATGAGGCCAATGTTATATCTTTCTGAAATCTAAAGATTGTATTATATTGTTCTGTGATTTGAAATTGTAACGTTTCATTTGGAATTTCTTCTTTGTTCCTGTGTATCGTTCCTACACTGGTCAACTTGTGCTCTATTAGCAAATGTGACATTAGCTGTAAACTGGTAAACCAATTGTCCAAAGTCACATTCCAATTAGTTTTGGAGAAGAGAGCAGCAAGTCTTTTCACAACATCATTTGGTTTATTACTATACAAGTAAGGGCCTGGTAGCTGAGTTCCAGGATAAATTTCTAAATTGAAAACACAGTAAGTCTTTGGATCTATAATGACATAATTTTTTGTTTTTTGTTTGTTTTGTTTTTTGAGAAAGGGTTTTGCCATATAGTTCAGGCTGGCCTTGAAATCAATAGGTAGCCCAGGCTGGCCTCCAACTTGCAGTGATCCTCTTGCCTCAGCCTCCTAAGAGCTGGGATTACAGGCATGTGCTACCACATCTGGCTACAACAGCATAAACTTTTATGCCATATTTTAAAGGTTTGGGGGAATATACTGTCTGAAGCTACAGCAGCCATAAAATGCTGCAAGATGTTCATCGATAGTCATGTTTTAATATGGTGTGTAAATTGCTTGACAGTTAACCACAAATCTTTCAAACCATGAGCAGATAGCAGCCAGATTATCAGTTCTTTTTCTTACTCAGAGGGTGGTTTCGTCATCAAACCTCAGGCAGTTTTGAAGGAACTCAGATCTCCTCAGTGTCATTGTCTTTCTATAAACAAGTCGTTACTCATCACTTTTCTGTAAGTCTTTCACATTCCTGTGATTACCATGAGGAAGCCCTGCTAAATATAGCAGACCTGTAAATGCTTTCAGTTCAGATAGTGGGTGTCATAATAAATACATTTTGAGTATGGTATTGGTGCATACAGAACATTTTATTTGTATTTCAGAATTTGTGTATTTTAGAACATCTTGTAAGATTTGTCTGTTACAAACAATTTCCAACGTTGAATGGCAGTGCTGGCATTCTGCCCAGTAGGTTTCACCTTTGCCAAGATCCTCATGATATTTTTGGTCCTAGTTCTAACACTGGATTGTTCCATTTGGTTGTGTGACCATTTTGTAATGTTTCTATTAGTCAAGTGTGTACTCACATAGTTTCCTTGTCCACTCAGTCAAGGGGGTCTGTATGCCCTATTTCTGTATTAGTCGACTCTTGTTCTATTTCTCTGTCACAGGAAATTTGGCTCATGTGGCCAACATCAAAGTCATTGACATCTTCCTCATCCATGTATGAATGATCTCATGATTCACTTTCAGCCTCCTACAAAACTTGCAGATCTGGATTTTCATGTGCCATTGTACTGAACTGGGCTACTTGTACCAGAAAAATTGAAGGAAAACTTTTATTTAAAACAAATCCTAAATGCACAGAAATTTAGCAATGAGCATTTCATGTCATGGGTAAAACTCACATGTTGCTGTTTTGGTTCTGCTGGGCACCCCTTGTCATGTGTCTGCCAAGGGGTGAAGGCCCAGAAGGGGTTTTGCTTTCCCAGCCTCAGCTACTGTCAGTCACACCCACGTTCCATTTGTTGTTAAGTACATGTTTAGAGAACAGAAAAGTGGAGTGGGTGCATTTTACCCTGTGATGCTCAGGTAAACGTATAGAAAGCCCGTTAGGTGGGGTATTATGTGGGTAAAAGCCCCAGTTTGACACTCTTGCATACATGCCCACACCTTGCCATTCATCATACCAAGTGGGTAAACACAAACATTGCTTCTTCTGTCACCCAGGTGCAGCTACTGAGATGCACAGCTGGCTACTATTATGTTTAAATACAAATTTATGGTAGAAAAGTATGGGATAGGTTGTTGTAGCCCAGTGTTATGCCCCATTGAATAATGTTAGTATTATTATTTTGTAGTGTTGGGAAATTAAACTCAGAACTTCGCATGTGCTTGGAAAGTGCTCTACTGCTGAGCCACATCCCCAACTTTCTAAGTATTTATGAATCTTCCTCATTTCAAAAACTTGCTGTTAGCTTTCTCATTTGTAGATACAGATATATGTGTATATATATATATACCTATATATATATATTTATGTTCTTCCCTATGTGATTATTAGCAGCATTTAGAAATTTAATTTCAGTTATTATTTTTGCCAATGGAATATTTTTACCTTTTGAAATTTGAGTTGTCTGATGAGTATGCCAGTTAAATGAGTTGTGTAAAATGTAGACCTGAGAGGACAACACAGTTTTGCCCTATTTTGGAAGCTTTTACTAACAGGGAAATGTTTCTTTCTCTTTGCTCTCATGGATTATATTTTGCTTCAGAATTAGTTACGTGCCTGCAGAACATTTGGAGGAGTTCAGAATAAGTTTGGGGCAACAATCTGGCGGAATAATGGCACTGGATATTTTTTCTTCCTATACTGGCAGGTAAGTGAGACATTTAATCTACTATAATGAGTGAGTAATCAATAAGTTAAAGAGGAATCTGAAACAAAGTCAGGGAAGTTAAGTAAAAAGTCTGAATTTCTTTTCCTCTTCCAAGATTTTTAAACATATTTTCGTGATTACTTAAGGAATTATCATATAATCTAAAGAATTGGGGGAATATGTGAATATTTAAATCAAGAAATTAAAATAATCTTTAATTCCACCTAAGATAGCAGTTTTAGCACAATTATCAAATACATCTTCAGAAATTTTATTTATGTCTTGTAAACAGTATAAGTCCATAAACATTGTAATACATGCATACTTTAGTCTTCTAGAGAATGTTGAGTTGAACATCTTGATGTATGAGCATGTTATGCTTGAATTAGAATATTGGCTTTCCCACAGTGAATGTACCATTATATTCTCTTGGTTGTAGGCTTTTTTTCGTTGCACTGATAACAGAATACCAAATTTTTCTCTCAGTGTTCTGTAGAGCAAAAGTTCTGCCTTTCCTTACAGAATATCAGGACATCGTAGAATACCCTGGTGTCCAGTGATGCTGCAGGAATCATGATATTGATTATTGCTTCCTCTGAAAGTTTCAGTATCAGTGAAAGGGACTCTATGTGTTTAATAAGGAGAAGGAATGTTACAACCTTTGGGGCCTCATGAAGTTTCTGGGAAAAGGAATACTCACTCCCTTCTGTCAAAGCTCAGCCATACTTCACTGTAGAGTTTCCATCCCAGGATTAATGGCTTGAGTTGAGTATGGTTTGCTTGTGCTTCTTGTCTTATTGTGAGGGTGCTTAATACAGTTATGAGACAGCATTCCATTGTCCGTCTGAAGTGTTTCAAATGGCATAAAGAATACACCAGGTAACATATTAGTCTTCATAAATTCTGCGGCCTTAACACACTCAAAAGTTATGGATTACAGGGAGCCACTGTTAACACTGCTTCTCTTGCAGCATAGAAAAGAGAGGACCTTGATTATCGAGTGCTATGACCATAGAGAAAGTATGTTTGCTATTAATATTAGTGCTTAACACAAAATAAAACAATCTGCAGTGAAAGGAAGCTGTCCAGGTCCCACAGCTAATAAGCATCCGAGTCACGCTTAAAATGAAAACACTTGAACCTCGTTCCTAAACATTGAATCCAAAGGAGGAACTGCATAAATGTATAAAAATGTGTGCTGCATAAAAATAGGTGGCAGCAGAGCATGGAAGTTAAAAGCTAAGGTTTTGTGGTAAGATGGCTTCAGTTCAAATCTCACTGCTGCGTAACTGTGTGACTTTGCCCCAGTTACTTTACCTTATGCATACATGCAGATATAAATAGAGTTAGTGATTATAGTTGATAGAAATTTCTTTGGTTGTCAGCAGTTTAACACTGAGAAAAAGAAATCTAACTTTGGCTGAATGAAAGGAGCCTAATGAGAATTGATCCGTTCTGCTGTAAAGAGACGTGACACTTGAGTCTCAGAATCCATACTCTAACATGGGGGAAAGAATAGTCTGGACATTTAGAACAGCTTGTCTGGGTTAGTGAATAAATTCAAGGTTTTGAAATAATTTGAAGACAATAAGGTTTATTTTTCAAGCAGTGCAGGGTATTTATTTTCTCCCAAGGCAGGACCATGGGGCAGTATGACCAGAAGTGTTTTTGAGTATCTCCCACTGGCTAGGTTTTAGGGCTGAAATTTCTCCCTCTATCATGGCTCGCTCTCCCCAAATTCTAAATCTATCTTCCAGGCTTCCTTTTGCTGTCAGATTTTTTCCAATTACATTTAGTGGGGTAAGCATTGTTTTCACCTCTCTGCCTTCATCCTCTGGATAAAGAGTATTTCTCAGGGAGTACATTTTTGGTATCCCCTTCTTGGACCTGTTCTCTATCTGGTCCTACTGTCAGATTTAGACTCCAGGCAGCCAGCCCCATTCAGAACCTATCCTTGCTTTGGAATTCAAATGCAAAACTGAGGAATAGGCTTCTAACAGCTAGATTTCATTTTAATCATGTTTTTTGCTATCACTGAGACCAGAGAAAGGGCAAGACATTGTAGGGGATCCTGAGCCATTCCTCTTCAGAAATGTGACCACATTCAAACACAGGTGATAAAGATTACATCATTTGAGGGGGGTTCAGGATTACTGCAGTGGAGAATGGTTAGAGTTTGAACATGTGTTTCTTTTGATTTTTTTTCAGCTTTAGCAGTCTTGTGAAGATATTTATTAGATCAGAACTTTTATAGCCTTCTGTGCTTTAAAAGGAATATACAAACATGTTTCTTTAGAAATCATTTTTCCCAATAGCATAAAGACATACCATAGCCACTTAATTGTTCTCAATTGCTTTTCAGCGTCTTTTATTCATGCAAGGTATACCATTGGAAAAACAAAATAGTGTTTGGTGTAAGTGTAGTTTTACTTACAGTCAGTCAACACACAGACACTTTTGTTATATGGTTGGTATCTGGTAAAATGTGAACTGTTAAAAAACACTGAAAGTGCATTTTAAAAGAATGTTCTGTTCCTGGGCCCTGTGGATGGGCTAAAGCCGAACCAGAAGCATTTCCTACCTTTCTTTAAAAGTTAAAGGGACAGTGTGATCTATCCTTAGGAAACAGAAGCTAAATTGCTCACATACTTGCTATCCAATTGCTTCAAGGTAGGAAGCAGAGCTCTGTGTGCTTGTAACTGACCTAGTACCTCTTGTTTTTTGGCAAATGGTAGCAATTTAGGCGATATTTGTTGAATTCTTCTTTAAAATTTCAATATTTATTCATTTTTTTCTGTACTCTCCTGTGTTCTATTAGGAAACAAAGAGGCTAGACCCAGCATTCAGTTATATTTCTAGACTGTTATGGTAGATTGATTGTAATATAAGGTTCTTATTTGATTTGATTTGATTTTTTCCTCTACCATAAAAATATTATATATATGTTGGTCAAGTATAGTGAAACTATAAAGCAGTTAGCACTGTCAGGAATTAAATACATAGAAAACATTATTGCATTGTGAAACTCTCATGCAGAGACATTCCGGAACTACCAGAGCGAGAAGAGGGGGAGGGAGAGGAGAGTGAGCTCCAGAACGCGGCGTACAGCAGCTGGAATCCGCCCAGGAGGTAAGGATTGCTGTGTCTTCTGCCCACTTAGGGAGAGACGTGTTCAAGACAGGGAATTATGGTTTCAGCTCTCCACTTGTGCTTTGGGCAAGTTACTTAATATTCCTAACCCTGTAATTCTCCTTGTGTACATTGAAGAAAATAACGTATGTCATACAGGGTTACAACTAACATACATGTGATGATCTGGCATATACTGTAGACTAAGTAAAATTAGGGAAAATTATGCATAGGTAGTTGAAGTACATAATACATTCTGGAGAGTTTTATTTTAGGGGTAACACCATTTAAATTTTATTTAGCATTTGTAGAAACTAGATATGCAGCAGATGTATATTTAAAATGTGTGTGTGTGTGCGCGCGTGTCTGTGTAAGCAGCTTTGTGGTTAAAACCTGTTGACCCTAAACCGTGCTCCCTCTGGCACCCGTTTCCAGGTGTATCACTGTGTGTCCCTCCGTCGTGTCACGGTGTAGGTGAAGAACGTCCTCCAAAGGCTTGTGGAGGGTGATCGGAGCAAGGGTGCTGTGCTCGGTGGAATCAGCCGCTCAGGAGTTGGCTGAGGCCGGTTCGAGGGAGAGTGAAGCTCCCTGCCGGCCCCGCCCTCTTCTCTGCCTCCGGGGCCCTGGGTGGGAGCAGCTCACCTCTGGGGGAGGGGGGGGCGCGGGCGGGCAGGCTCTTCCGCCTGGCCCTCGAGGTTCTCTGTATCAGCCTGAGGAACAGGAACCAAAACTTCCGAAAGGATGAACCAAAACAAACCTTCCGTCCCTTAAGTTGCAGTTGTTGAGTATTTTGTCCCAAAGTGAGGAATGTAGTACTATAGCACAGTAATGTATTCATGCTGAGTAGAACCAGCTTGAGCTTGATAGGACATCATTGAGTCCTAAAGGCCGAACTTTGTGAATAAGAAGAAGTAAATGCAAGACATTAGCCCTCCCTTCAGGGAGATATTATATACTTGTCTGCGCAAACCATAGAAACACAGGAAACAAAAATGATACAAGGTAGTTTGCATTAATTATAAAAGTTTTAAGTAATCATGGACATCCCTCAAAACAGACGTAAATGTAAGCATCATGAGATAGATACAGTTTGATATTTTCTTTGCTCAGAAATAAATTTGAAGCTGGGCATGGTAGCGCATGCCTGTATTCCCCGCATTCGGAAGGCTGAGGCAGGAGGATCACTGGGAGTTGGAGGCCAGCCTGGGCTACGAAGTGAGTTCAAGGCCACCCTGAACTGGGTAGTGAAACCTTGTCTCAAAAAGACCAGAAAAAAAAAAAAAAAAAAAAGAATTTGAGCCCACAGCCATTCTATTTGAACATTTTCGAAATATAGAGAACATTTTATGTTGCTCTCAATGAATTAGCACTTCCATTCATCCAGAGTGAGTTCAGAATTTGAATTTCTTCAAAAGCTATGCAGTTTGTTTTAAAAAAATTCAAATCTCCCCACAGCACTGCTCACACTGAGAACACGATGTAAATGATAGATGTGTGCCATAGTTACAAGGTGTGAAGTAACTTATGTGTTTGTAGATTGAGGCAGAAGTAAGTTAGATGAAATTATTTTGTAACAGATGGTCATAATTTAACATGAATTTTGTTGGACAGTAATGACAGGAGAAATGATACATTGGTCAGTTTTAGGAACAACATAGTGGGATGAATGGTTTGTAGAAGGCAATATGCAGAATGATTAGAATCAGTAAAAACTTTGACATTTTCTAAGGCAAGTTTATTCCTGCCAGGTCTTGATTACTTGATTGCTACGGTAGGGCTAATAACAGAACTTCGTACATTTGGAGAGGAGTTAGTAAGGTAACATGTCTGAAATCCTTAGCATGATGCCCTAAACAGAGTGACTACGCCAGTGACTGGCCTTGTTTATAATAACGTAATTTTCATCACTAATAAGTAAGCTAAGATGAAGCACTGGACACAAGGATCGTGGTGGACTTCTTTTAAGAGAAAGAACAGTATACTTCTGGACTACTTTCTTCTCCTAAGTTTTAATCTTTACATCAGCCCAAGAAACATCTTTAAAGGTAGTAACTACTTTACATAAAGAAAGTTTTTGAAGCTCTCATAAATCCCTCTGAACAATCTGATGGATGAAAAATGACACCTTACCTTAATAAGAAAGCATAGCTGGATTAATTGGGTGGGGTACACATTTGTCATATTGATTGAAGAAGAATACCAGCATCATGAAAGGCTTATCGTTCGCTTACTGTGTACCAGTGTTTGTTTTGTACTTGGGTGTATTGAGTAATTTAATCATCACACAGCTCTCTCTAGAGGCCCTTACTGACACTGGTTCACAGCTAAAGAAATAATGCGACAGACGGAGATGCCTGTTGTCACATGATTACTGTATTACGTGACAGTAGGCTAAGATGTGGACTCAGAAACTTAGTTCACTGCCCAAAAGTGTGACCTCAGAGCTGTGTTTACCTTTGCATTCCTAAATTTCATGCTTCTTAAACCGATGTCTGAATCTGTAGAAAGACCCACATTTTTTCCTGTGGAATTACCTCTGAAATGAGAATATCTTCCAAATTGTTCCTGTTACAGATCTTCATTTCCTTTCCCAGGAGCGTTCACCGTGCTCTGTCTCATGAATACTAGCCTAGTTCCTCAGCACTCTGGTTATTTTAGCAGCTGTGTCTTTTAAGTTGTTTTCTCCATAGCTAAGGATTCACGTCTTATTTCCAGGCAGCCTATTTAAAATTTTACTATCTGTGCCAAACCCTTAAGAGAAATGTGGTGCTGTAGTCCGTGGGTTACTTACCCTCTCTGCCGTTCTTTCCTTCTTCGTACAGTGGGGCTAATAACAAGTATCCATCTTGAAGACTGATGTGAGCATAAAATGCAGCTCACTTGGATGAGACATCATGAGCCTTTAATAAGTGTTAACTGTTATTTCTGAGTGTTTGAGTAATTCCAGAAATCACCTAACCAGAAAGAGCCCTAGGAAACGTTTCATTTCACCCACCCATTTTAAGAGAAAATGAAAATATTTCTACTGGTGTATTCTGACTTCTTACAAATGCACATGCAGTGGCTAAGTTACTGACTTGTGTGCTCTGCCTATTTACCTTAGGAAATGCCTTAAGAAACAGAAAAGAATACTGGTTCTTTTTCACAGAATTTCTAGAGAGTGAGAAAATGGTGAATAGAATTTTAACTTGTTTATTCGTAAAGATTTGGTGAGATCAAGGTTCATGGTAAAATTCTTTAAAACTAAACAGGTGACGTTTCTAAGGTTATAGATTTCCTATTAAGTAGAAACACTGACCAGAGGAAACATGTCTCACCATTAGTGTTTGTGTGAATCTTCGCCGGCCCCCTCCTTCTCTGTGATGCACTTTGATTCCTAGCGTTTTCTTTTTGGAATGCCTCTCAGTTTTCAGGATTCCTTATTTGATGTTTCCTTGCCTTTGGGAGCACTTCAAATATTAGTGCTGAGGGCACACCCGACCGTGCTGTCTTCTTTACTTACTGGCCAACGCTGTTCTCTTTTATGAGGTGTGGAGCAGATTGCATGCGTTCCGCAGTGGTCTGCTGCCTCCCCACAGACAGACCCGCACTGCGGCTCACCGTATTCTTACATACCTGCCTTTTCACGAGGTGCGTACTTGAAATCGATTCATAAGTCCTACAGCTATTTCTAATTACTGCACAGGATCACTTGTTTGTTCTGTGGATAGCGAAGCGCATGCAAGACAGAGGACGCAGCTCGTGCCAAGGGCCCACGGCAGGATCATATGCTGTGCATTTAAAAGCAACAGGAAGGAGATGTGGTAACTGGATTGGAGAGAGCAAAATATGTGTTAGGGGGTTTAGGGAGGTAGAGGAAGAATGAGATTGTGTAGGATTTTGTCGGCCGCTGTTCTTCATGCCTCGACTCTTAATGAACAGGTCTGCTTTGGCAAGGAAGATTTTGCAAAGACAAGGCTCTGATGTAGCGTATGCAGGAGTGTTCTTCCCTGGATTTGGCTGCTAAGCTTGGAAGCTGCCATCTGTTCAGTGGTAGCTAAATTTACTGGCTTCTTAGTGCCTGTGATATTAAAGTTCCTGCAAAATGGTACTGGTACATTGGTCTGTGCCCCAGCCTGAGTGTGAGTCCAATATTTATAACAAATCAGCTACGTAGATACATTAGTATTTGTCAGGCCTTACAGAGCTTATCCTTAGGAAAATATTTTAAACCCTCGTTTTCTACTGGTATACCCTTATTTTGAAAAATATTTACTTGCTATTCTTTTGAACAATTTCAATCACTTTGAAGCTGTGGTTCATCGGCATTAAATACACTCACACTGCTATACAGATGCCGCCGCCGTCCATCTGCAGAGCTTTTGTCGTCTTGCAAGTCTGAAACTCCGTGTTCATTAAGCGAGCGGGTCCCGTTTCTCTCCTCGCCTTTCCTAGCGACCGTCACTGTACTTCTGTCCTACGAAATTGACTGCTCTTGGTGTCTCGTACTCGGGACTCACACATTTGTCCTTTATTTCACTTAACGTAGTGTCCTCAGAATTTGTCCATGTTGAAATACTCTTCAGAATTTTCTTCCTTTTTAAGGATAAATAATAATCCATTGTGTTATGCATTATTCTGTCCGTTCATTTGTTTTGATGGGCCTTTGGTTGTTTCTACCCTTTGATTATTGTGAATAAAAAATGCTTCTATATTATAAGGGTAAAATGTATCTACGTGAAACCCTGTTATAAATTCTTTTGGGTATACACCAGGAAGTGGAATTACTGAATCATATGGTAATTGTATTTTTAATTTTTAAAAAGAATCAATGTAGAATTTTCTATAACAGCTGTACCATTTTACATTCCTACCAAAAATACATAGGTTCCCAATTTCTCCGTATCCTCACCAATGCTTGTTACTTTCTGCTCTTTTTGGTAGTTGGAATTTTAATAGGTACGAGATAGTATCTTATTGTGCATTGATGTAAACATGTAATGATTAGTGCTAGGAAGCATCCTTTAATGTGTTTACATGCCATTAATGTATATTCTTTACGTAAATGTCTATTCAAGTCCTTTGTTCGTCTTTAATCTACTTGCCTGTTCTTTTGTAATTGAGTTTTAGAAGTACTTCGTATATTCTGCTTATTTATCCCTTTTCAGATTGCGATTATCAAATAGTATTTTTCTCCTATGGCTTGTCTTTTTACTCTGTTGGTGGTGTCCTTTATACAAAGATTTTCATTTTGATAGCTCCGGTTTGTTTTTGTTTATTCCTTTGTCAGTGCCTTCGGTGGCCTATACAAGAAGGCACTGCACAATCTAATATCAAGAAGTTTTTCCTGTATGTTTTCTTCTGAGTTTAAAAATTTATTTTTATAGGGTTGAACTGTGGAGAGAACCAAGCAAATCCCTGGGCATCAGCATTGTCGGTGGACGAGGGATGGGGAGTCGCCTGAGCAGTGGTGAAGTGATGAGAGGCATTTTCATCAAACATGTTCTGGAGGACAGTCCAGCCGGGAAAAACGGAACCTTGAAGCCTGGAGACAGGATAGTAGAGGTACCCTTCAGTGAGCTTTCTGTGTCAGAATTCTTCACCTCTCTCCCCTCTTTACTGAAGGAGTTGCCACCTCTGTACTGGTTACTCTGCTCAGGGCTAGAGAAAAGTATGTTTGTGGTTAAAATGTTTCCTTTCATCCTTATTTTTCTTCCTTGTATGTGGTGGCACCCTGTATAGCTCAGTGTAGAAACTGATGCTTAGAAATATTGCCAGCCAGTTTTTAAAATACTAGCACCACTGTAAAATAATTACATCCGTTTAAAAGCATAAAAAAAATTTCTTAGGGAAAATACTATTATTTAAAATGGTATATAATTACATATATATTAAATGTTATATGTCATAATTGTTTTCCAACACGCTTTATCTGTAGAAATACTTTGTCATTTCAATGTAGAAAAGTCTTCGTTGGATAAGACTGTATTCCAAGTAAGTCTTTCTGTTTTGCAAAAGCTTCAAACGCCAAGACCTTGATTATTGCTCACGTGCATACTTTGCTCCCAGGCCTCTTTCAGTGACGTGTGCACTGACCATCGAAGACACTGCCTGTTTGCACAGGAGTCACCTGTGCGTGTGTGCCCACGTGTGTATGACTACACGGGAGACACAGGGTACAATCAGTTTGTCTGCAGTCCCTAATTCCACACCAAGTGCAAGGTTCTAAACGGGCTCCTCTCACTTGAGTCGCATACTCATTTGCTCTGTGAATATTGCTGGAGGGCCTGTCGCATTCCAGGTGCTGCCTCAGGCTCTGGATGTCCCATAGAAGATAAGGCATCATGGCTCTGGCTCGAGAGACTGGACAAGTTGGTCCCTCAGGGGCAATTTGCCAAGTACAGTTATATTTTAAGTGGTCCAGAACGGGCACCTGACTCAGATTTTCTGATTTACACAATTAACCAAAAGTGATAATTTCAAAATAAAGACAGCTTTATTACTATAATGGCCATTACATTTATTCTGTTGATCACATCTTTTTCTAAACCTGTATAATGTATGCATCAAAGTGCCATTGCTTAGGTTACACTTACCGATCATGACTTTAAAGTGGAGATTTAGCCAGGTATTTAGCCCAGTGGCACAGCACCTGCCTGGCACGCATGAGGTCCTGAGTTCGATTCCCGGTACCCAAGGAATAACTCAATAAAATAAAATAGGGATTTATTTTCTTACTCTTTTACTGATAGTCTCTGAAAACCAAGGCCCTGTTCCCTTTTTCCCACTGCACTCGTTCATAGGGAATAGTGACAAGCTATTTCTCCCCGCTGCTTCCTTGTCTTTCTTTAGAATTTATGTTACTCCACTGTGAAATAATTCTTCGAGCATTCCATGTAAAATTTTCAATTTTAGATCGTCATTAAAAAGTTTATTTTATACATTCTTTGTTATAGATGTCTTTGGCATCTATAACGAAATAAAAACTTCGTAATTATTTCTTTAAAAGATTAATCATAGTTTGCCCCAAAATATTGATTAAATACATTGAGTTAAAATATGCCTTTCAAATTGAAAAGAAATAAGGATTCTGTGTTGAAAAGTAGCATTAATTTAGCATAATTTGCTAGCGTTAATTTAGCTAGCATTATGCTAACTGGTGCCTTAAGTGCAGAGGATATTCCATTAAAGAAGAAAGCCTTAGGCCTCTGTAATACTGGGGATGCTGAAACATGCCCGTGCTAAGAGCACCTGAGAATGTGTGTAGGTAAGTGAGCGGAGAGCTGCAGAGTAGTGTTCCGAGTGTAATGTTCCTTGGACTTGAGCAAAGATGCAGAGCATCCTGTTAGCATTTCCCACTACTGGGATGTACGGTGACACAGTAGACAGGAATACTGGCTTTTGTTTTACTTGGACACACACTTTAAAGCCACTTGAATGTACACCAAAAAAAAAAAAAAATGCTCTGTCATCCATGTGTCAACTTGAGGGAGATGTTCAACTAAATCAGTAATTCTTTGTAATTCTTCAAAACTGATAATATCCTATTCCAACATCTAATAATAGATTTTCTTGTCCAGAATTTTGTCTAGTCTGAGCTTAGTAATTGAGAATGATAAGATGTCAATATAATCTAGTTATCTGGCAGGATTAGCATTTGGCCTTTTAAACTATTTTCCTCCTTGTTTATGTAGTATATTAGCTGAACTGATCATCACTTAGACAGTCCATGGTCAATAAAAAATCACAAAATAGCTCTTACTTTCCAACTGTTTATATAGGAATTACTAACAGATGAGCACAATTTCTTGGCTCCCAGCTCTTGTCATGTCTATTGCAAAGATTCTTTTACAAAACTAACCTTACTATAATGTGATTTTTCTGGACATCAGAATTTTGTTTTTAACTTGAATAAAGCATCACTTGCCTCCTCCCAAACCGCTGTATAATGAATTAGAAGAAAATCGACATAGTGACTTTCATGGTAAACACACTGCTGCCGGTCCCTTTTATTATTTCTTTGTTGGTGCTGATTTGTTCATTTGAAGGAACAACTGAGCAGTGTAAGGAATGCAGAGCAGAGTGCCATCATGCCAACTGATTACTGTTTCAGAAATCTGTGTCCAAAGGAAGTTACCACAAGTCTGCTGTGCAGCCCTGAAAATAGTCTCAATTATGACAGATACTGAAACAAATTTTCCAAGAGCCTAATGGAGGGTCCTCAAAACACCAGATCCACAAATTGTTCTTTTACTCTATAGCTTCTTGAAATGTTAAGCTTAGGCCTTCCATTGCAGGTGGATGGAATGGACCTCAGAGATGCAAGCCACGAACAAGCTGTGGAAGCCATTCGGAAAGCAGGCAACCCTGTAGTCTTTATGGTTCAGAGCATTGTAAACAGACCAAGGGTAAGCGAACATAAAGGGCCATGTAGGCATATCCACACAGTGCTCAACTTGGAGTCTAACGCAGCGAGGGCCAAGTTGTCTGTATGAGCGAATACGGATTCACAAAGTCAGAAGACTTGCTCAGATTTTTTTTTGCTCTTTTAAACATTGAGTTACCTTGAAAATTCCTTTCACCATGTTTAATAGTCTTAAAGTCTGTTGAAAACACACAGAAGTAGGACTTACTTGTGGTCCTAGTGTCTAGATGGTCAGCTACGCATTCGTTATAGGCACAAGCTATGCAAATTGTTGCAAGGAATGTGGCACAGTTCTTCAGGGTAAGAGGCTGTGATCTCCGGAGGGGTCGCTTGGAAGCCAGGATTACATTTCCTTTGAGTTGCTCCCCAGACCGAATCTGCCCGTAGGTCTCCGATGTGTCTGCGCATCGCACTGAGCAGTAGGTTTGCGCAGGGTGGGTGTTGTTAGTACAGGTGGTTCTCTAACTGCGGTTACCAGCTGTAGTCACTGAGTCGTTGGCCACTGTGGGGCGCCTAGCGCACAGAAACCTGCTAACGCGCTTTGCGGTCAGTCGTCACAGGCAGAATAGCTTTGAGAATATCTTAGAAACTGGAGGCACATTAGTGAACATTGTTGGTAAAGAAGAACTCAAATAAGGCTTCCTGCATTTAATATGACCTAGTGATAGTGACGGTGAAAATTTTGGCAAGATTTAAACTCTTTTTTTCTATTGCCTCTGTATGCCTATGAAAAGAATTTCACGTGCAGGGCGTACTAAGTACATTTTTGTTGAATATCCCTGGGAAAATTCTTCAGAATCATGGGTGCTTCCTCAAAAGCTTTCATATCATTTCAAGAATTTCTTAGCTTCCTGAATCACTCAGTCGCCACTCACGGATTTAACAGCGTCTGTGCCACCAATTCTCTGTGAATTATCTGCTTGTCTTTAAGGTTGATTATCTTTAAAAAGAAAATGTCAACCTATAGGAGGATGTTAAAGGTATTCTATTCTAAAAATAGAATTTTATGGATAAAATACTTTGAATTTAACTTGTAAAATTAAGAGTTTAGGATATTAAAACTCAAATGATGAAAGGAAAGTAGCAAACACGTCTGTAGATGCGATAAGTAAAACTAAGATCAATTTATGCCACGGAGCGCAAAATGCCGATTGATTTCACTGGTCCTTTTGTTCAAGCCAGGTGTAACTCTGGTCTTGGCTCCGTTTAAGGAATGAATTTAGTAGTTCTTAAATAAGCAGTTGTCTTCACATCTGCAGTTTTTAATTATTCAGTTTATTGTTAGGTAATAATTATCCATTCACATAGAAAATCTGCCAAATGGACTGTATCATGCTGCATTCTTTACAGATTCCATTCAGTTTGTTTAAAGGACTACAGATCCTTTTACAGTTGTTCCCATGTGCTGTGTTTAACCCAGACACAGCGTGAAGATGTGGTCAGTGGCTGTTTAAGTTGGAGCTTTTGTGCGTAGGTGGGTGGGTTTTACTCGTTTTTTGTTTTATTTTTAATTTCCACCTTTTACATCATTTGGGAGAATATTATAATTGATGAATAATGGTTCTTAATATTACTCTAAAAACTTAAACTACAAACATTTCTTTCAATGCCAGTCACATTCTCTAATGAGCCTATACAGATATTGTCTGATACACCTGGAAGACATTACTGTTTTATTATCTGAGGTATAATGGCACCTAATTTTGTAGCAATTATCCCAGGATAAATCTTGGTTAGAATGACATGTTTAGTCACGTTATGTACATTTGGTTTGGGAAATTAGAATTCATTTTGCATTTAAAATGAAATATACTTTGTTCCCAGGGATTTACTTCCCTGTAAAAATCATCATGTCTAGTAATATAAAGGAAAAAAGGAAAAATCACCAATATATACTCTTAAAAATCTCTTAGTGGTAAATGTTTTATTTGTGGATGGAGGAAAAAGCTTCTAAGAAATCTTACGCATAGGCTGATGAGCTAATCATTTACGTTGGCCCCTAGGCTGTTCATGAATCAGACCTTTCCAGCCTAGCCCTGGTCATTCTACCAGGATGCGGTTAGCGGTTTCACGGCCTCAGTGACTGTGGGGGGAGCCATTAGCACCATTAACATGGGCCAGAAAAAGTCTGTGATGTCCTTGTGCTTCTTCTCAGTTAATAATGTCTCTGCTTTCATCAGCCCTTGAGAATATGGAGAGCTTTGCCATTGATTTCTTTTAGCCAAAAATTGTGTTTCTGTCTACCTTGGCCTAAGAATAGAGTGACCTCCTGTTTCATCTGCTGTGCTCTCGCTGTACCTTTACACTCTGCTATCGGGGCCAAATTCTAATCCTGTAAGATCTGCAAATTTTAACAAAACAAAGCAGCCAAACATTACAGATCTCTGTATGCTGTTTCTTGCCATCATGGTTTTGTTTTCTGTTCTGTGTAGTTATAAAGGACACTTGAAGCCAAAAAATACCGTGTATGAAGACTGGAAATCTCTTCCCTCAATACGTGGAACTATTTCCCTCGGATGTGTTTTTCATTTCTGCCCTGTCATTTCTTCCACTTTAATAAATGGTCATGTTCTTTGGCATTTGTGATTTCTCTTCTGTAAAGCAGGAGTTGACATTTTAAACTGAATTGGAGGGAGAAAGTCGAGATGGGCAGAAATGTCATTGTGCCCATATCTTTCTCCTTGTCTTCCCTCCGTAGGAAAAACGTTGCAAGAAGAGCAGATTGAAAGGGTAACGTAGCATAAGCTTTGGTATAGGCATGCTGAGGATGCAGTCTTTCCAGAATGTTCTTCCACACAGAATGGTGTCATGTGACAACCCCTCTACACTCCACGCCTGCCAGTGGGACTTTTTTTATAGAGAGAAGTAACACAAACATTTAATTGGAGCCAAAATGAATTTTAAATGTCTACAGTTTCCCCTGAAAGATGTAGTCAATAAAAGAAAAAGATAGCGGGTGTGAAAGAAGGAAAAGAATTTATTGTGCTAAGGAAATTACTTTTTTTTAAACTATGAGAATGCTAAATTCTATCTGGCAGACATCCTGCCTTTAATATGTATATTCAGTTTAACAGTCCTGGCTCAGGCAAACCACAAAATCTATGCGAAACACTCTAAATTAGGACCTCAAATATTGTTCAAAGACCATAAGTTCCCAGTAATATGGGAAATTTCATAGGAATTTTGTAAAGTATGAATCTCCCTGTTGCTACCTTTACAAAAGGAGAACACCACTCTAGACTGGTTGGTTTATTTCTTGAATCTGTTGCTTGTAATACCTAGTCAAAATTTGAAGTTTCCTGTCAGAGAAACAAAATAAAGGAGTAAGGAAGGTCACTAATGAACTAGCAGACAGATGTTCAATATGTATTCTGGAAGATGCAGACTATTTAAAAATAACATAATTAGCTTTAAAAGAAATGTGGGCTTTTTAATTTTGAAATGTGTTTGTTGATGTTCATGAAATATAAATTAATACATAAAGTAGTAAAATATGTATGTCTCTGTCCATGATAAAAGAGCCATTCAGTGACAATGACTTTGGAGTCAATTTGATATTCTAGTTCTGATGTAGCTTGTAGACTGATATATACTCAAGTATAAGTTTAGGGCATTACGGGCAAACCTTCAGCGACAAACTTAAGACGATGCCATTAACTACTACATAGAATCTAGTTGCGCACCGACAGTTCTTTAAATCAGTAAGTATTTTGCTATAAAGACTGAGTTGTTTAAGTACATGTCTGTTGTGCTCAGCACCTCTTATGTTTCCTTTTAGAAATTTCCTTTGCCTTCCTTGCCGCACAACCTTTACCCTAAGTGCAGCTTCAGCAGCACTAACCCATTTGCTGACGCTCTGCAGTTCAACGCTGACCAGGTTGGGTAACGCCCGTTGTCTTGCCAATGCCTCTTGCAGATGTTTTGTGTTTTGTTGGTACTGTGCTTTGTCCCAGTTCACTGTTTACTACATTTGAACAGGAAAAAAATCAAAACAAAAAGACAACCATGTGTTTGGAGTGGGCCTATGAATTTTCTGTGAGAGATTATTTTTATAGCTGAAACTAAATGCCCCTTTCCGAAGAGGAAAGGAGTAACCGGAGTCCAGTGCCTTTCCTGAATTTAGCTGTGATTTAAATTTTCTGATACGCACGTTTTTGCCAATTGCCAAATACATGAACTACTTTGGCACATAATTTCTTTAAAACCTTACATTGGTTTAAAACCTTTCAGAGTTCCACAGGATGGTCATGAAAGCTCTTGTATGAGTTAATCGTTCCATAAGTAATTGTGCATGTGTCCTTGCAGGAGTCTGTTGAATATTCATTAAGTGTGGCTGTGCACATGTCTCAATCAGGAAACTTAACTGTTTCAAGCCTCATAAATCTATATTTGGATATTCTCATATTCTGATAAAACGATAAAAAGCAAACTTGAAACAATTTACAAGAATTTATATACCATAATTTGATCATGGAAAGGAAGAAAGTTGTCAACAATTTCTTTTGGGAAACATTTTATAAATATTCATCAGATTTTCTTGTTTTTGTAATATGGATAACAAAGATGCCATTTCTGAAGGACTGTGTTTCTTATCACTGTAGGAATTACAGAATTCAAGTAGAATTATCTTCTACTGTTCCCCAACTAACCCTTTTGCTCCCACACCATTTAAGGTTTGTCTTCAATGTGAAATTTTTGTAAGTGGGTGTGTTAAAGTGTGAAATTTGTGTATGTTATAAACCTCGTGTACATACATGTCATTGAGTGATTTCCAGTGCACTTTGCATTTTTGCCAAAAAGGCTAAAGTACGTTTGTTAAATATTTATGTTTTCCTTAATAAATTTTAGGGAGTGTTAATAGCAAGCCGATTAGATAGTCTTGATAAAATGAGGGTGCCAGTAGTAGTAAAATAGAAGACCTAATTGTACCTCAAGTAAATAGAGGCTAATATTAGTTTTGTAACAAAATCAACTATGTTCAGACACCATTTCAGTATGTCACCAGTATTAAAATGGTATGACTAAAGTCCTGAACAACTTTTAAGATGGGCACGTTTTGTTTCTTTGTCCTTAAGGAAAATAACAGTCCAAAAATTGTACAGCAAGATTTGTAAGATGTACATCTACAGATTTGTTAAAAGTAATGGAAGTTTACATTAGATTTTATTGCAGTTTTTCAAAATGAATGGACTTAGTTCATTCTTGCTAAAGAATACTTTCTATTATTACAGAAAATAAATTTTCTTTCAAAAATACTGAAGTAGATTGTGTAAGATCAAATGAAGTTGTTTTATATGTTGATTCATTTTTATTTGTGCATTATTAACTAGAGAGATTTAAGGAACCACATTTGTGAAAATAACTGGGATTTCATTTGCACGAGAAACTTGCATCTACTTGGCTGGTGTTGTGTAAACTGCACATTTTAGTGCAGCAAATCCTGGAATCTCACAGCCGATCCCGTTTGGTCTCTGTCACCAGTGTGGCCAGGAAGTTGAGCGTTGTCTCAGTCACCTCAGAAGGATCTCATTCAGCGTCACGTTGTTTTAGTGTTGGTGTATTTTGTAGTATTCTAATGTTGGGCACCAACCGATGATTGCTAAGTATTTGTGCATCGATATCATTTGATGTGTTTTTATTATTAGGTGTAGTAATTTCAAGTCTTTAGTTTTTCTAGATATATAAAGAAAACAAGTTATGTGACATGATTTTTATTGAGAAACAAGTAAAACAAGGAATAGGATAGGTAGAAAACATCTGGAAAAACTTCATACAAGGGCTAATTAGTGGGTGTCCCTGACCCTGGTTGCATACTGTCTTACTATGGCAGTCAGAGGAGACAGTATGGTATGATGCAAAGTGCACCCATTGTACTAAGAATGAAGCGAAAAGAAACCTAGTACCCTGGGGTGATTTTTGAATGAAATACTTCAATTTCCATGACCTCACATTCAAAAAGTTTATTCATGTACAAAATGCACGGACTGGGTGACTTAAAGAACTTTCAAACACATTCTGTTTGATAGTATGTCATGTAAGGACTTGATAATGCCCAAATGATGTTTTAAAAATAGGACCTAAGTGACAGTAAGTGTGCCACGTTTTGGTTTTGTGTGACGTATTCTCTTGTGTTTTCTCGTTTCCCGTGCGAACTACTTTGACAGAAAGCTAGTGTTGTCCCGTAGAAGCACACGTGCTCAGATCTGTGTCAGTGTGCTCGGTGCTAACAGACTGACTGCCCTGGTAGGCGTCTGCATGCAGGGTGCTCTCTTTCGTGGGTTTGTTGAGAATCGTTTGGAGAGAGGATTCAGGTAGCAGAAAAGATTGCTTTACATACAGACTCACCAGCAAGGTCTGCAGGACAATTTCCTTGTTAATCTCCTCCTTTGCCTCCTCTGCCTTAATCTCTTCCTCCTGCTCCCTGCCTCCTGTCCCTCCATCGGCTCCTCCTCCATTTTGTTTCTTGACCGACTTTTCTAGACCCCTATACCCTGCGCAGACCCCTGCGTATTTATAACTTTTGAGTGAGAATCTTTTTCCAAAGATTCTCAGGGGAAATTTTAAAAATTTTCTATCATAGGTCCTTTAAACGTTCAAATTGAATAACTCCTTGACATAATAACACAGAAGAGCTCAGTAAATTGTGTTCTAATACTATTTGTGTGTTTAACTTTACCTGAATCCTATCTAGTATTTCTTATGTGCCTACATGAGCTTTCCATGGTTCAGTAGGTATTTTAAAGCCAGGTTTTGTGTCTGACGTTGCACTGTAGTATTTCTCTTCCCTCAGGTTTTGTTCCGTGGATTGCAATACCCACTGCATTCCTCCTGTTCCCGCAGGCACCCAGTCACTCCGAGACAGAGCCAGAGAAGGCTCCGTCATGTGATGCTCTTCAGCCCTCGTCTTCAGCATTTGCAGAAATGGGCAGTGATAATGCACAGTCATCTGCAAGCAAAGCCTCAGAGGACACGGACAAAGAGGATGAGTTCGGTTACAGCTGGAGTGAGTTGTCTTTCTGTGATGGGCTTGATTATAAGCGGTATGAAAATAACTCTGAAGCTCTCAAAGCTTCTGCCTTAGAGGAATAGTATGTTTCAGCTTCGGCAACACATGCTGCCATTTTGTGTGGGAAAAGTACTGTCTGATTTAGTGGCATACAACATACGTTCCTGAGGCATAAATTCAGAGTTTTCCTTTCCTTTAAAACCGCATTGCTGTGAAAGCCCCTTTGCTTCTGACATGAGAATTGAAGAGGACAAGGCCTTTTCTCAGAACAGTGCATAGTCAGCTATCTTGTGGTCTGGATATCTAGGCCTCGGATTTCTCATTATAAAATCTACTAGCCATTGATATTACACCTGAAAATTGTGGTATTTTCTATAATAGTATGGTAACATAGTATGATATTTGAAATCAAAACTTTGGTCATTTGTTAAGTTTTTTAATGACTTCCAAATTTTAATGCACTGGTTACCTCTTTTGAAAAATACTGTTCTTCCCCCGGTTTGCTAACATTGGATTGGATAATGTCTGAGAAGTACAAAGCACAAGCCTGATGTACAAGAATCATTCAAAAGCAGCTAATAGTAGGATCCATGGGTGTCTCTATTTTCTAAGGAAACAGTATTGGACAGGAAGAGAGCAAACATTCATCCAAAGCTTGCGAATGTGTTATTATGTTAAAGTTTCCTTTAAAAAATCTAATTATTTTCTTTAAGAAAAGTATAGTACATACTTTTAGAACAAACAGAAATAACTGTGCTGTTAGACTGCAGGGCTCACAAAGTGACAGTTTATTTAAACTAATATAGTTAAGAGTCAATGTAAAATGCAGCCCATTAGCCATTTAGTGATTTTCTAAGACATGATTTGTAAAGTTCGTAGTTTTTTTGCTATTATCAATGGTATTAGAATATGTTATTATCTAATCAAGGTAAGCAGAATGTGTATTTTCCATCATCAGGCCACTCTGTAAGTACGTGACTTAAGACAATGTATGAGTAATCTGTCGGGGTGCACTGGGTGACTGGCTCAGCTGGCCCGGACTCCAGGGTGACTCACGCGCACAGGCGTTAGAGCAGAGAACCTACCTTCCTTAGCGGAAAGGAGGAAGATACAAACTCTGCCTCTTGAAGATGTGGAGTGGGAGATTCAGGTTGTCTCACCTAGTTGGGACACATCCCACAGCTGGAACAGTGACATCAGTGTGCTCTGGCCCACTCACTTCCTGCACTGTGGATACGTGAGCCAGGCGGCTCCCCACCACGAGAGAACGCACAATGTAGACTTTTCGCCGGGAGAGGAGCCCCTGTGATCAGTGAACGCAAAGGTCCCGCGTGCTTGTGTGTTTCGCCCTACAAACGATAAAGTAAATTTCCCTTTCACTGTAGGCTTTTGAGGGTTTGTAAATGTAAATAATTGCTTCTCTTGGGCCTGATAATATTAAAGTGAACTTATTAATCAGAAACTGTGCTCACACACCCTTGACGCAAAGAAATTCCTCAACGTTGGGGTATTCTGGGAAACCAGTTCTGATGCCAGGCTGCCAGTCTGTTTTTCCTTTAGCTCCCAAGATTACATTTTGGTGCAGATAATGCCTTTTTGAGCTAAAACCAAGTAGTGTACTGTGGTAAAGTATATTTGGCTATGACCTAGCTTTCCATACATACGGGATTGTTGTTGTTTTTATGTTTAGAAAGTATCAGAGAACGTTATGGAACCCTAACAGGCAAGCTCCATATGATTGAACTGGAGAAAGGTCAGAGTGGTTTGGGCCTAAGTCTCGCTGGGAACAAAGACCGAACCCGAATGAGTGTCTTTATAGTGGGAATTGATCCAAATGGAGCAGCAGGAAGAGATGGTCGATTGCAGATTGCAGACGAACTTCTAGAGGTAAATTCTTATGGACAGCTTTGATTTTTTTTCTTGCTATATCAGAGCAGTGGAATCTCCAGAATCCAGAAAATACCCAGACCTCATATGTTGATGGAGAAAACTGTCACTGGCCTAATAAAGTAGGTGCATCGCAGCGAATTTGGCTCCAAACCAAATGTCTACTCAGAGAGTTACCATTAACTTCCCCTAAAAGGTCGTGACTGCATCGTACCAGAAACAATTTTTGCTCCAAGATGGTAATAAAAATCATACTTCAAAGACATTTTTGTGCTGCATTTTTATTAGCAGCTTTTGAAAAGTGAAATGACTAGCCATTCCCCAGTCATGGCGCTAACCCACCGGGCGTTCTGGAAGTTAAATCCCTGTGGGGTAAGTGGTGCGGGTGAGGGGGAGTGGGCTCCAAGGTTAAGGCTAAATAACCCGTGAAGTAGCTTAGCCAAACAAAATAAACTTGTGAAGCAAACATAATAGCGTTTAGAATTCTCTTTATTTGTGCTGTTGGCCCTTGCTGCCTGTGGAGAGCACCCACGTATCTGCGGATTGCGTTCGTACTCTGCCCTGTGAGCTGGCTGCGTTCGGACAGCAGTGGCTCCTGACCGGAGGGCTGAGCCTGCACTCTCTCTTGGGTGCTGTGCTGCCTAGGTGCAGCCTGCGCCTCTGTTTGAGTCTCCCTAATGTCAGACTTCTCCTCGTAGCCTGTTTCTGGGACTTGAGTCTGGGAAAAGGGAGAGCAGAGGACTTCCCAGGAGGGTCTTTGTAGGTCACATAGCCCTTGCTCTGCAAAGCAAGTTGGAATCCAGTGCCTGTGGGCAAGTCTGCTATCTCTCTCCTGTCGTTGATCCACAAGGTGCTTCTGCCAACAGTCCCCGGATGTCAGACGTCGTGCACATCATTTTAATGTTGGCGTTACTTTGCTTTTTTCACATCAAAAGTCAGGCTCATTTTCTAGTGAGGAGAATACATAGAGTATTTTAAAGAAAAAAGTTGTACTAGGTAAGAAAACAAAATTTACAGAGTTAAAATTAGCTTAACCAGTGATACTTTTTTTTATTTTCACAGATCAATGGTCAAATTTTATATGGAAGAAGTCATCAGAATGCCTCATCAATTATCAAATGTGCCCCTTCTAGAGTAAAAATCATTTTCATCAGGTGAGAACTTTCTTTCACTGGTTTACGAAATACTTTTTATTAACATTTAGAATTGAGATTTTTTGAACAAAAAATAAAACATTTGTGTATCTGTGTGATTGCTGTAGTTCCAAGTCTTTAGAGTTAGCGGACTTTGTCCAGTATTTGACTCTTGAAGTAAGAGGATGGAAATAATATTATGACATTTTGGGTTGATGCTCTTTTATGCTTTCAGAAATAAAGATGCATTGAGTCAGATGGCTGTATGTCCCGGAAATACAGCAGAATCTTTGCCTTCCACTTCAGACAGTCTTCAACATAAGGAGGTATTTGTAACTTACGTTTATCTCGCTGGGAAAATTTGATTGATGATATTCCTGTATAAATTGAGTTAACCATTATAGACCATGTACAGGGATAGCAAAGATAAATGACTTATCACTTTATTGCAAAAAGAGTTGATAGCATGGTCAAGATGACCCTCGCATACATAAGCACAGCACATGTGTGCAGGCCACAGTCAGAGTCTGCATGGGCAGTAGTGTGAGTAGGAAGGGGGGTGTTCGTTCTGCCTGTGGGGAAGGAGTGGAATAAGACTAAAATAAATAAACAAAGCAGACATGATATACAGGTGTCTGATGTGATTATCAAAATAGAAAATACAGAAAAGAGGAGCAAATGCTGTGAAAATACATACATTCTTACTGAGGCAGCTGAAGAATGAAAGGCCTGTTGGGAAGCTTCGTAGAAGTACGCACTTGCACATTTGGTCCAGGGTTTAGAGATCAGTTCCCACACAGAGATTTTTCATTTATTGGTCATGGGAGTTGTAGCAGTTGCCCTCCTAGAGCGTGTAGGAAGAACATGAGGACTTGCACGTTCTCATGTAGCAGGGCAGTGAGGAGGAAGGCTAAGGAAAGAGGTCAGGGAGGAGGAAGAGGAAGGACTGCGAGGTTATACAGCCATAGAGGAGGGCATGTCTCAAGAAGGGTGTGTTGCACAGTCTCAGAAGCTACGGAGAGGTCCAGTAAGAGGATGTGAAGGAGATTCCCTGGGTTGGGTAACTGGCAGATTATTGGGAAAGCAATCAAGAGATTTCTCAGGAAAGCAAATGACGTATATGAAATTAAGGAGAGAGGGTAGTGGTTACATGGTGACAAAGAAAGAGCTTTTTGATGATAATTGGATTTTGATCAGCTTTGGATACATGTGTAAGAGGGATAAAAGAGTTAGGTGCGGTGGTGCATGCTTGTAATCCAACCGCTTTGGGAGACTGAGGCGGGAAAATCACAAGTATGATCCCACCTGCACAGTTTAGCCACTTAACAAAGCCCTGGCTTAAAATTTAAATAAATTGTATTAATTATCTGTCCCATAACTGAGACAATATCCCCAGCCACAGTTTAAAGAAGAAGAGATTTAATTTGGCTTATAGAGTTAGGGTTTAGTTCGTGATTGGCTGGCTCCAAGGTGGGAACTTCACCAAGGCCATGGCAGAGCAGAGTTACTCCAGTCAGTGTGTTCAGGAAGAGGAGCACAGACCCACAGTGGAAAGGAAAAGCTTCCAGGTAGGACCATCACTGTGGAAGAACGTGGTGGAGAGGAGGTGCCCAGTTCGTTGTGGCCAGGAAGTGGAGAGAGCACAGGGAAACAGAACCAGAGAGGAGAGGACAAGGGACCAGACACAGACCTCCGGTTAAATCTCTGAACCACCGCAGCACACCTACATATGTGCTTTATCCCATAGGCGGACCTCAAAGCCAAAAGAGTTGACAGTACACCGTAATGGTCGAGTAAATTAAAAGGGCAGGGAGGTGGCTCAGGGCAAAGGCCCTGGGTACTATGCAAAAATAAATGAATGAATGTCATGGAGAGAGAAGGTCAAATTAGAGGAGTAATGCTTGTTATCAGTAGGGGGAGGGGCAGGAACTAAAACACTTTCTGAGTGGATGTGTAAACATTTGTGTGTAAGGTGAACATGCAAACCATTCTCTCATTCTGCTCGTTTCTGATTTTGAACTGAGTCACATTGTTATTTAACATGGATAACTTATAAAGGAGAAAGTTTCATTGTCCCATTAATTTTCCTAAATGTGGTCATTAAGAGAATGGAGTATTTTAACAGTTTTCAGGTACAGCATTTAATACATTCTGAACTCACGTGATAGGTAGCACAGAAAGAAGAAGAAGGACACTTCTGCTGGTGCTCTGTATCTCATGGTATTGCCGTCCGGTAGCTGGCTGCTGTTAGATTTCAGTATGGAGTAAATCCAAGCTGACCTCTGAACTGCTTGGTTGTTTTTGTTCCAAAACAATTGCTGTCCAGTCACTCCCCCTAAGTACTTCACAAGAATGTAAATCTTACAAATGCCTTAAGAGAGTAAACCAGTGAATTGTGCTCTATGAGATAATTTTGATTAAGTGGGCCGTATAGTTAAGCAACCAAAAATACTAACCCTGAATTGCCTCTTCTGTCCTTTCCTTTTTTCTGTCAGGTAGAACCAAGTGTTGCTGCTCCTGAAGCGATTGCGGACCTCAGCTCATTTAAAGATGTGCACTGCCTGGAGCTGCCCAAGGTGAGTGCACGTGGCGTCGGGGCGAGACGGTGGGCACGAGCGGGCACACCCTCACAGCCCGTCACAGGCTCTGAGGCTCAGGCCCGTGGTCTGCCAGCCACAGCCTCAGCCGCGCCGCGCTCGGCCTTGTTAGCACAGCCCCTGCCCCGTGCTCACTCGGACCCACCTACGAAGGGGAAGCTTTTGGGCTGGGCCCAGAAGTTTGCGTTTTAGGAAGTTTCTCTTGATGATCCTAATGCACAGTAAAATGTGGAACCACGAGCTAATCGTTCCTTAGCAGGGGCCCAGCTCTCTGTGTTTATGATTGTTTCAAGGTGTGAAATTCATCATCTCTCCTGTTATTCATGTAACCCTGTTAGAGAGGAGATAAAATAAGGAGTAGAAGGTACAGCCTTGTCTCATAAAATTCAACACTCAGATAGCTAGAGGTTTCACTGGTGGACAATCAGTGAGGTATTTGCTTTGAAAAAATCTAAACCTTAGGCTCAAATGATGCTTTAAAGAGGTGGTTTGCTGAGCAGAAACCTCCGTATGCTTTGACGTATTCCAGGTGGCGCTGGAAAGGAAGGGGACACGGTTGAGCAGGAGGACAAGCGGTAAAATGAGTGCTGGGCAGGAGAGGAGACAAGAAAGTGGTGGATGGGAAGCAGGGGATATTTACGAAAAGTGCTGCAGACGGGCGTGAGTGGTCAGCACACTGCCACCCCGCCGTGAAGCCCAGTGCGGTGCTCAGAGGCCGGAGCCAGAGTCGTTATTCGGAGACTGAGTCGTTCTTCATCACATACATGGCTAACACACGGCGTGATCTCTCTCTGCCTCGGCCTCCTCCCCGTAAATGAAAGGCCATAATAGTGCTTATGTCAAAAAATTGTAAAGATTGAATGAGTTGCTTATAAAATAGCATAATTACTGGCACATTTACTTCTCTTCTACAACAGAAAAACTAATGCAAAAATGGGTTGCTCTCATCCTAGAGACCTAAGGGGAGTTTTTATTATGCGCTATTTTGTAATAGTAAGAGAAAAACAGAACAGACGTCAGTGACGCCTTTGCCTTTTCTACCAAAGTCCATACACTTCATTAGAATTCCTCGTTCCGCTGTCGGTAGGGAGAAGCATGAGGTGTGATAACCAAAGCGTGGTCAGTGCTGCTGGCAAGTGCCGTCTTACCAGGAGGCAGGCTCATCAGAACGTTACAGTGCGGCTCATCCCCCTTACCTTCTCCCTGCATGGGCTCCGTGCACCTTCCTGTTCCTCCCCAAAGGCAGAATGTCTGTGAAAGGCAGGCGTTTTGAATCAGTTCAGGACATCTAAAGAGTGCAACCAGCGACACTTAATAAGGGACAGGAGTGATCGAGTGTGTCCCGAGTGAAGGGGTGCATTGAGGGGGACTAGCAGGAAGCGTCTTCTTCTGTAGTAAACTTCTAAATTTAAGCTTTTATGGTATTATCATCATGCTTCACACGTTTTCCTCTCTCCAAAATGAGGGCAATAATAGTCCTTACCCTGTTGACTTATAGTGAGAATTAAGTATCTATTACGAAAATTAAGTATGTGTATATAAGGATTGCCCGTTGCTGTTGTCGTTGTAATTATTAGTAATGAATAACCTGGCACAAAGATGTCCCACTGCTTCTGGGCACTAGTTCTCTCTGATGCTTTCTTTTCCTGCCTCAGTCCATCTAAGGTGTCCCATACGTACCTATTGTCATGCTCTACTCAGAGCCTTTCAAGGACTTTCAGCATCAAACAGACAAATTGCAACTCCCCGGCTTGGCGTTTGCCAGTGGGGCAGACAGAAGCCTGGTCTCTCTGCCAGGTGCTCTTGTCACATGTTGAGTGGGCTCACATTAGAAAACCTCTTCGTCACGTTGGTCCCCAGTTGCTGCTTGTGTAAATGGAGCTGCCTTTATCAGAAAGTAGCTGTTGGGACTGGATAAGATGCACAACAGGCTTCCTTTATTCTGTATTGCAAAGCTGATCTCTTCAGTTAGCCTCCTGCTGGCTTATCCCTGGATGTCTGTTACATACTGTTTACTTTCCGAATTAGCTTGCATCTGTTGAAAAATCCAAGATCTTAAAGAAACTCGATGCATTGCCCACAGAAAGTTTCCATTTATATGTAAATTTCAGATAAAGTAAATCTGACAAAATACCAAAATGAGTAAGGGGAATACTCAAGAATCTTTTAAAAATCAGGTAAATAAGCAATTATTCATGATGGTAAGTGTGAGGTGTGGAGTCACGTATACACTCTGGCACAGAACCATTTGACTTCTTCTTTGGGCCTCACTTTCCTTACCTGTAAGAGGGGAAAATAATAAGTTCACATTATAGATACCATTGTAAAGATGAAATGAAAGAATTTGTCTAAAGTACTTATCTCAGTATTTTAGCATAGTTATTTTCATTTTATATTTTTGAAATTATGAGGTTCTAAGTGGCCCATATGATGTATCTTAGAAAACTTTGTTGAGGGCTATCTTGGTTACTGTTCTCTCATTGCTGAGACAAAATACCTGACACCCAAAATTAAGGAAGGAAAAGTTTAGTTCGCTTGCAGTTTGCGGAGGTTTCAGTCCGTACTCGGCTGGCTCCAAGGCAGAGTGGCACATGGCAGAGGACAAACGTTCCTGGTGGTGGGAGACAGCAAAGCAACAAAGGAGGAGCAGCTGCGAACAGCCTCCTTCCGTCCCTTACATTGTATGCACGCTGCCCACCCGGCTGCACCAGTGCGGGATGGGTGTAGCACACCTATGATCCCATTGGACCATACGTCAATCACCAACTCCAGAAGCCCGCCCCTGGCCTGCGTGAGGCTTTGAGGGGACGTCTAGGCACAAAACCATAGCAGGGGCCGTTGCTGAAACTGGTGGTAACACGTCACTCTGAGCTGCGTGAGTGCGCTCTGCCCCACTGTGGGGCAGCACGGGAATGGAACGCACTCAGACAGGGGAGCTAACCCATTTCCTCACACGGACGCGTCGTCTGAAATTCTGTGACAGTCACATCTCATCTTTTCCAGCTAACTTATTTGAAAACTACTTCAGTAAGTAGAACCACGTTTGCTCGTCATGTCATCTACTTCTTAGCAGTCTTGTGAGACTGCTTAACAAATCCAAGTGATAGAGCTAAGACTTACTCTGGCTGACTCCAAACCCTGTCTTCTGTTGCTGATTCCAGTTCGCAGTTGGGCCCCATCTACCTTTTTTTTTTAAAGCCCTTGAATGTTCCTTATAAGAATCTTTTACTTAAGTCAGACCAGTTTGAATGAAGAGCCCATGGTGAATGTTGTGAGACTTCACCCTTCCTTGCCTTTGCTTATTCTGTATCCCTTCAATTGTCCTTTCTCTAAGTTTATCTAAAGCCCACATATGTGCAAGACCCAACCTGAAGACCACTTGTTTATGTTTAAATATTTCTTCAATGTTCCGGCCTACGTGATACTTACTGTAGCACCTTCATGTAACGTGCTTGACGGTGCTTGGCCTCTTTGTGGCGGCTTCCCTGTGGGTGTCTTTTCTGTACCTCTCACGTGCACATGTGCTGTGCGAGGAAACTTCAGTACTGCCTCACCTGCACTGCAGGCCGCGTTGTGTGCACACACGGCCCTGAGGGACACGAGGAGGAAGGGCTGAGGGAGAAGACACTGAGATCCGGAGTCGGAAGGAGGGGTGGTTTTTACATTGCCTCATAACGGCAGCTCTGCAAACATGCCATTTCTCACTTTAGAAATGCTCCTAACAAGCCTATTATTTTTCTTTCTAATCTTTTTTTTAAAAATGGGAAAATGGAAATATAAGGGGAAAGTTCTCGTGCATATAATCTAAACCTTCAGTGGCTGACTGAAATCCTACCTCAACTTGTTGAAAATATTTTTTAATTAAAGGTCACAGTTTACCCCAGAAAAATGCCACAAAGCAGATACAACCTTCTATGCCTTTTAGGTCTGTTTAGCATTCATGCAATTTTATACGGTGAAAGCCTTTAAATACAGTGTAGAGGGTTTTTTTTTTTTTTTTTTTTTGAGTTTTAGAAAATCTATCTTCAAAAAGGTCCTCTAAAAAATAATAGTAGTTTGTCTAGCTTAAAGCCAGTTCTAATTCTCGTTTACTCTTCTGTAACTGTCTAATTATACAACTCTTTCTCCCTCTGCAAGCGTCCTGCATATGGTAGTATTTTAATTAGTGCTGAAGAACAGTATTTTTCAGATCTTTTCTTGCCAACAACTATATAAAGAAGTAAGGTGAAAAGTTGAACAATTAGATAAGAAATTGCACCTCTCTCACCACGTATCCATTCTTACATGTTTTCCTGCTTTTCTGATACCAGTAAACTGTAGATACGCATATTCTCACTTATTTTTGTAATATGCTAAGTGCAGTGAGGGCACGCAGCTGTGCAGCTTACTGTTCCTTCCCTGTTGATTCCTGCTGCTGCAAATTACAAACAGTGCTGACCCAATATTAAATCCGTCAGGTTTAATCGAAGAAGAGAATCTGTGTTCTCAAGTAACTAGCAGCAGTCTGCAAGGGTGGTTGGTACTGGGATCAGGACTCATAAAGAGCCAGTGCCTTCCCTCTCTCTGCGCAGCCATGCAGTGTCAGCGTGGACGTAAAGCTGGTCTTCCTCTGGGTCTAGAATGGCTGGGAACCGCAGCTGAGGCTGTGTGCTGCCTCTTTTTAATGTTGTTGGGGAGACAGTGTTCCAGCGTTCTGAGAAGTCCCAGATTCATCCTAATTAAATGAGTGTAGATCACTTGCTTACACTTCATCTAGGGATTGTGGCCATGGGAATAGAATTGTAAGGTGGACTTGGATCATTCGGACCTGATCTTTGGAGCTACTTATGCAGTATTACATGACAAATTACAGTAAAGCTTAGCAAACTTCGAACAACAGGCAGTTAGTGAGGCACTTAGTTTCTGTGAGTGTGGAATGCGGAACCAGGTCAGCTGGGTGGTCTGGCTTGGACTCTCGTACAGTTGCTGACAAACTGCCAGACAGGGCAGTTAACCTAAAGGTTTGCCTGAGGCTGGACATCACTTCCAGTGTGATTTTCTTGAAGTTACTGTTGGCAAGAGGCCTTCTCATGGGGCTGCTTGGGTTCTCCATGACACAACAGCTGAGCTCTCACAGCGAAAGTGATCCCAGGGAAGGAGCAGGAAGTAAGCTCCGCTGCCTCTCTGGGCACACCTGGAAGTCATGCACCATCACTTCTGCTTTATCCCGTTAGAGTCAAATTGGTGAGCCCAGCCCGGCTGTTGGGCTCACTGTCTCGAAGGGATCAGCAAATGAGTGCTTTTCCAGTCTTACTCCTGCCGCCTTACTAGTACATGCAGGAAAGGGGGCGAGCTGAGGCAGGGGGGCTGGGAGAGATGGAAGGGAGAGGGTTGCTAGGGTAGCATGGGTGGGGTGGATGCCTAATGAACATCTGCTGATTGTACGAAGGGGTAAGACGATAATGAGTGTTAGGGAGGAAATCAGCACATGCCTGCTGTACCAAAAAAGAACCTTCATGAGTGTCAGGTATTATTACTGCTTATTTTTTAGATAAAAATGTTTGATTTTTCTAGGTAAGAAAATTAATGTTTAGAAATGTAAAGTGGCCTATTTAAATTTGTTCAATCAGGTATAAAATAAAATAGAAACCTCTGGAGTCTCCTTTATCTTACACTCATGCCTAATTGGCTAAAGGAAGGTGGTAGAGGGAGACGTCCGCTGACCGTGGGAAATACAGCAGACATTAACAGCCTTGCTCGGAAAAGCCAGGGCGGGCCATCTTTAAAACAGTGGTGAAACCTCAGTGTCACAGTCATGACCATGACTATCAGAGGGTAACCTCTGCTCTCGCGTGTGTTTCAGAGAAACCATGACAGGATTCCTTTTTCTTTACTTTCCCTTTGCATATTTTTCCTGGATGAAAATTATAGTGTAAAACGTTATAAGCTGTGGCCAGAATGAAAATTCAAAACTCTATTTTAATTTTATTAAAATAAACATTAGAGAAAGGTAAGAACAACTGTTATTGAACATATGGTTTTGATGAAAGAAAGTATGGAAAAAAGTAGACGAAGTCGGTGTAGCTCTCCAGCCTTGGCAGGTTTCCAGGGCATGTTTCTGGGCTCAGAGACTTTTTAACTCCGCAGCAAATCAAAATACTCTTCTGTGGAGGATCAGTTCCTGGTGTTCCATCCCAGAAAGGACAGAGCATGCACCAGTAATTGCATCTTCCTTGTGGAAGAGGAAGTGCGGCAGAAAAGAATGAAGGAGTCAGACTTGCTTTGTTATTTCGAAACTGCAGAGCAGAAAGAGAGGAAGCAGGGTACTTCAGCTGTTTCTGAATGGCGAATTCCGACAGCCAGTTACACAAGGCTAAATTTGCAAGTGCTAAATGTTTCAGATGAATTATTGAATACATTTTTGCTATCTGGATATTTTGCTAAAGTTACTAAAGGTGTCAGACATATGGGAGGATGAAATCACTTGACTGTTTGAGGGAGAATTTTTTCTTTAGAAAAATCCAAAAGTTTGCTTAAGAAGAGATTTATAATAATGAACCTAGAGTTTCAATTGTTTTCATAGCCCTTGGGTAGAAGAGTGTGTTTAGAAGTTATAGGTACATCTCCATTTAGATACCGCCAATCTGTTCCACGTCTTCTGTACTCTTGGTTTTTTCTCTAGGACCAAGGGGGTTTGGGCATCGCTATCAGTGAAGAAGACACACTCAGTGGAGTCATCATAAAGAGTTTAACAGAGAATGGGGTGGCAGCCAAGGTGAGGCTTTTCCGTTCTCACTGTCATGAAGTGGTGGAAGAGGGAATGACTGCTAAAAATCACTCAGAAGCAACTCCGTTTCCATCTAGGATGGACGCCTCAAAGTCGGAGACCAGATCCTAGCTGTAGATGATGAAGTTGTTGTTGGCCATCCCATTGAAAAGGTACTTCTCCACCATGCGGTGAATGGTACTGCCACCCCATCCTTGGACATGACTGAGGTGTATGTGTAGGGAAGAAGTCACAGGGAATTAGGGCTGGGTGCCTACTAGAAGTTTCTTAAGGAAAACAAGTTATTAGGAAGGTCATCAATTCCTATTTTCTACTTTCCAATAAAGGCGAAGTTAAGATGTTCACTATTGTTTGGATAGATTTTTCGGTATTCACTGGGCATTTTTGATAAATGTGACTTCCATTTTCCTTTACAAAAAAATTGAAATTGAAATTCATAAGCGGTGGCTCCTTCATATTATGACCAGAGAGATATTTTTTCTTATGTGTATTCCACTACATATCTATATTATACCTTGCTTTAAAAAAAGGCTTTAAGACTCAGCTATTAAATGGATATTAGTTTTGAACAGTCCTTTGTATCTGAGTCTTTGCTTCAAAATGATCATACTTGGAGTCATATATAAGTGTCAAAAAAAGCTTTTTTTCCCAGAGATATACTGTTCTTTTTTCTACTTCTACAAGAAAGAACTGTGGTCAGCACAGGACTTAGAATAGAAATTAGCTGTGGCTGTAATCTACCTTAAGCATTTGGAGTAACTACAGTAAAGCCATTTCTTTCTTAATACTCGAACCCGACCAGGAAGTCACTGGCCTCTGCTTCTTTTCTTTCAACAACAGATAGACTCGAGTGACATTGGTGACTGACATCTGTATACGTTCCCTAACTTGTCTTTGAATTTTGTTTCCTATCCACACCAACACCTCGGCAGTTTATTAGCCTGCTGAAGACAGCGAAGGCAACAGTAAAACTGACCGTTCACGCTGAGATTCCAGATTCCCAGACTTTTCCTTCGGCAGCTGGTGCAGCCAGTGGAGAGAAAATGAACAGCTCGCAGCTTCCAGTGGTCCCACAGTCTGGCTCCCCGGAACCGGAACCAGAGTCCGTCCGAAGTAAGGGCTGAGCTTCTGAGAGTCCTGCACGTATGGCAAAGTCTGCAAAGGGTCCCTGGCTGGGAGCCAGGTGCCTACCTGCAGTTCACTGTCTGAAAAGCTTTAGTGGAGAAGTCCTTTAGAGAACGGATAGTTGGAGAGAGGGGCTCCTGAATAAAGAATGCTGGACTGGGAGGAGGGACATCTGAGTGCTGTGTTCTAAGCACACATGGTGCCTTAGGGAACACACCTTCCCCTTTTGGCCTGAGCTGCTTCCCTCCAAGCCCAGGGAGTCTTCTTTGCTAAGCAGGAGTCTCTTGCAGAGGCCACCTGTGATCCCAAATGATAACTAATGAATTAGAAACACTGTTTGGTAGGTTCTTTTTTAATGCTGACAAACTAAACTTTTCTAAGCCTGGGTCTTCATATCTGTAGAATGGATACACAGTGGCCCTGTTTTATAGATAGGATATCAGGACTGATTACTACTGGAGAAATGCTCATGCTGCATGCACTGTAGATCTGCGTTCTGTGGCCTGCGTACCCTCGAAGGTCACACTGGTGCATTTGGAAATGTGTGAATCATGGGGAGAGACTTCAGTGTAGCATGAAACTGCCAGGCTAATACATGAAAGCAAGTTATCCCCCTAGTTACGCTGTAGATACACTGATGTGTAACAAAATTTCAAGCTCTGCAGCATCCATATGTTTGAGAAATGATTTAAACAAATTTACTTTTTCTGCAGTTGGTGGGACTCTGATAAAAGTAGTTCTGTCCTTAGAAAGAATGAATAATTTGCTGAATGGTAAAACATTTTATGGAAATGTTCTCATTTTTCAATTTTATGTTTGTCCCTAAATAACATTGTCTATAAAAGTATTAAATGCTAAATTAAAGCAGCATAAAAGAAAATGTCTTACACCTGTTCCTGCCATTACAGGAAATGAAAATAGTCTGTTTGTGATTTCCTAAAAAGAGAACATCTTGTCTAAAGCATACGCTACTTTACCAAGTGCTTTCCCAAAACATGCTATTTACCTCATGTTCTTTGTTATGTAATGAAACATATGATAAACAGACTTCCATAAAATAAAATGTAGAATAATATTTTGCTCATTTCTTCATAATATATTCAAGTCTGTGCTGTATACTCCAGAGTTTATTATAAGAGTTTATAAAACATTAAGTGAAAACAAAAGAAAAAAAGCACAAATTTATTTTTATTTATATACACCTATATATGAATATGTAAGAAAAAGTGCTTCAGGGTAAGATAGACGTAAAATAAAAATATAAGAAGGTCGAAGAATAGGTACCATAACCAAATTAAATGGTGTGTTTTGTGGTCTTTTTGTAAATGTGCTTCTAAGTTCCTGTCACATAGCTCAGTTCTGAGTTTAATAAACTTTTTTTCATAAAATACGTTTGTCTCTGGTGAGACGTAGAGTATTAAAGGGAGATTTGTTTTCTCTTCACAGCCAATCCTTCATATCTCTAGCAATTAAAAAAATACAGAAAAACGTAAAGAAATAATGAATCAGGTCATTGTGTACCACTTCTTAAATTAATAGTGACGATTTAGCTTTGACACTTTTAAAGAGAACAGCGGAAAGACCTAAGGCAGACTTGAAGTCTCTCTGCCCCCGCTTTGGGGCATGTTTCTGGCTCCATCGCTCACACACAGCCTGTGTGGGGCCTAAGTTTGATGCATGCACCTTGTAATCCATTTGTATCTGTATTTTATTTCATCTCTGATTTATTTTAGGTACAAGCAGGTCTTCAACACCAGCGATCTTCGCTTCTGACCCTGCAACCTGCCCCATTATCCCTGGCTGTGAGACCACAATTGAGATTTCCAAAGGGCGAACCGGGCTGGGCCTCAGCATTGTGGGAGGGTCCGACACGCTGCTGGTGAGCGCTCCCGTGCACAGGGGCTTCGGGCCTCTGGGCGGTCCTCAGATGTGCCAAGAGAACATGACCAGGAAGATTTCTGAGTTTTACTAAATGAAACATAGAAGCTGAGAAAACATGTACTTCATGATCATTTTAATGTATATGGCACATATTCAATAGGATACTGGGATTATTACTTCCAGTAAGCCGTTACCGACTCACTAAGTCCTCTTAGTGATTATGACCTCTTACGATTGTGACCTCTAGTTTTTAAAGCGTTTCTGTCAGTTTACCAGCCCTTGACATATTTTAATTTCCTGTTTTACTAATATCCAAGCTAGGTTAGACCTAAATTGAGAGGCATCTGAAAAACTGAATTATGTGGGGATGACATTTTCTAAAATTTGAAAATACTATAAAATTATTTCATTTGTAGATAGGAATGATGATGTATATCTATGGTATTACTATATGTATGATTATGTTTCATATTTTCCTTTGAACTTGCCTAGGAAAATAGAAGCTTTTGTTGCCTTTTAGCCAAAGTTGTATAGTTAGCATTTCCTGGAATTATGGTACGTGGCCCTCGTGGGGTTCAGTAAAAGCAGGGAGCGTTTGGGCTCAGCATCCCCTCGCCATTTCTGGGTGAGAACGGGGTAAAGCCCGGTGTATTGTGTTTGGGTCCCCAGGGCGCCATTATTATCCATGAAGTTTATGAAGAAGGAGCAGCATGTAAAGATGGGAGACTCTGGGCTGGAGATCAGATCTTAGAGGTACGGGATGCCTGTTTCATTCAAAAAATAACAGCCAAAGGCCGTGGAGGGTGTGTGTTTCTTTCTTTACTTCTCTCTCCCCCTTTCCCGCCCTTTTCCTGTTTTCACTGAACTTACGCTTGCCTCGCCGCCCGTGTCCCGTTTCTGTACAGGTGAATGGAATTGACCTGAGAAAGGCCACCCATGATGAAGCAATCAACGTCCTGAGACAGACACCCCAGAGAGTGCCCCTGACACTCTACAGAGACGAGGCTCCCTACAAAGAGGACGACATGTGTGAGGCCCTCACTGTGCAGCTGCAGAAGAAGCCAGGAAAAGGCCTCGGACTGAGCATTGTTGGTAAAAGGTGTGTCTGGGGAGAGCAAACGCAAGGACCTTTTGGAGATAACCCCAGCACTAGTGGAATCTATCAGTGGCTCGGGTTTACAGGCAGCTGCCCTGGACCAATCACTAACAGAGCATGGCAAGATACTAAGTCAGTGTACGGGGATTTTGAAGGTCCTCAACAAAAAGCCTTCTGGTGTTTTTAAAGTAACTGCTGTGTGCAGGAAATACGTTCGGTTCTGAGAAATAGAGATAAGATGTGGCTCCTGACCTTAAAAACGCATAGTGAACAAGAAACATGTCCTCCCAAAAAAATGAGTCGATTGATAAGACACAGACACATTGTAGGGGAGTCATACAGTACACGAAAGAAAAAAGAGACCAGGTGACCCTGTTTTAAAGGAAGTGGATTAGGGAAAAAAGTTCCAAGAAAAGAGGTGCTAATACAAGTAATATCAAGAAATATTAAATGCCGTAAATCTTTCATTTTAGTATTATAAACCCATTGAGATCAGAATATGCTATACTTAAATGAAATCAGTGTTCAGTAAAATGTGATATAGTCGGCAGTGTCCCTAAGTTAATAACAACGCTCTCAGGCCTCAGATATCAACAATTTCAAGGCAGCTTATTTTTTCCATTGAGTCAAAATTTATGCAGTTATGACTAGAATACTCTGGAAACAAGCACTTCCAAATTCCCAAGCCAACGCAGTCTCACCTGATTTTGCATTTCATTTCTGTGTGGTAATAAAAGAACTTTTATACCAGTTTGCTCTCTTAGAGACAGTTGAGTATTTTTTTAAACACACAGGAAGAATATAGCATACTATTTGAATCTCGGTGGGATATGTCTAAAAAATTAGACATTCCTTTTTAGGAGCACAGCATCAGTAGCTTACATTTTGGGAAATAAGGTACACTTAAATTCATTTGTAAATAAGCGGCCACAGTATCCGTGGTCCTGAAAGCACTGTGAAGACTTCCAGTAGTAGTTCCTGACGAATCGCCATGGGAAGAGCATGCAAAAAGCCCGTCTAACCCGACACCCTCACTCTGGAGATGGGAAAGCACAGGAGCAGATGGAGTATGGCTTCTTTGGGGTTGTGACCTTGGCGAGAGCAAGTGATGTGCTGCAGCTTCACTGTGCATTTCTGTTTACAGCTGCTGTTGAGATGAACGTGAAGATTCGTGTTCGGGGGTTTTTGCTTTGCGCTTTTTGTGTCTTGCGCTTTCAGTTTTGTGAAAGGATGGGACTAGTTTAGTATTTGCTTATTTTGTATAAATCAATGTTATATAAAAGTCAGTTGAAATGATTTAAACGAAAAGACATCGTAATAATGATAGTTAAATTTTGAGTAACAAATACTTTGTAAATGTTCAATAATGTTAATGATGTCAGTGGTAATAGAAACATATTTAAGTAGCCACAGGTCAATGTCCCTTTAAGGCCTCTTTATTCTATAGAAAGAAAAATAAATTTAACACTAATTCTTAAGTCCCATCTTTACCATTTACTAACTACCTGGCCCATACAAGGAGAGCAGTACTTACTTTTATTCACATTGTATAATTTAGAAAGAATAAATTCTTATGAAAATCTTTTCAATCTGTGGAATACAGTAAGATATAAGATAGTATTTGTTACAAACTGTATTCTAATAATTTTCCTTCATTACAAACTCTGAAAAATAGATATAAATGTTTCATTATAAAAAGTTACAAAATAAGCATTGCATTACAGTTCAGAAACAATCATGTTCAAATCCAAATTGTTTGCAGAAACGATACTGGCGTGTTCGTGTCAGATATCGTTAAGGGCGGAATTGCAGATGCTGATGGAAGGCTGATGCAGGGAGACCAGATATTAATGGTGAACGGAGAAGATGTGCGTAATGCCACGCAGGAAGCTGTTGCTGCTTTGCTAAAGGTAAAAATCAAATCCCAAAATAACTTCTGTGTAACAGTACGGAAGAAGAAAGAGAATTTAACATGGAGCCACCAGCGCTACACTAGTGACTGGACTTTACCTACGGAGTAGTCTCAAGTAAAACATATTACCATATTTCAATAAGAGATTTCCAAATAGTGAATTTATGATTCGTTGTTTAATATGTTATTGTATATTTACTTGGTGGTAGTAGGAATTACTAGTTGACTGTCTGAAACATTACTAACTCTTTTATTTTTAAGGTGAGTTTTGTGTGGAATATTTGTTTCTCCATGGTATCTCTGTATTTATTCTTACAAATTCTGATTTAAAGGAGACCGTCATCTCACACACTGCCCTTTGCAAAGTGATTGGGGAGCACTGTTCCTTGAGTGCAGATCATAGGAAGCGAGAAGGTACCCATGGCATCTCTGGAGATCGTGTGTTTGGGTTTTCCTGTCTTAGCCCCTTCCTTAACTCCTTTTTGAACCCAGTGAAGTCAGCATCTTTCTGAAAGATGATGAATAAAGTCACAAAGAATGTGCCAGAATGATTTTGTTTTATAAGATCCACAAAGGGAATGTTTGGTTGAAATCCTAGACTGACTCAAAGCTGTTGAACAGTTTTAAAGTTGATGTTTAAAATCAGGGTTGGATAGGTCATCCTGATGTAATGAAGGTGATTCTTTGTATATTCATCTGACAGCACCCTTACTGGGAATTACTCCAGCCATTATAAGGCTCCATTTCTAGGTATCACTCTAAGCTCAGTTACATTTTACTTTGTAAAATAGATTCCCTCCAATGAGAACTCTCCATGAGAACCATTTTCTGACTGGAGAAGTAGAGTTAATCTCACTTTAAAAATGGATTGCTGAGTACAGAATAGCCACTTAAAAATCTAGTTCTTGAGACTGTAGACATATTCCTTATTGGGGAATATCACATTTCCTAGAGAGATTTGCATTCCTGTAAGTAAAAAAGGCAATGACCATATCGTTGCTTCCTTTCACCTTACATGTTTTTGACTGAGGAAGTACAATTCAAGGTTTACTAGAAGATCATCAGGAGCCATGTCCTGGCTACATGCTCACAGGGGCTATACAGTAGCTCTCCTGCAGCTGGCAGGTGTGCGGCTAGTGGTAGCTTCTTAGTGGCTGGACTTCACGGACGGGTGTTCTAGCTGAGCTTCTTGTCTTGGTCTCTGTGGTTTGGATAGCATCTAGCATATGGCTGTATATATAAATTCAGTTATTTACAAAGTGCACCTTAAAACTTTCATTTCTTAAAGGTGTCAATCATTAAAACAAAGTAACCAGCACTTTCAAGGAGGAAGAGCTTACTTTTGGAAATTAATTAAAACACGACTGTTAGCTTCAGTATACTGATATATTTTTAAAAGAAGGAAGTATCCTAAAAATAACATTAATAATAATTAATTAAACCAACCATTTTCAAAAATAATTTAGTAATATATTTTCAGGAGCTTGGCCAGCTCCTGGTCTCCTGAAAGGAGTGTATGACAAAGGCTTAAGTAACAGACAAGTAGGATGGTTTTGGGGTCCTGGAAGGTCAGAACGGTCTTAGAGCTAAGACAGGGACTTCTCTGAATTGCCCGTATTTATTAGATTTCAGACAAGTTCAGTGGGGAGGGGGTGGGCGTGAGGAAAATTGAAGGGAAAAGCTGATCTAAAAGCAGGAAGCTGAGCAAGACCTTGAGAACTCAGAACAAAGTCATTCTTCAGGCACAAGATCTTGTTACTTGAGAGAACTGTCTTATCGCTCAGGTTGGTAGTTTATTCCTCCAGAATAGCAAGTGAGAGCCTTGCTTCAGCTGTGGTGTTATGTTGTCTTCAGAGCACTGTGGTCAGCAGTTTAAC